GATTTTATGGTGCAAAATTGCTTTGTAGTCCATGATGAGAAGAGTTTGAGGAACATGGTTTCACCATTGTGATTGGTTAGGAGGGTGATTGCTCTCTCAGCCCACCCCGGCTTCTGTATCTCACTCTCCATTTCTCTGTCCTCCTCTCCCATATTCACTGGCCTCGCCATAGAAACGGGCCCCAGCCCACCCCCACCCCGCTCTCTCTTTCTCTCGATGAGTGCGATGACCTCACTGTCCCCCCCCTTCTCGTCAAGCCCTCTCTACTCAGTATAATGGGGAGATAAAGTGTATAATGGCTTCCTAACTCTGACTGCCCAGTCCTATTGTCAGCGGCCTTGCACGCATTGTAGCTTTGACCCGTGCTTCTCACCGGGCCTCATGTGCACACTCACAACCGTGCACACGGGCCCCCTATACCAATGCATTCACCAAGCTTTTGCACACACATATCCCACGTTCTTGTGCTTGTTGTCTGTTGGGTATGATGCCTCTCACCATGCACAGGTAAAGTGGCGTCAGTTAGAAACCGTTTAAATGCTCCGGAATGTTCTCGAAAGGAATCAAAATAATATCTATTAGGTGTTAATTCAACAAAAAAATACAAAGAGCATTTGAAAATACTGTAGAATTAGTATCGTTAATCTGCTTAAAATGCTTGGTTAACAGTTGATACGTAAAAATAATTATAAAAATAATTATAATAACCCACCATAATTTGTATTTGGGTAATGTTGAAGAGTAAAGCGAATTATCCTGGATCATTTGCCTGCAGGCATTAGCTGTGTCCCAGTTCAGAGGCTGCGTCCTTCGAAGGACACAGTCTCCCTGGCCTGTGTTGGTTACCCTCCTTCCAAGGTCCACGCAGTGAATCTTGGGATTGGACGCATTTTTAGGCTGCATTTCAGGGAGCCTTTGAAACAGGACGGCCCTGTCATGCCGCTGCGATGCACTGGGGCTTCCAAAGCAGCCGGCCATTCGCGCCCGCTAGCCTGAACCTGTTCCGAAACTGACCCCTGATCAGTGCCAGTGGACATTCCTTCAGTTTTACATGCAGCAAATTAGAATCAGGTCTGGGACCTGGAAGCTTGTTTCATTGATCTGTGTCTTGTTTTTTAACACTGGTTTAATTAATTTTGTGCTGTAGCACTTATGGTTCGAATTTATATCGATTCAAAGTCTGCATGTCTAGATATACCTGACAAGCACTATTTATATATGATATATGGATTCAAATGTTTTTTCTATCCATTTCTCAACTGCTTATCTAGTACAAAGTCATGGATCTATTGATTTTTAATACTCGAAATTCATCTCCAATATAATTCAATCCAGGCCATGCTGTTGTTCAAATTAAAAGAAACAGAGCCCATATGAGGCATTTTTTTTCTGTGGTGTAGCTGCAGTTTCTGACACATCTGATTGTGTTATCCAGTCACCTGTTATCCAATCAACTGTTATCCAGTCACCCTTTATCCAATCACCTGTTATCCAGTCACCCTTTATCCAGTCACCTGTTATCCAGTCACCTGGCAGCCTTTTTCATTGGTTAGACCGGCATTGTTTTTTTTTTGTCTGAAACTTCATGCTCTGATTACATCCTTCATTATGCTGTTTGACTGGAATTTTTAATGAAGAAATTGTTCTAAGTTTGGAGCTCAGGAACATGAGACGATCCAGCGCTTTCGACTGGAATCCTCTCAGCTTCAATGCCAGGCTCAATTTTTCTGGAGGGGTCCTTTAAATTAATGTTCCCCCCCTCCTCCTCCGGGACCCCAGACAGGCCACATTTTTGCTCCCTCCCTGCTCCCGGTACGTTGACTGTCTAGGGGCCCCCCAGGACCAGATTGGGTGACTATTTTTGTCGTGACCCCCACAGGGTTTTCCCTGGGAACCTGTACCCCCCCCCCCCCCCCCCGGGGGTATTTGGGCATGTTTTGGAAGCTCAGCTTTTTTTAGAGGAGTGATGTTAAGCAAGAAATGGGGGTGTTGCAGTTTTCACAGCTCCCAATGTTTAACAGGAATATTTTTGGTGTATTACGTGGCAAATGAAAGTAAAGCAGTATAAAATCTCCATTTCCACTTTTTAATGTTTAACATTCAAACTGACTATGTTACTATGAAACGGACGAGGAGTTTTAAGGTGGACGGAGGCACGGGACTGTGAACTGCATCTGTCTGTTTGCTTTGCAGATATAACCAGGGACCCAAGAAACAGTTGTCAGGGAGGGCCAGACTTTCTAGGTACGCCCCTGTGTGTAGGTCATTTTTTCGCGATTGCTCCGAAGATCCCCCATCCCAGATCCGTGGCCCATGATTGGATAAATATATTATTATTGTTGATGTTATTATTTGTTGTTATGATCATACTTTAATTTTATTAATCAATACAGCTCTTTTGTGTGGTCAAGGCTAGCCAAGGCGTAATTAAAATTCTGTCCGTATAATAAATTGCCATATTGATAGATGGCCCGCGTTTTTACGGCAAAACAAGGTTTTTCTTCCCCCTGGCGGCGAAATGGATGTCCTGCAATCCCGATGGTGCGAAGGTAAAGAACGGGGTGGGGGTAAAAAAACAAAAACTTGCTTGCTGATCCAAAACACCTTGATAGCCCATATATTCAGTTAAATGACCTCCGACAATCTGGCGCGTAAATAATGAAATTCGATGCCATCACCCGTTATAAATAAACATAAATGTCAATATGGGTTAATGCACAAACGTGATAGTGGTTAGAGTCGGTCTGAGTCCCTCTTCCTGTGAGTCACTAATGCAGACGTGGTGGGGGGGGGGAGTGCGAGCCATCGCACACTTAGCGACGTGCTACTGACACACATACACAGACACACACACACGGTATGCTTACTGTGCCATGACAAAATAACCGAGAGAGGGTGAGCGAAAGAAGAGGCAGAGGTGGACAGAGGAGAAACGGTATGCGCTGTAGTCTGCCGCTGTGAGCGCAGGTAAGTGGGCTATCTGCGGGCTTCGGGCTTTCCGTGCAAGGCGACTGAATAATAGTGCTACTCAGGTATTTCGATCGCACTAATGGTTAAGAATTGCGGAATGATTTGAGTGTGTCCGTGCAGTGTTTGAAAAACAGCACCAGAAAAGCGGCAGTGTCCTTTGAAACAAATAATAATAATTTTTTAAAAATCCAGGATTAAAATTGAATTATTGTTCTAGGTTATGAATACCATTTTTGTCTTCATTTGCCTGCTTTGTTAAGCGACTGAACAAAGAGGTGGTCTACTAAAACAGTAGGGCGTGGGAGGTATGGGTCACATAAAATTAAGGGATTTTTTAAAATCATTTGGAGGGTATCTGTGCTCGTAATTCACGATGCGTGTTTGCATTATGAATTATAGGGGTCCCCAGTACACCCGCTACTCCGGCATTTACCCACCCATGACCCAAACTCGGGGAATGGTGGCAGCAAACGTTCATCTGTCCCGGTAACATTTGTCTGTCATCACTTCGGGTTTTTATAAAGTTGAGCAAGTTTTTGTACTTATTGCTGCCTTCCACTACATTCTCGTCGTGCAGGTTGTGTTGTTATATATACAATGTTATATTTATAATTACAAGAAAATGTGTATTTGTATACCGGCTGTGTAATTACGGTTATAACTAATATCTTCTTGATAACAGATTGTCTTTGGTGCTCTTTTGCGTGACACGTACTGTAAGGCTTTAATTAATTGATTGCCTCTTTTCAACTGCTGTAATTGCCCCCTTCCCTCCCGGCTGATTTCCCCGCGTCTGCAGGCGCACCAGCGCTTGATTAATTGTGGTATTAATATTAATGCGGGTAACCCAGACCGGGGAGAACGCGCAGTAAATGAGATCGGCTTCTTCAGTTACCATTATGGGAATACAAGCATTTTCTACCACTGGATGCAAAACGCGTGGCACATAATAAAGGGGAATTTGAAGGCAAGACCATAAAGTCGAAGCATCTAGTTCACCTTTGCGTCTAACCTAAATGCATCGTGTAAATGGCGTAAACACGGCTCCGTTCGGCTGTTTTATGCATGTATTTCACACTGCATAACGGCGTCCGTGATCCGCTTAGCAATGCCGGCTTTGTCGATCGGTTATTGACCCAGCGCCGTGTTCACGGCGTGCGCTAGGCGCCGAGGTGACAGTATATTAACACCTGGGTCCAGCTCTGGATGCCTTTCCCATACCGTCTCTGTATTCTTCTCCATCCACATGGTGGGGGCCCCTATCCTGCGCTGCCCTCCCCACTCCCCAAGCTGCCGTGTCTGCGTCCTGATCTGTCTGTATTTGCACATTTTTTAACTCGCCTGTTTCTCTGGCGACGCCAGCGGCTCCTCTGCCCGACCAGCATGCATTTCCTCCCTATAGGAACTGGTGCCAGACTCGCGTTGAATCATGTGCCAAGTTGCCTTCTCTGTGCTGGCGCCCTGCACACTCACAGAGGAGAGACACAAATAAGTACAGAATAACTCAGCTCCTGTGTCCAGCCTCCTTGTATGCACAAATGTTACTAAATGCTGCAAAAATTTAGGGCCAAGGTAGTTTTTTTTCCTGGCGCGATGTGGAGCTCTGTGTTAGCAATAGTAATTTTATTCTCAGAAATGTAACAAAATGGCATTCCGGTATATTAGCCTCCTCAGTCTCGCTGTGTAGTGTTCCTGCACTGTGCTGTTTCCTGAGCCTTCAGAACTATTTCCCACAAACCCACTGTTAATTCTGCACCTCTCAGGGTTACATCATGACTCTCTCGGCCGCACCTCCGCTTCGAAGAGGGAGCACCCCTCTGCCAATCAAGCACCAGCTGAGGCGAGAGGAGGCGGTCTCGGATGACTGCGATTGGACGCCAGGGCTGGACAGCCAGTCCTCCCCACCAATCACCTTCAGCGTCAGCCAGGACGACCCCACTTCGCGGCCTGGTGATGGCAGTCCAGAGCGACCACTGCGGATCGTGCTGCTGGGTCAGAATGGGGTCGGAAAGTCTACCCTCGCCATAGCTCTGGGCGGAGAGTTTGACCGCTCTGCGTCAGTGGACTCTGATAGCCAAGTCGTAGGTAAATTATAGACACAGCACGTCACTACTCTTCCATTACTGACAGATTACACATTTCAGATCTCCTTGGGTTACTACCGCAATGAAATTCAGTGAGTCTAACAAGAACTTAAACATGCTAGTATGTCGATACGTAGCACAATGAGCCATTCTTGGTTTATAATAAGAGGTAAGGACAGAAATATGGCTTCAAAACAGAGGGTTGGTGCACTTATGATATGCTGCCAATCTGTGCGTTCAGTGAGTTGAGCCTACTTCCTGTTAAGTGCCTTACTGCTTCCTGTTGGGATAAAATGGATGTGACTGACACTGCAGACTGATCCCCCTGCCGGGGTCAGAATGGCAATCTTGGTTCCTCCCATTCCTATGTATAAACAGACCTTAATGTCCATGATTATTCTGGGCGTGGTAGTTTTTAACCCAGCATAGTTTAAAGTCCGGCACTGAAGCAGCGAGAAGCATCTCAGAATGCAGTGTATGATGTCTGTTTTTGGTGTGTGCGCATGCACATGTGCATATTATAGCACGGGGACCAAATTTCCACACAGTGTAATAAACAACTTGTTATTTTTATGTTGTGGGGATATTTTTTTGGTCCTCACAAAGGAAAACTCAGTTTAAAAAATCCGTGCATGCAATCAAAAAGCTGAAATGTGACAAGTCTTGCATTTTGTTTGGTTACTTACTGTATGGCTAAGGTTAGGGTTGGGTAGGGGTTAAGGTTGTCCCCACAAAAATATGAATGCAAACGTGTTTGTGTGTGTGTGCGTGTGTGTTTGTGTACATGTTCTGTGTATCTTTGTATCTCTTTGTTTACACAATGACCCTCTATAACATTTCACAGCATTGCGTGTGCAAGCCAAGATCCATGCGTGTGAATCTAAGGTTTCTTTGTGGACCTCACTAGGTGACTCTAAGGGTGTCCTGTTTCTGTATGGACCTCAGTGTGTCTGTGTGGCTCATATAATCACTGTTAAGGACTTCAGTGTGTCTCTGTGATGACCTCAGTATGTCTCTGCAAGGTGTCCCGTCTCTGTGAGGACATCATTCTCTCCGTCTGAGGTGTCATGTCTCTGTGAGGACCTCATTTTGTCCTTTTCAGGTGTCCCGTCTCTGTGATGACATCATTCTGTCCTTCTGAGTTGTCCCGTCTCTGTGAGGACATCATTCTGTCCTTCTGAGGTGTCCCGTCTCTGTGAGGACATCATTCTGTCCTTCTGAGGTGTCCCGTCTCTGTGAGGACCTCATTCTGTCCTTCTGAGGTGTCCCGTCTCTGTGAAGACCTCAGTCTATCCCTTTGAGGTGTCTTGCCACTGTGAGGACCTCAGCATATCGCTGTGATTGTTTTTTTAGGAGAGGGATATGTCCGCATGGTGACAGTGGACGGTGAGGAGAGCTGCATAGTCGTCTATGACAACTGGAAACAGGTTAGTATCCTTCTGCCCTGCCCCTCTGGGCCAAATTAAAGGACGCCGTTAAGTATAATGAACAAAGGACACAAACTATTACACACTAATTATAATTTAACATTTTAAAAAGAATATAATTTAATTGTACATCATATTTAAAATCTATAATCTGTATCTTATAGCCTTTTAAGCTCTTTTTGACTACAGTAGGAAATCATGAATTCTCCATAGGAATTAATGAATAATTCATCTTTATGGATGAAATATCTCTGTATTATTTTGAACGATTGGGTCCTGAAAACTGAAAATAATGCTTTCCTGAATGAGAGAGTGTGTGCGGCTCTACTTCTCTGTTGTTTGGGGTGGTGAAACCTCGTACACAATGGCCAATGTCAAACCAGTACTTTGCCATCAACTATGATTTTTACTATCCCTGTCCAGTCGACAGACTTGGGTGACCGCGTGCCTTACAAACAGATTCTAACTTTGTTTGTGTTACGACTGCCCTGGTTAAATTTCATCCCTGCCTTATGTGCCATAAGAACCAAGATATCTGTTTACACATACAGCATGTGCATCATTTTAATGTTGCCGTTGATATAAACTAGAATGATATTATACCTTCAAAAGACCGTACTGCTGATTTATCTCAGTGGTGCTGCTGCGACAATCACATGACGGTATTTCTGTCAGCGAGCCTCCCTAACCCAATTCCTTTGTTATGCGGGTTCATGTTTATTTAATAGGGTGTAAATGAGGGCAGTCAGCACAGAATGTCGGAAAGTTCCTGAAACTTCAGAATGAATAATTGAAGCCCTGTAACCACCCCACGTCCTTGCATCGAAGAAAACGGGACCAGAACGTGCCAAAGCTGCTTGCCCTTCTGCGTCACTATGCTATGCTAGCATGACGCTCTGCTGCGCTATGCTAGCATGATGCTATCCTATGCTAGCATGATGCTACGCTACGATAGCATGGAGCACGCTTCACTAGCATAACGTGGAGCATCAGATGTCACTTGGGCCACCTCTGAGACCACTGGTCTGGGTCAATGTCCATGTCACTTCTGTCCTGTCATAGAAACGTGAGCAGGAGTGGAGACAGGACTGAAGAGAAAGCAGCTGGACTGAAGAACTCGTTTATAATTCAGTTTATAATTTACAGTTTACGTGGGTTATATTCATTTTCAGGTCATTCTGAGCTCGGTTACGTCATAACGTGCCCTATTTTGGCTCCGGATTAGTCCACAAGGCCGTGTCCATCTTTCGGGATTTGGGTTTTGCTGACCTTCATAGGGTGTAGGGCTGCAATCTGACACAGACGTGTCCTAATTGAGCAGGACGGCCATCCGTGTAACATGCACACGCTCCGCTTTCCAGCCAGCTGCTCTCCTGTTATCCCACGACCAGGCGGCGGGGTCTGTTTGATCCCTCAGTCAGTCCTGCCGCTGCACTTCCTGGGAGGCCTCTGGTCTCATTTCCGAGGCAAAAGCCAAATTAGCTGCTTTTATCTCGGTCCAAAGAAGTAAACAGAGAGGATTTTACTCTGGGCAGAGGTAGATGGCCGTGCAGTACAGACTCTGATTCTGAAAATTTCCCAAAATTAAACAAATAAAGTCTTCCAAAATCTACGAGGGAGGAACCAAGGGTTCAGAGGTGGCTGGTCAGGCCTGCAGGCCTGCATCCTCACGTTTGAGCCCAGCTGAATGTGAAAAACCATGTCTGTTATGTACAATACATTTAATTAAAGACATTCAATTAAATATATCATGCAAATTATATCTGGTTTTGGGTTGTTCCCTGCTTTGCACCCATAGCGTTTAGGATAGGCTGCAAACCCCCCACGATCCTTAATAGGATTAGCATTCATTTTGTAATTTAACCACTTTTCAAAGAACTTTTTCTGGTAGTAATTTTTTTTTTTTTAAATTAAAGAGGAAAAGCCTCTCGTTGAATTTTAAAAAGACACCCATGTTTAGTGCAAAAAGCGTGTCTCTTGTGGCCATCGAGCATAACAGGAGAAGCAGTACAGTGGAGCACTGACTGCGCAACGACTGCACACTGACTGTATCCCAACTGCATAATGACCACACACTGACTGCGCAACGACTGCACACTGACTGTATCCCAACTGCATAATGACCACACACTGACTGCGCAACGACTGCACACTGACTGTATCCCAACTGCATAATGATCACACACTGACTGCGCAATGATTGCACACTGATTGTGTCCCAACTGCATAAGGACCACATACTGACTGCGTAAAACCGCATAATGACCACATACTGACTGTGCACTGTCTGTGTGCTGACTGCATAATGACCACATACTGACTGCACATTAACTGCACAATGCAAACTGACTGCACATTAACTGCACAATGCAAACTGACTGCACACGCACTGCACAATGCACACTGATTGTACACTGACTGCATGCTGACTGTGTACAGACTGCATAGCACATGCTGGCTGACAGGCCTAAGTAGATGCAGGCAGAGGATGTTGTCAGGCTGACAGATGGACACACAGGGCTTGGGCGGCTTGTGTGCATGATTGTGTGTCTGGGTTTTATATACCACATCGTGGGGACCAAATGTCCTTACAATGTGGTAAAACCTGTTAATCTTCAGCTTGTGAGGACAGTTTTCAGTTCCCCACAATATAAACCTGAATTTTATCAAAAATATGCAAATGAAATCAAAAAACTAAAATAGCCACAACTCTTGTATTGTGTTTGATTAGTTATGGTTAAGGTTAGGGTTGGTTAGCGGTTATGATTATTATAGTTAGGCTTTAGAAATGAAAGTCCCCACAATGACACAATTGTGTGTGCGTGTGTGAGCTCACGTGTGTGTGTGTGTGTGTGTGTGTGTGTGAAGGCTAGCCTGCCCCTGCGCGGCACACAGATGGCCTGTTGTACGCTGTCATCGGGGGGCGCTGTTTTCCCCTTCCAGGGAGGGTTTCTGTTGTTCCTCCACTATAGCTGCATTAACACAGGATCAATCGCCCCCCCCACGTGTGAGAGAGAGGACCCCCTTGCATGTCTGAAAGCTCCCCCCCCCCCCCCCACTCCAGGGGGCACCAGCTCGCCTTCACACTGGGTAATACCTTATTCCTCCCCCTCCCCCCCCTCACAGGCAGCCAGGTGGCCAGGCCATTCGCTGTTCCTTCCACATCACTGCAACTGAGACCCCAAGCCCCCCCCCCCTCCCAAATCCACCCCCCCTACAGCTCTCCAGGGAAATGGAATTTTCTGGCACGATTCTGAGCTGTTAGGGCTCTCGTCAGTGGGCGACTGGGGGGTCTTTGTTCAGCACCATTTGCAGGTGTTCACCAGGGAAGGCCTCTGCATGCCCCCCCCCCACCCGCATGCTCCTGATGGAGAGAGAGGAGGTGGGCAATAAAGGCTGCCTCACTTTCAGCAAGATCATATCCAGTTCTAACTGGGAAACAAATGCATGTATACAGTAACACTTTCCATATTTCTGTGTGCGAGTCAGCCTCTTAATCTCCCAAAATCCAGTGAAATCAAAACGAGATTCACTGTCATTATACTTCAAAAGCAATATTAGAAATGAATGTTTCAGATTGCAGTCCCTGTAAGGCAGAGGCGGTTGCCGACGTCCCATTGGTTGAAACCATGGCTGATGTCCCATTGGCTGGTGCCGTGGCTGACGATCTCATTGGTCGGTTCGTCTTGCAGGACCTCTCCACCCTGAAGTGCGACGTTTGCCTCCTGGTGTTCTCGGTCACTGACAGGCGCAGCTTCCACCGCACCGCCCAGCTCCGCCTCCTTCTCAGAGAGACCCAGCCTCAGACTCCCATCATCCTCGTGGGCAACAAGAGCGACCTCGTCAGGTCACGCGAGGTCACCACAGAAGGTGCGACCCTCTTCCATCTCCTGTCTAATCAACCCTCCATGGCTTCATGGCTTCATGCTATTCTCTCTTTTTTTCTCCGCACTCATTTTCAGTTCTTTCCCCTGCTGGCTCAGGTTTGATGTCTCCTGCTGTCTACCCAGGGCCCCCCCCCCCCCCCCCCCCCCCCCCCCCCCGGCAAATGTCCTGCTTCCATTTCTTTCTGATCCTCACCCCCCCCACGCTTGTCTTATCTAGTCCCCTGTTGTCAATCCCGCCCCCTTGCACCCCCCCCCCNCCCCCCCCACGCTTGTCTTATCTAGTCCCCTGTTGTCAATCCCGCCCCCTTGCACCCCCCCCCCATGGACCTAAGTTTCATGGTAGATCGACGTCCAGGGACACTAGGTACTGGGAGGCTGCAGCCTTTCTGGGGGTGGCTCTCGCAGGAAAGCTGGGTAGGGCGGCGGATTCCGGAAACATCCGCGGGAGAGACGGCCCCAGCCTCGGCTACGTGGGGCGAGTGACAGGAAAACAATAGAGGGCGCCACCGCCTGCCGGGGCGCACAGGCGGCCGAGATCTGCTCCTCCGTCGTCGCCGCGGCCGACGTGTGAATCTCGTTTCCCTCTCCGAGGTGAAATTTTCCGGCTTTTTTTTTTTTTCTTTCTTTTTTGAGTCCTTCTGTTGGCTTAAGGCCTCAGATATGAGCTTTAGGCAGGAGGATGAACCAGAAGACAGCTTGGCATGGAGGTGCTAATTATATTCAGTGCTGTACGCGCACTGCCAGTGCCTGACAACAGAGAGCGCACTGGGAGCAGCACTGCGCAGAAATGAGGAAGTTATTTAAAAGCCCAAGCCAGTGCGGAACAGAACAGACACCTGTTCGTTTACCTCCATTTCTTTGATGGTTCTGGTCTGGGGCTGAACGCTTGTACCCAGACATACAGGCAGTCGATACTCTCAAAGCATTAAAATGACCATTTATTGAACGAAAAAGAGCTGAAATGCCCGGAGTCGGCTAACGCTCATCGTTAAGAGACACGGTGACGGCCGCCATTGAGCTCAGCTGGTGATTATGTCCTTTGAAATCAGTTGTAAACACGCAGCTGGGTGTCACTGCCGCGCCGCCGCCTCGGATCCGGCTCGGTGTCGGCCGAACCGTCTGACGAAGATCGACGGAGAGCACCGGCTTTCGCAAATGTCGTGTCGTCTATGTGTCTTTTTCCATTTTTTTGAGTACCGAAGTATAGTCATTTAAAAGCAGTATGTTTTACTGAAGAAAAAAAAAAGAATTTACTTCACTGCGAAGGATATTTCTTGCATTTTGACGCAACGCATTTTTACTCCAACACTGTCCGACGCGACGCACGTTTGAAAGAAACCGCAACGTGCGCAGCGAGAAACGCGGCGGCCCGGCGACTCCGGCGATTCGCGGCACCGCGTGACGCTGAGGCGCAGATGCGGCAGGCCGCCGGAGAGAGAGCCCCCGCCAGAAAGGGGCGAGCAAGCACCTGCATCCTCGGATCGCTCCTGGATCCTCTTCCTGCCAAACCGGGGCCCCGTCACCTTGGGAAGCAGCTTTTACAGACGTACTGTACTGACAGGGCTGTCACACTCAGCATGAGGCATTGTGGTGGACTCATTGTGTTGGGTTGGAAGCTAAAATGTACCATCAAAATTCAGACGATGCAAGGAATACAAAGCACAATTAAACTATTATCTCTTAGTAATGATAGTATAACAGCAGAGAAAAGAATGTTATGTTGACAGTCCGTATTATTGGGAGTTAAAAATAAGTGTATTATTTATTTGTTTTTTTGTTCGTTTGATGATGGTGATGATTATGATTATTATTATTGTTATTATTATTCAACATGGCCAATCAGGGTCCCCTATTCTGCCTTGCATGATCCAGACAGTGTCGCTAGTTGTAATTGGTCCATAAAAGTTTACTTTTTCAGCTTCCTTCATTTAGGGGAATTAGATTAATTATGTCTAAATAGCTGTGTTTGGTCCTCAGTGTGTGAACTAAGTGCTTCCTGTCTTCCTGTGCCAGAGGCCATCGCCAGTGCCACGCTGTTCGAGGGCCAGTATCTGGAGATGTCGGCCTCTCTGGACCACCGCACGTCCGAGCTGCTGCAGGGGGCAGTGCGGGCGGCACGGGGCCAGTGGCCCGCGCTGGGCTCCGGAGACGACAGCCCCGGCGGCAGCCGCAGGGAGAGCCTCACCACCAAGGCCAAGCGCTTCCTGTCCAGCCTGGTGCCCCGCTACCCCCGCGAGAGGGAGAGGGGGTGCCGTGTGTCCCGGCAGAAGTCACGGTCATGTCATGACCTCAGCGCGCTGTGACAGATGGGGGAGGGGGAGGTGACAGAAAGAGGAGGGGGGGGGGGGGGGGGGGGGGAGGGGGGAGGGGGGGGGGGGGGGGGGGGGGGGGCGGGGGGGGGGGGGGGGGGGGGGGGGGGGAGGGGGGTAAAAAACAGAGTAGAGACTAAACCGGGGAGAGTCAAGAGCATCAGGTTCCGTCAAAACACACTTTGTTCCTAAAACATTTAAATAGTTAGTAGAAGCATAGCTACAGAGGGGCTGCAGCCCCAGCAGACACACGCCTCAGGTGCCCTGTCGCCAAGAGTGACCTGTCGCCAAGCGTGACCTGTCGCCAAGCATGACCTGTCGCTCATGAGCATCCACCCTTTTTTTTTTGATATGTTCATGTGCAGACCTCAGATCACCACACTAAGCATCACAAGTTAGTTGGGAACACGCGGCCCACACTAGGCCAGTGGGCGGGGCCTTCCATCACGCCTCACCACGGCGACCACGCCTCACTCTGCCCGCCGCACAGTCTCACTCTCAGTGGTAATAAAGGCCTTTCATTTGGAATATTTGCGAATGGCTTCCTTGAGGTTTATTTACACAAGAGGGCTTGGCTGTGTACACCCTGTCTCTGTGACCACTGTGACTCTTTCATCTCGTCGAAACCTGACTCACCTATAATAACTGTAATTGATTTTTCTGTGCTCTGCCACCCAGGGTTATGAAAGAACAGCCATATTTCTTGGACAATAACACATGGCAAATATATTTTTCTACTCCAGCTTGATTTACAAGCCGAAACTACATCTGACCTATGAATCTTTTCGGGGTTGGGGTGACTGCATTCCAAAATCCAGCTACCTTGACAACTTTTCCCGAAGATTATCCCCAAAAACGAACCCTAACCTTGAACCTCATTCAGACTCTAACATGTCATTTATGCGGTGAATCAAAAAATGCTACATTCCATTAAATTAAATCTACATAAACATTTAAAACCTCCGTCGACTAAGCCTCACCCTTCCTCTTGCACTCCCTTTATCAAAATATAATACCCTTATTTCCAGTCTAAAAAATATACACATAAAAATTTCCATTGCTTTATTTGGTTAATGCGTTTTTGACCAAACACTGCAGGTACTTGTCTCATTTACAAAATTAGCAAAGTAAACGCGTGAAGCCGTCTATTATGAAATTAAATGCAATGGCAAATGCCAGCAACAGTAAGACATCAAAAATGCACTTTCATCATATCAATAAAAACACGACGGTATGTGTCATTATAAATTCTGAAGGCATTTAGATTTTTTTTTTTTTGATTTGTTGATATGCAAATATGTTTGTTTGTGGAAATGCTATCAAAATTTAGCATGACAGTTATTTTTGTTGATTGGAAGAGAACAAAGTGGTTAAATGAATAAGTATAGCATCACTGCTAGTATCAACTAATATTTTATCACTTGAAGTGTAGCCCTGCTGAGCGTATACAAGCAGGGACACGCAGTCTGTGTTGCTCAGTGCTATATATTTTCTAGCAGTGAGCTGTCACAATTCAGCTGACAGATTACTTGTTCCACTAAGGCTCCTCCTACGGTCCGACGCTCAGGTCGGGGAAACCGAATTTTTCTTGGCGTGCAACAGTGTGCATTAACGTGCATCGGTACGGTTGCTCAGCGTTACGTGTCGGTGAAACCTTGCCCTGTGCTGTCTGCTTTATGCAAATCGGGATCCAAAATAGTGCAGAATCAACATCGCTTGAATCGCCGTAAAGTTCATATCGCTGGTTTTACAGCCGGGGAGCTTGCATTGTAATATTTGGCATGTGTTTATGTGCGTCGACTGCACAGATATATAATTTCTGTAATAGGAATAAACATAAAAAGGGAAGAGAATACAAATTTTGAGAATACAAATACTAAGCATAGAAGGCATGGGGTGGGAGACAAAATATTCCTTATTACTCCTGAATGTTATTGTTTGTGCTTTGGAAAAAAGTCTTTGTGAAAATGAATCTAGAGTAAACTGGGACAAGACCCTCATGGCAGAGTCTGAGAAGGCCTTGGGGGGTTAGGGGGAGGTAAAAAAAAAAAGAATAGTGTGCCAAGTGATAGTTGCTTGGCGACTGTTGTCAAGGAGACCGAGTCCTAGAGACTAGTGACATCAAAAATTTTCTTATTTGGTAGTATTTTTTTGTCAAAAAAAATGAATAGGAGTAGAGAACGAGGAGGACGAAATGTAAGTTAGAAATAGGAGAGACGTAGAGCATGCATATGGTGAGAGGACAGAGGAGTAAAGGATGCATATCTAAAAACATAGATTCAGTCACTCAGCTGTGCAGTTAAAAAGGCCAGAGAAGTCCTGCTGTTCAGTGTGGAGGTCACTGCACACTGCAGTGCCGGGTCCGTTACCCAGAGCCACCCTGGCCACGTGCAGAAAGGCAGTGCTTGTGTCCGACAGCGTGCGCAGCCACTGTGCTTCCCATGCGGTCCATGCGGGCGACTTCCCCGTTTACGCACTGCAGGCCCACGCGGTCACTTTAACAAGGGGGGGGGGAGGGGCTTCTGCACAACTGAGAAAAACGAGTCCCTCCTGAAAATAAAATTCGTGACAGCCAGCCGTATAATGCAGTGACTCATTCCGCTGGCATTCCTGATGAAACGAAGGGGGGGTGGGGGGTGGCAGGTGAAGAATAAATTGAAAATACCACATCATTACAGCAGAGTTGTAATATTTATGCTGCATTATTCCATGTTCAAATACTTCTCCGTAACCTTTTACATTTTATATTCCCAGTTACTTATTACATGTTTGTAATTATAATTAACTTTCTGTGGCACTGGCTTTTAATAACCGAGCGTAGTTAAACCTTGTGCGAGATCTTGCGTATAGATCATTAATTGATGAATAACTCGTGCAACGGTTTAAATGTAGCAGTGTAGTAAAAAAACAAAACATGCTTACAGGTGGATGGAGGCTGTGGTGTAAAGATGGAGCAACAACACGGTTGTTATTTTCCCGTGTAAACAGAAGTCATGTGATGTGATACAAGGTTAGTCCCGCGGGTCTCACAGATCCAACCCCAGAAGGCAGCTTTAGTACGCGTGTCTGTGTTTTCATAGATCAAGCATGCAGATATTGTATACGGCCAGTTTATCAGATAATGCCAGTAGCCCATTCCCACAAACAGCGAGTCGTGTGTCTGCAGCTGAATACATACAGCATGCAGGCGGGGCCGAGAGGTTCACACGCTCTTTGACTAAGCGTCAGAACAGCTAAGATGTCCGCCGTAGGCGCTTTTGAACTTGGTGCGATCGCTGGCGCCCGATTTGGCGGCTCAGAAGCGGCCCTCCCGGGGATTTTCGTGCACTGTACAGTTTGCAGGGAATGATACGACAAACAAAAAACACCCAGCTAATGACAGTTCAGACTGAAAAAGGCTCGTTAACGAGAACGGTCAGAAGAGAGTTGGCAGACTCGTCGACGCTATCAGTCAACGCTAACGGCTCGGCACAAAGGTGGCATGCAGAACGGCTTATTTGAACCCGCAATGCCAACCCTTAAAGCACCCCTAGTGCCAAAGAGGTCCTACATGGTAATAGCTAGACATCCCTAATAAGCAGAGGTGGAAATTTCAGGTCCAGGAAGTAAAAATCCAGTCCAAGATTTTGTTCCAACCAACCATTTGAGCATAAAGAGTCACAGACACAGAGGACTCAGCTGCTTGGTTGAAGCAAAATCTTGGACTGGATTTTTCCTTTCTGGGCATGAAATTTCCACCTCTGCTAATATGCCATTTAGTATTTAATGCTTTAGTTCTTAGTGAGTTACTGATGTCATATATTATTCAATGCGATATTTCCCCCTTTTACTTAAGTTTATCCAAATGCATAATAAAAAAAATCACCAGCATAGAGGAAACACTAAATATCTGCAATATATTTACACTAAGGGTCTGCTATGTACGACTATCAGAAGACTACTCATGAGTTCTTATATATTGCCACCCAGTGGCCAACATGCCTCATTGCATGACGGTGCAGCCCTTCAGAGTTATATATGAATGACTCACGTTAGGAGCCAGAAATTAACAATGACCCTAGATCCTCTGGCTTTAGGTCGTCTCAACTGATCTTACTATGAAGTTTGCTGGGAAAGTCCTTTACTTAACGAATGGAACTTCAATTAACCTCAACTATAACGGTGGCTGCTAAATGGAAAATTTTAATGGATTTATTGCAATTACTGTGCTTTAAAAAAATGTTTCTCCTCCACCTTTTCAAAAAAGACTCCCTAACATGATATTCCATGGCACACTTCATATTGTCATATTAAATAAGTGCAACAGACTCTAATCGAGAAACGTAAGGTCAATGTTACATAAGATAGCTGCTATTATTCATAATGTCGAAAGTAATACGACAAATCAAATGGCTTTTAAAACATCAAATGAAACCCATGATAAGAAAACACTGCAATCTGCAGTCACAAGACTAGTGCGGGGGGAAAAAACAGGAGCTGGTACTGCGCCATTTTCACCTTTATTTTTTAATCGGGGGGGGACATTAACACCCCTGTGCTAAACACAAATCCACTTACAGGTGGAGACAGTTATTGTCAACAAAACTTTGATTTTGCAAGATTACTTTTTTTTTTTAAGGAAAAAAAAAACACAAAAATCCATGATTGCCCACAGGGAAATATCCACATCTAACTTGCATATTTTATGCCGTAACAAAAATAGACCTATGTTTACAAATTAGAGAGCATCAAAAATAGATCTGGTTGGTAGATTGTCTCAACGACCCGTCCTGTCTCAATCAAATCGGATTGCCGCAAACTGATTTATCTCTCCTTGGCTTTGTGGGTCCGCTTATGTGAGGTCAGCTGGTCTTTTCTGCCGAATCTCCTCCCGCATTCAGAGCACTGGTGCGGCCTTTCGCCGGTGTGAAGCTTCTCGTGCCTCCTGAGGTGCATCGGGTGGCTAAACAACTTCCCACAGCTGCTGCATCCGTACGGTCGCTCCCCGGTATGATTCATCTGATGCGTTAATAGGCTGCTGGAGTTATAAAAACTCTCCCCGCAGCTTGAGCAGAGGTAGGGCTTCTCACCTGTGTGAGTTCGCTCGTGTTGTTTCAGGTACCAGGCGGAGCTGAAGCTCTTGCCACACTGCGGGCAGCTGAACTGTCTTTTTTCGACGTGGCTTTGCTGATGCACTTTTAGGCTGCTGGCTGTGCTAAGACACTTTCCGCACTGCAAACACTTGTAGGACTTAGCGCCCGAATGAATCTGCTGGTGTATTTTAAAAGTGTCGCTTCTGCTGAAGCTCTTCCCACACTGGGAGCAGTGATACGGCCCTCCCACTGCATGAATATATTTATGGGATTTTAAGGTGCTTGAAGTACCGAAAGACTTGCCACACTGCGCGCAGTCATATGGCCGCTCCTTAGTGTGTGTTCTCTGGTGCATTTTGAGGCCCTGTTCCCGGCCAAAGCACTTCCCACACTGCGAACAGCTGAACGGCTTTTCTCCAGTGTGGACAACCTGGTGAACCTTCAGCGTGGCCGAGTGCCGGAAGCTCTTGCCACACTGACGGCACTTGTACGATTTCTCGCCGGTGTGAATCCTCAGGTGCTTCAGCAGATCTCCAGAGGTGCCGAATCTCTTCTGGCATTCGGTACAGCAGTAGGGTTTTTCCCCCGTGTGGGTGCGTTCGTGAATCTTCAGACTGTTGCGCTGACTGAAACGCTTGTCGCACTGGGAACATTTGTGTCGTCGTTCCCCCGTATGCGTGAGCTGATGCGACCTCAGGTGTGCAATGCGACCGAATGTCTTCTTGCATTCCAAACACTGGTAAGGTCTCTCTCCTGTGTGAATGCGTTCGTGCAACTTTAGCTCATTTTTCCTAATAAACCTCTTGGGACAGTGAGAGCAGGGATACGGGCGTTCTCCAGAATGCATCAGCTGGTGCGTCTCAAGATCCTTTTCTCTGCTGAAGGTCTTCTCACACTGGGTGCATCGATGGGGTTTATCTTCTCTGTGGACAACCCAATGTATTCTTAGGGATGCTGAGGTTACAAAACCTTTCCCACATGTGGAACAGATGTAAGGTTTCCACCCTGCGTGCCGCTCCTGGTGTAGTTTGAGGGAACTTCTTCTGCTGAAGTTCTTCCCGCAGAGGGAACAGTGGTGTGGCTTCTCGCCCGTGTGGCTTCGCACGTGTAGCTCCAGGGCACTCTTTCGGGTAAATTTCTTCAGACAGGAGGAGCAGGGCCACAGCCGTTCACCCGTGTGAAGTCGCTGGTGCAGTGACAGTTCATGTTTGCTGACATACACCTTCCCACACACAGCACAGTGGTACGGCTTCTTCAGCAAGTGCGTTCTCTGGTGCACTTTCAGGTCACTTTGGTCTTTGAAGCCCTTTCCACACTGGGAGCACAGATGCATATTCAACACAGTGACAGCAGTCTGAGGCAAGTTAAGAGAACTGATATCAGGAGTCCGGGTAAGAGGGATTATCAAGGTTTTGTGACTGCAAACTAGATTTTCAGCAATAGACAGTGTTTGACTAAGAGGCAAGTCCTTTCCGGACTGAATCCGTTTCTGACCACAGAATGTATCAGACTGTGCCGTGGAGGGTGTACGGCTGTCACAGTCAATTTTCTTTTCTGCTCTTCTACAGGATCTGGAATATACACAGATAGACATATGATGGAGTCATTTGCCAGGTTTTACGTAGAACTGAGCGTGCAGTTTGCACGGAAAGCATCAAAAACCGTTTACGCACCTCCTCCATGTGTTCTCGATCTCCTGCAATAAAGAGGAGTAGCCAGTGTAAGAAAGCATACTGAATTCACCAAAACCAGGAAACAAAGGCATGAATGCAGGTTAGCAGAGAAATAACTGTCATATGAAAACTGGAAACACATTTTTTTGCATACCATTTGTACAACTACTGGTGTGAAACTGCAGCCCTCACCTGAAAAGCTGAAATTTCTTCTGTCTTAACCTCTTGTTTTATTTCTCCATTCACATAAAGTGGTGGAAATATCTCTTCCTCAAGCTGCTCAACCTTCACCTGAACATTTGGCTTTCTCTGTGACTTCTGTGTTGTCTTTTCCATGTCTTCACCCTGTAGATGCTGTGACCCAAACACTACCTTCTTCAATCCCACTGTGGCCTGGGTTGGAATGGAAAAACACAGTTTTTCTATGAGCTACAGTATAAAAACCTTACTGAAGATAAATGTGTACACACCCACATGCATTATCCAGAAGCAAAGGAATAAGAATTACCAGTTTCACTAATCCTTATGTCGCCTTATGTCGAGTTTTCAAACTACATTATAATTACACAAACCTTGTGCTCTACATCTTCATTTCGTTTATCATTTCTGTTTTGGGTATCTTGTTTCTTCGAACCCAGACTGTAAGCAAGATGTTCTATGGGATATAGGCGCACATAGCTAGAAATCTTCCTCCTACATAGAGGACATCGAAGACAACTATAGTGCTCCCAGTAATTCTGCAAGCAGGCTCTGCAGAAGCCATGGCTACAACTCATAACTACAGGGTCATTTAAAATATCATGGCACAGAAGACAAAACAGGTTGTCTGCCGAAGGAGATGACCTTATCGCCATTTAAAAAATTTCCGGTTGTCAAAAATTGCTGGGAGTTTCGTACTTGACAAACGACTATTTTTATCAACGCATACACTTTCGGACCCCGATCTCTTAGTAGACGTTAAATGTACGGCTTGGTAAGCCATACGCGTTTGCACACTGTAGTTTTGATTCCAAAGCACTATATGCAAATCTCACTTTCACCCACTGAAATGCCAAGGCAAGTTACATGCAACTTCCATATGCAGCAAAGTGGCCAAACACCACCAAGAGGAAATCACCAATTTACTTCCTGTAACGAATAAGTATCAATTCAAAATAAAAGACGCTCTTCGTCAATATTATAATTCGGTTATATATTTCAGTTGTCTGATGTGCAAGAAAGTATCCAATGTACAATTAATTACTGCACATCAAAAAAAACGGAAATGATTTATCATTACTGTAAATAAGTGAAACTGCAAGCCACCTGTTAAATGCTAAGGACAACTAATACTACTGAAAGACGGTTTCCTATTCTTCTCCTAGTAAACTGTGCTACGAATTGCAGAGGATCGGCCATCGATAAACTTTTATTTTGAAATGGATACAATCAGAGTTACCTGCCAACAAACGCTCCGCTACTTGGAAAACCGTGGGAGCGCAAAGCGTGGTACAGTATCTCTCCTGGAATCGCGAGCCGCTTCCCGCCTCTCGTACTCAATTGGACGCGGGCCTCGGCTGCTCTCGCACGCGATTGGATGCTGGACTTGCATGGAAATCTCGCGACAGCTCTCGTGAGGCAGGAAACTGCGCGCTGCCCGGTGCCATCTTGGCTCTCATTCGCCGCACTACAGTTTCGGGGGATGGCTTTGGGGAGAAAAGGCAGCTAAGGTTCAGCGTTCAGCTACTCGTTCCGGTGCTTCCACTCAATGAATGATGGCGTCCGCCAGTACCGGGAGCCGCGTCTCTTGCGGGAGAGATTTAAACTGCGTGCCCGAAGTCGCAGATACACTTGCCGCGGTCGCTAAACTCGGGTGAACAATCGGGGGTTTCGTTTTTTAATGTTGAATTAAAAATTGAAGCGGACGGATGCGCTTTTGGCTAGTTAGCCGCACGTGATGCTCACTTGGAGTAGCCGGATAGCAGCAGGTCGCTAAGTTTATCTCACACGTGCCCGTGATGGTAGCCGAATGGCTGCCCTAGGAGATAACGAGTTACACTGTTACTGCACGCTTCTAAATCTGTTTAATTTACCTTGCCTGACCAGCGGAGAAGTTATGGTGTTCTATGTGGAGAAAGGCTGAACCTATTATCTGCCTGGTTCTCTGTGCCCAAGGGATCAAATTCATTTATTGGTTTTAGTTAAATACATCAATTGCGAATTACGTTGCACCTAAATTATTAGGATTAATGCAGTTTAAAAATGGGATGTTAAATATGATTACCGTCAACCATGCCCACTTAGTCAGCAGTAACATACAGTATATTTGCTATTGTAAGATGGTAATAACCATGATTTGAGGTTTTTATTTTTTTATAAATTGGTCGTCACCATTGTGGGTATATTGTAGTTTATGCATTTTATTGATTTTATATTTTGGAGCAGTTTGCAGTCCTACTGTGATTTGAACTGGAAAAAATGTGCCAGTAAATGAATTATTTCAACCAAGCACTCTAAACTCCAGAGGCCTTTATTAGGGCACGCATGTAGGTGCTGCCTGTCCCGACCAAAAATATTAATGTTAAAAGGGGTTTCTTGCCTTATTCAGAGCTTGAAATATATAAATGTTTATATAAACAAAGGTAAAATGCGTTTAATTCAGTGTATCGGCTATTCATGTCTGTTGTGTAAATTATTTGGTACTTGACCTCAGACTAAACCCTCCCTACCAGATTCGACTTCCTGTGCATGCCGCTGTTCCACCCACGCTTCAGGAGGGAGTTTGAACAGGACCCGGCTCGGTCCCGGCGTGGCGCTCAGACGCGCTCCGACCTGCTGCTGTGCGGGAGAGGTGAGGGTTCCCGATCCCCGGGACTCACGGCAGGGAGAGGAGCTCAGCCTCTGTGTGTTACCCATTGACATGTTGCTGGGTATGAGTTTAGAGAGAGTAATGCATCTACAGCGTTGCGTTGAGCTCTGGATGGGATTGGAGCACATGAAATGGCGATGGCTGTGGCGGTAGCGTAACCCTTCGCTTCTTGTCAGATTGGAATACGTTGATAGTGGGCAAGCTGTCGCCATGGATCGAGACGGATTCCGAGCTGGAGATGGAAAGAAGAAACTCGGAGGCGGTGAGTCTGGGGCAGCGGGCCATCTGCGTGCAATTCCCACAGCCCCCCCCCCCAACCCCCATGCTGGATGTGGGATTCAGAGCAACACCTCATTGCAAATAAGTCGCTGTACTCATTATATTGTTTGTGCATGTGGTATTTTACTAAAGCATTCTTTGCATGTACATGCACAAACCCAATTCCTGATTTTAATTCTGATTTATAGGCTTTGGTGCAAGAGCTGAACTTCTCTGCCTACCTCGGCCTGCCAGCGTTCTTGATCCCATTGAAGGGCCCCCACTGTGCCAATCTGGCCCGTGTTCTGCTCAACCACATCAACACGGGCCACCATTCCTGCATGGTAAGGTACCAGCCAGTCGCTCTCTTATGCAAACCGTTGCCGGCCGCTGTACACTTCCTCACTCTTATTTGTATATTTATTTGTTTTTGGGTTTTTTTTCTTTTTGAAGTTCTGGATTCGTGTGCCTCTGGTGGCTCCTGAAGACGTCCGCGATGACCTCATCGAGAACGACCCAATGAATCACTGCACCGAAGCCAGCGACGATGAGCAGACCTGGTCTTGGTGAGTTTTAAGTCTCTGGCTACATCCATACTCCACTGAGCAGAATTGAGGCCTGGATGATCGTTGTGTCAGTGTAGCGTTGTGGTCAGGTATCACACCTCATGATCTGAGGTCCTGCCAGGGGCATTGTTGTTTAGATAGACTCTTATATCTTGACTAAATCATCTATTAACATTACATCTTACTTATTTAACAGGTGCTTTTGTGCATAGTGATGTACAAGTGAGGCAAGTAGCGCATTACAGACAAACGGCAGTCGAGGAGTCAACGAGGCATTAGTGCAGCTTGGCTGAGCTTCCAGTGAATGCTTAGGTACAAGTGTAAGCAGAATTGGAGCAGGAGATGCACAACAACTTCTAACAAAGCAAGATTCTTATAAGACTATTCAAGGAGCACAAGTGCAGCATAAGGACATTCAGGAAATGTAATGAGACATCAGACTAGTAGAGGAATTAATGGAACACATGGGTCTTGAGGCGTTGCATGAAACGACCACTTTACTAGCATGCTGAGGTCTGCACCTCTGTGGTCTGTATGCATGTTGACATGTGTTGCTCTCAGATGTTTATTTCCCGACATATGCCTGCCTTCTGTTCTGATGGACCCACGTTGCTCCTCTCTGATTCCCAGGTGGCATTCGTTCAGGTCACTCTGCGACTACAACAAGAGGGTCTGCCTGGGTAAGATCCATGGAGTAACAAGAGAATGACTCCACGGCCCAGAGTCACATGCAAAGAAATGAGTCTGACAGGAAACACATGAAATGTATCTAGTCATCTGTGGTATTGATACTCAGACTGAAGTCGTGTTTGTGCAGAAACTTGCTTTCAGTTGTAAGGAGATCTTTATTTCTGATGTCTACAAATACCAGGCCACTTTGTGTTACTCTTCCACTTTCTTCTGGGACAGCCATTGAGATCGGGGCAGACATGCCCTCAGATGATGTGATCGACAAGTGGCTCGGCGAGCCAATCAAAGCAGCCGTTCTGCCAACTAGCATCTTCCTGACCAATAAGAAGGGGTTTCCTGTCCTGTCTAAGGCCCATCAACGAATAATATTCCGCCTGTTCAAGGTACAGCACCGGGAAACACGGCGGGTTTGTGGAAAGTTGCGATTAAATGCTGACGTTAAGCCTGCCCAACGTTTCTGTCCCAGCTCGAGGCCCAGTTCATCTTCACTGGGACCAGCCGCCACAGTGAAAAGGATTTCCGATCCTACCTGCAGTACCTGGAGTACCTGAACCAGAATCGACCCGCCCCCAACTCCTATGAGTTATTTGCGAGAGGCTATGAGGATTACCTTCAATCCCCTCTGCAGGTGCAGCCCGTCACTGTTTTTTACTGCTGGTCTAAACTCAGATACTCAACAGTGTTCAATACTACCTTAAATCCTCCACTCTTTTCTCATATAAAGAAAATATGGCAAGATGAATGGGATTAAAATATTAACTAACTAGGAAATCAGTCCAGTTATGGGGAAGATGACAAAAGTCAACTTAGAGAATCACTGGGGCCAGGCCGCCTGTACAGGGCGTCACACGGACCACGGCCGGCTGACTCGTGTTTTTACTTGCAGGTGACGATCCACCTGTGAATCCTTCATGTGACGCTCCTTTACCTGTTAAACGCGCTGTATTGTGTTATCTGTCATTTAACCCCCTTAGGTGGAGTTATTCTACTGTTTTTAATAAGTCAAGCCAGAAGCTTTAGATTTATTTTTGATGTATAGCTAATGTTTAGCATCTTATTTCAGATGTTTTAACTGTAATTTTATAGTTACTTATGAAGTTTTCACCTTTTTGGTTCTTCAGTCTGTATTAATATCCATCTACTCTCACCGTGAATATATCTCTGGATGCTGGCATAAGAGTCGACGTGACTTGATGTTTTGGTGGTGGCTCTGGCTGGTTTTGACGCGGCTCTCTGTCGTCCGTTTTAGCCCCTCATGGATAACCTGGAGTCCCAGACGTACGAGGTGTTTGAGAAGGATCCCATTAAATACTCCCAGTACCAGCAGGTACGGCCGGTTTTCCCGTTTAGTCCTATCCCAGTACTAGCTGCTGAGTCTTCCTTGTGCCTTCTGTTGCCGTCATTGTTTGGCTGCTCGTGGCACAGACTGGCATGACCTGTCGGGTTTGTCCCCCAGGCTGTGTACAAGTGCCTGCTCGACAGAGTCCCAGAAGAGGAGAAGGACACCAACGTGCAGTGAGTAGTGCCTCCTGTTTACCCCAGCATGCTCCTCCTGTTTGAAGCACCATTGGAAGCAGTGCTTCAAGCTGTCCATGTATGTGTTGGCTACAGGCTACGCTGTGGGCGTTAAGCATTGACTTCTGTAAGGAAGCAGCCGTTCGTAGCATGACGATATGCAGCCCGTCATGCGATGCTTGGTGTATTTTGACAAAGCCTCTCTCTGCCAGGGTTCTGATGGTGCTGGGGGCCGGGCGGGGCCCCTTGGTCAACGCCTCCCTCCGCGCGGCGAAGCAGGCCGACCGGAAGCTCCGCATCTACGCCGTGGAGAAGAACCCCAACGCCGTCATCACGTGAGCACGCCGTGCTGGAGCTGGGTGGGGGGGGCTCGTCCTCTCGTTCCTTCGCCTTCTGTCTTATTGGCTGCCGTTCTCCCCTCTGTCCTCTCTTCAGGCTGGAGAACTGGAAGTTCGAAGAGTGGGGCGATCAGGTGACGGTGGTCTCCTGCGACATGCGGCAGTGGGCGGCGCCCGAGAAGGCCGACATCATCGTCAGCGAGCTGCTGGGGTCCTTCGGAGACAACGAGCTGTCTCCTGAGTGCCTGGATGGGGCACAACACTTCATGAAGGGTGAGGCAGAGCCACAGGGCTGGATGACTCTTACTTAATCTTAATTATTGGCTTAAATCAAACATTATTACAGTATGACGCCCTCTAGTAGTTACTAGTAGTTCTCAGGCAGTCAATATGGTGTTTAAATGATCTTCATGTTGGTGTCAAACTGTCAAAATGCCACGTCTCCTAAAGTTACCCCACTATTTGCAGCAATCATGCAATATACCTCTAATTTATATATATATATATAACGCAACCACTAGCACACGTTGTTTGGCTAATCAACAGAGTAATTTTATTTAAGCGAGCTGGTGGTGGAATGGCCAGGGTGCCCCTGAGGAGAGGTTTGGGTTCTTTCTGGAGGACATGAATTCCTGTTGGTATTTATTCTGTTACTGCTAATTAGCATATATCCTTCACCTGTGAGCCGGGTGTGAATCTGAATCGGTAGTTGTTTAACTACCTGGGAGAACTGAAAATACCTGGGTTTGGAATCGAGGGCCGGATTTGAAGAGCCCTGGCATATATTTTAATATTAGTAGTTGTGTACTTTTTTTTTTTTCCTGAACAAATATGCACTTACTACCCAGGTAAGTAGCTTTAAAGGTTTTCTTTCACTGCCTTAGATTTTTGCATAGTACTATATGTCCCATTGCTAATTATAGCTTCTAGTTGATGACCCTTTGCACACTGCATTTACCGTAATGGTCCTATTTATTTATTTAACATGCTGTTTGGTTGTAATCGCTGTTCACTGATAGTGGCCCTTGTGATTCCTGCATAGTAATCTCTCTAACTTATTGAAGTAGCTTAATAAGTTCTGCCCTTCGGCAATGTGGGGGCCGCACTCTTTCAGATGATGGGGTGAGCATCCCCAGCTCCTACACCTCCTTCTTGGCCCCGCTGTCGTCCTCCAAGCTGTACAACGAGGTGCGGGGGTGCCGCGAGCGCGACAAGGACCCCGAGTGCCACTTCGAGACGCCCTACGTGGTGCGGCTGCACAACTTCCACCAGCTGGCCGAGCCCAAGCCGTGCTTCAGCTTCAGCCACCCCAGCACGGGTGAGGGCCGCCGCCTCTGTCCACAGCCGCTTCTGGGAGGAACCAGGCTTTCCCGAACCCACAGTGGGTGGTACTGCTGTTACCCAATCCCCATTGGTCCAATTCACTCCTTTCCCTTGGGCTGAACCAAGCAGTGACTCACAGTCCATGATAACCCCGCCCACAGTGGGATTCAAAGTTGCTTTTCACCAATCACAGGGTGCGGCTCTGCTTCACAGTCCATGATAACCCCGCCCACAGTGGGTTTCACAGCTTCTTTTCACCAATCACAGGGTGCGGCTCTGCTTCACAGTCCATGATAACCCCGCCCACAGTGGGTTTCACAGCTTCTTTTCACCAATCACGGGGTGCAGCTCTGCTTGCAATTGTGGATGTTGGAAGTGATATTTAGGAATGCTCGTTTGTTCCTCGGAGTCCATTTCTGTACCTTAAATAAAGACTGAAAGGTACATTTACAAAAACACACGATGCTTCTGTCTTTCACAGATATGAATAATAACCGGTACCAGTGCCTGCGGTTCTCAGTTGGCTGTAACTCTGTGCTCCACGGCTTCGCCGGATACTTTGAGTCGACGCTGTACAAAGACGTGACTCTAAGTAAGTCCCTGCATTCCCTTTCGGTGCCGGAGCTAAGGGTTCAGGTGAACGTTTAACACTAAACTTACTGTTTGGGTGTCATTGCTACTACTACTCTTTGGTCTGGGGTCCCACGCCTCACACCCTCCTGGAATGGGACCTCATTAGGACCCCTGAGTGGGTTTGAGGCAGGGGTAACGGTGCAGTGGTTGGCACTGACTCCACACTCCTCTAGGACCAGGGTTCGAGTCTCTGCCGTGGTTCTATGTCAATGGAGTTTGCATGTTCTCCCTGTGTTGTGGCAGTGTTTCCTCGGCGTTCTCCAGTTCCCCCCCTCAAAGTATGCTAAGCTGAATTAGTCGCCAAATTGTAGGCGTGCATGCGAGTGTGCCTTGCGATGAGTTGGGCTTTGTGCCCATAGTTTGCAGGATAGGACCCGGATCCAGGCAAATCTGCATAGGACAAGTGGGGATGGATGGATGGATGGATGGAATGTTTGAAGCATCAGACAGGTCTAAACTTGGGGAAATATACTGTTTAGTTATTTTTGTTTCCATTGACTTGTAGTTTTTGTAATTAAACTGAAACTTTCAGCTGAGCTAACTGTACCTTGTGCCTCTACCAGGTATCAAACCAGAGACCCACTCACCTGGAATGTTTTCCTGGTTTCCCATATTGTTCCCGCTCAAAGTAAGTTACCGTTTCCCCTGGTGCAGTGGCCATGGCCTCGCTGTCGCCCCCTGCAGGTCAGTGTTGCTCAATGCACCCGTGCGCTCTTCTCATTACAGCAGCCAATCTCCCTGTCGCGGGGAGACCACGTCAGCGTGAGGTTCTGGAGGTGTAACAACGGCAAGAAGGTGTGGTACGAGTGGGCCGTGACGGAGCCCGTCTGCTCTGCCATCCACAACCCAGCCGGTCGCTCCTACACCATCGGCCTATAGGGCGGCGCTCATGCGGACGTGCAAACCTGCCCCGGTTGTCTCTTGCTGTTGGGTTGTCCTCATTTTTCTCTGTCTGCTGAAGTAAAGATTTTGTGAAAACCCACATGGTCCTGCCTTTGTAACAAACATAGGGGAACCTGATCGGCATTCCTCAGTTTTGTTTCAAATGAGAAACTGGTACCGTGTGTTCCCCTGGTTCTAATGCCATAGGTACGGGTTGTGTCCTTCAAAACTGTTCTACTAAGATGGGGTGTGCAGAGGCACTCAAGTGTGTGTGTGTGCGCGCGTGTGTGTGTGTGTGCGCGTGTGGACACATGTGGTACAAGCCTGAAGGACATTGCTGATAAAATCACTGATATGGCAAATGAAGTTCTGAAACACTTTTTATAAAGAGGATAAAGGCAGTTTATGGCTTTTCCGACGCTAACTGCTTCTTGTGGTTGTTGTTTTCTATGCTCTCGGGAAGATTCAGCGCTCCTTTAATGCCCGGTCATTCTGAAGGTCCCTGTGGTTCTGTTATGCTGAACCAGCTCATGTGCTTAAGACCGCTGCTTGCCATTCTGCGAACACGCGACCCAGGGCCGCCGCCTGAGTAGAGCCGGAGGGTACGTAACCATGGTGACGCGACAGAAGGTCAAACTGTCCGAAAGTTGGCGATGTCTAGGTCAGGCAGATTGTGTTCTGCAGGGAATGTGTCTGTCATGCGTAGACGAGCTTGATTAATTAAAACAACAGAGCCTTCTGTGTCCTCAAAGGCATTTCTGAAGTACAGTGCAGTCAATCATTAAAGAAAGGAATGGTCCTTTTAACAGGGGTTAAGTTAACCTGCACCTTATGTTTACGGGACAGAAAAAATATGTAAGAGGAATGAAGCTGGGCGACGGGGAACTGAGAATGGTGCATTTCCCTAAGAAACTAAGTTGTGTAACTAGATAAATTTCAGCGTAAGCATCTTACAGAATCTGTGTTACAGACATGCAGGAACTATGTTTTTGATTGGTAATTGTTTTCGGATTACAGATAATACATATGCCAGTGTGTTTTGATCCTTTTTCCACCCTCCGTAAATCCCATTTTGCTCACTCCTTGTCCCTTTGGATTTTCCTTGAATACATCCATCTCTCTTTCGTGACTCCATATTCAGTGCAGGTTCCCAGTGAGCTCGAAGCCTATCCTGTACAGCCGTGTTTCCACGTTTTTGCTCCCTGCAGGACAGTCCACATTTTTGCTTCCTACCAGGAGCTGGGAGGGAGCAAAAATGTGGACTGACTTGGAGAGTCCCTGAGGACTGGGTTCGGAAACACGGCTGCACAGCACGGAGCCCAAAGCGGGGGGCACCCAGACAGGATGCTGCTCCTTTGCCATCAGCAGTTTAGTGACACTAATGCCCCTCTTCCCATCTTCCTCTCCCATATTGATTTTTTTCCCTCCCCTGGTCCATCACTCGATATATCTATTTATACATGCACTTTCACAGAACTCAATGTCATCTGTTGTGTGTGTGTGTACATCTGCACTAGTGTTTGCTTCCTGCATTTTGCTGCAAACCCTCAGTGACATATATCCAATTTTCTGCCTTTTACGGTTACACAGTGACAGTCACAGCGGCTGGCAAATTCTTTTCAGCACATCCTGTTACCCCTTTACACTTAAAATTTGTCATTGAAGACATTGCACTTCATAATTAGTTTGGTTTTAACAAAGTCATGGTGATGCTGGATCTCTCTTCCATTTTTTGTTTTTTTGCATCACTTAATTGACATTTCATTAATGATCATTTTACTGCTGTTCCACATTCCTACACTGTTTAAAAAATAAGTACCAGTTTGCACCTTTTGAAGTCATACTTGTCGCTGGGGCTGTATCCTCAAAGCCTGCCGGTTGTGCCCTAGCTGTAGGTAAATGTAGCTTATAGTCTAAGGCAGTGTTTCTCAACCCAGTCCTCAGCAAACCCCAGCCAGTCCACGTTTTTGCTCCCTCCCAGCTCCCAGCCAATCAGAAACACCGAATAGCTGGTACAGGTGCACTGGGAGCTGAGAGGGAGTAAAAACGTGGACTGGCTGGGGTTCGCTGAGGACTTGGTTGAGAAACACTGGTCTAAGGTATAGAAATGGACTCAGGAACATTTTTGTATCATTGAGGATAGGTTATTAATATTGTTGTTGGTACCTTGTGGAACAGAACTACCAGGCCTGTCTGCCCGATGCCACTTCTGTGATCTGTCACTATGACCCTGAGCTCTAAGCCCCAATGGCTTGGTCAGGTACGAATCCGCGTGCCCCCCTGCATGAACGCTTAATTTCTTATTGACTATCAACAAAGCACTACCGAGTGTTTGTTGACTGAAAGCATGCATTGGGAGGTGCGTATCTGTTTTTAAGTCACTGGTTTTTCCAGTGAATCTATTTTTAGAAATTTGCGATAGGAAATGTAGTTACACTTTTCAAACTTGCTGTTCACTGATAGTGGCCCTTGTGATTCCTGCATAGTAATCTGCATAGTGATCACCGACGTCAGTCGGACATGCATGCATGGGTTTTCACAAAATCATTCAGTACCGGTACGCTGCTGTCAGACGTAGCTCTTTTACCCAGTAGAGAGTTAGCGTGATGTATGTAGATCTTACGAGACGCATCCCCTCTAATGACCTGTGGGAGGGAGTATGCGGCAGAGGGAGGTACTACAGTGCCTATGTGATATATGACTGAAAGCCGAGTGGGATACATCACTACGGTCTAGTGCCGACTTCGAATAGATGCGTAAATTATTTTAAACAATCAGATAAACACAACGGATGCAAGAAAGAAGTCATTTGATGAGCGGGACCCATCCATCGTGTTTTCATACGTGCGAACATCTTTCTAAAAGAAGGAAACTATGATGAATGCCGTCGCTTACGCTCGCTGTTGACGACAGACGGTCTGCTATGGTATACAACATGGTTGATTAATTCTGACCCCCTTTTTAAAAAAACTTTCTTTTTTTAATAATACAGACTTTGACGATAGACGGAGAAATAGCCTGAGCCGTCGGACCAGGGAAGTACTTGCATCCATCTCGCTGAAGTTCTGCGCGCTGAATAAGAGCGCGCGACGAGTTCATTATTGCCTATTTGAAAGCAGTTATTATAACAAAGTGCCATTTCTTAATTTTTTGAACTGTCTTACAAAATACGGGAAAACAGAAATCAGCACGAGACGCTGAGTAATTCATTTTACTGTTTTTTTTATCATTATTCAAATTTGTTTTAATAAATAGACGGGCAGATATATTGCGTCAGACGTTACCGTTGCTATATATTGAACATCTGAAGAATACTTTGACGTCATTGATGCGAAATGTTCATATTGGAATTCCACTCCGCACATATATAGGACTGTATGTTACCTCAATTACCGTGGAAGTTCCATCATCTTCATTATTTGTACCAGCACTAAATTAGGCATAAAGACAGTCGTTCTAAGGCTGATCAAAGGATTGCATCTACATTTTTCAAAGACAGCCCTTTAGCCAAGACTGTGACAGTAATTGATCCAAAGAGCGTAGCAGAGCGGGGAAAATGACGGACGGTGCCAGGCAGAGGGGCAGCGTCCCGGTAGCCGCGGAATCCCCGAAGACCGACGAGGGTTCCGGGACCTCCGGCGTGGCTCTGAAGAAAGAGATCGGACTCCTCAGCGCCTGTGGGATTATTGTCGGTAAATTTCCGCGCCAATGAATCGCAGCCAATGACTTGACAACTTTATAGGTTACGCTGTTTTTATTTCTATATTATATATTAATATATTTTTTGGTCAACTTACAAAATTGTGTTAGAAATTATCTCCTTTATCATATTTATTACTGTATAAATTGTTATTGGAAGGAAGACCAAGGAAATTAAGCACTGTAGTGATTAAGGAATACTACATGTGACGAAATGGACACGTGTTCATATCAGTCACGGACACTCGGCCAAGCTGTAATTGAACCTTGAATAACTTAATTTGACCATTTTCACTACATTATCCAATGCACACTGGATGCACTTTAATGGTAAGGTGCAGGTATTTGGTTCATTAGCAGTGGCATCTTCAGTTAGTCAAATAAATGTGATGTTACTGTACACATATGGCATGGATATGCACTAACTGGGGTGTTGAAATTGGGTTTTAATTAGCAAAATGTACTACAATATAAATAACTTTAGTATGCTATCCAGAATAATGAGCAGACTATAGGCCATGCTGAGTTTCCCCTTGGTTTCAAGACAGGGAAGATATGATGTAATATGTAACATCCTTTGCAGCAGGTCACATGACACCCCTGGGCTGTGGGTATCTCTTGAGCGGTTGCAGTGTTTGCCCGGGTGTCTTCTGAGTCACCCAAAACCACGCAGGCTCCTCCTGGCTCAATGTGTGCTCATGATGGATGGATCGGGTTGTTTCTAGATGAGGCTGGAGTCCCCTGCTACAGGAACAGACTTCATATCAAAAGTCGATGCTGAGTGTAGCATCCGGAAGGCATTAAAACCCCGTTCTATATTTAAGCGGCCTTATTTTTATGCTGAATGTCTTACGCTTGATATTTAATAATACTGTGTTTGATCCACACCTGCCTTGCACCCTATGCTGTTTGGGATGGTCTCAAGGCTCCCATGAGTAGTTGGAAGATGGGAGGATGTAGGATTTTATACCATAACCTTCAGTAGGACAAATCATCTGAATATGATTATCTTATTTATTTCTTTTTTCGAAAGCAAAAAAACAGCATGCACCTGCGTAGACCTTTGTTTTCTGATTTGTGAGTCTTAGGAGACGGAACCTGCCTCCCACACAGAACAAGAAATCCAGTCATCACCTCACTTGCTTCCAGCGGCATAGTCATACACAATTAAATACGCGTAATTGTACAAAGCACCATCTCCAGCATGGTAGGCTATGTAAATGCACGGATATCCGTCACTGTCCTATGAAGTACATGGAGTCATCGGCAAAACACGACTATTAAACTTTGCTATGGCAATGCAGTCTTCCACCCTGCGTGTTCCTGAAGTCCTCACGCGGCGGTATATGTGCCTGGCATGGTCACGCGGCGGTATACAGTATGTACCTGGCATGGTCACACGGCGGTATATGTGCCTGGCATGGTTACGCGGCGGTATATGTACCTGGCATGATCACGCGGCGGTATATGTACCTGGCATGATCACGCGGCGGTATATCTGCCTGGCATGGTCACGCGGCGGTATATCTGCCTGGCATGGTTACAGGTTTTGACACCAGCGGAGTTGCATTTCGAGGGCAATCGATGAAATTGTTATTTGGCTAATGCACGTTCTGCTGAGTCGGCAGCCTGCGCGTGGTAGGGCATGCATTCGCGTATTACATCGTGCAGCCTGCTATTGGACCCATTGGTTCATGGTTCAAGGTCACTTCACTGTCATCGATAGCTGTGTACACATACGAGATGAGGTGTTTCTCCATGAACCTCGATGTATAACAAAATGCAATTTGCAACAAGGACAAAAAAACAACAATATACAGTACATCAACATAATCGTATAGGACATTGAGGTATTGAGGTACTTTACTGATATTTAAATATAACCAGCATAATGTGCAGTACTGGGCAAAAGTCTTTGGCAGCCAAAGAAAATGATGTTTAAATGATATTAATGTTTGCATAAAACTATGCTATTATGCCTGTCAGAGTGTGTCAACTTAGTCATTGTAAAAGCCACCCCAGTATTTGCAGTAACCATCCAATACACCCGTGTGTTTTTTGGCTCGACCGCTAGCACACCTCATATGGCTAATCAATACCTCATTGGCTTTTTAAACTTAATTAATCAATTAATAGTTAGCTGGCGGTGACATTTAAGAAATACATGGAATGGCTGGGCTGCCCCTGAGGAGAGGTTTGGGACCTGAAGCCGTGTCCATCCAGCCATCTGACAAGATATCAGTAACTTTTTGGAAAACAGAAGAAATTACTGCTAGTTTTTTTATTGTGTTACTCTTAATTTGCACAAGTTCTAATGTCGAGTTGTGCTTTTGTTCTGAGCAAAAGTGCACTTACCAGCCAGATAAATAGCCTTAAGCACTTCTTTGGACTGCCTGAGACTTTTGCACAGTACTGTAAGTGTGGGAAAAGCACCTGGTAACATCCTGAACGTCAGTTATTGCACACAAGGAAAATATAGCAGCATTGCTTGAGTGTTAACAAATCTGACTTTATATACTGTAGACGAGATGAAATGTGATGATACTCGTGCTCGTAACTTGTACTCATGCACTTGCATTGAAGTTTCCATACGTCCTTCCTGAAGTATAAACACAAGAAAAGTGACTTGTTTTTGTGGAACCAGCATACACACTAGTGATCTCCTGGTTGCCAAAACAGAAACAACTCCCCCCACCCCCCAGCCAGTGTCCTCTGGTGTTTCGCTAACATTGCAGATAATAATCAGATTCACCCTCAACACTGTGGACTTAAATGAATCAGTTTTAAATAGTTTTAATAGAAGTTACCTTGTTTTCGTTATTCCTTCATAAGATAAATACTCCCTATACACAGACGGCCAGGCTTAGATTTGCATAATGTAGAGTGATACAATTCAGTGCTGCTGAAGGAGACATTGTAACATTTCTGGTTTCTGGAACCTTAAATTGTGGCCTGTTTTTTAGCTAGATGTAGGTCATCACGTGCTGCGTAAGCGCAGTAATAATAATATAACGCTTGGGAAGGTACATAAAAAGCAGTCACAGCTGTGGGTGGAATCTGCCTGGTTTTCCTATGCTTGTGTGAGTTTCCTCCAGGGAATTCTGGCTTCCATTCAAGTCATGTTGTTCAGGTGACTATGCATTACTTTGTGTAGTGTGTGGGTGGATCAGTGCCCTCTGGTACTTGGGATAGGCTCCCAGTGTCTGAGGAACATAGGTTAATGGGTGTCGAATACGAAGCTTGGTATCCCGAGGTGTAACATTCAGGTAATTTACTAGCATGGCTCAGCTGGTAGGTGATTAAATCCTTGTGTTTTTGTTGAATGTGTCACGAGTCCATAATATGATACTTTGTATGTTCCTCCCTTAAGCTCCTCCAGAATGTGAGCAGAAGCACCAACTTTGCATGTCTGGCCTAAACGTCCTGGAGGCTTTCGTGATGAAATGTGGGGCACCTTTTGTCTTTGTTTATTCCTGTGTTGCTGCGTAGTGGCTTTGAGGTTAATGGTTTGGCTGCAAACACATTTGTAGAGTGAGGAACCTGATAAAATTAGAGAAACGTTCACAACAGCTGTTAAGAATTATAGGACAGTCAATGCAAATCTCAGTCCACAAACAAACATGGTTAATTTAGTCTATGTAGGAATGTAGACGTGTGTGTGTGGGCTGAGCAGAGCTGAGCTGACAGTCCTGTAGAATGTTGAAAGGACATCCACTAATTGATGATGACAACATCAGCATCACACCATAGAAACAAGCCTATTACAGAATTAATTTATCATCCAGGTTCCAGGGTATAACCCATCCGATTGTTCTCTGTCCTGAATCATTGTACTTTATTGCTCTACATACACCTTCTGGTCCACCCTGCTCGATTGCATCAGCTGCTATCTCCAATAATCATTCAGCTTTGTTCGACTTCTGCATTGTACTAGGCCACAATGTGGTTCTCTACATGAGACAGCGCTCAGGATGTTGTGTATACGGCCAGTACTAACCAGATTGGCTGGGTGGTTTTTTCTCTCCAGCACCCTTATTGGGTCTGCCTGCTCCTAAGGTTGGCACCCTTTCAAGGCCGTACCCCATTCCAGTGCTGTGTTGTGCAGACTGTCCCTACCAGGAAAAATCCCATGTGAAATGAGTAGCATGCCCATTTATTCGCATTAAGTCATTCCAGTGACTGCCATCGATTTCCCAGTTCTTAATTTAGCCCTGTTTTGCATCTGTTCAGGCTATAGTTCATTTCTTGTATGGTTTTTCTGCTTCTCTGCCATTCGGTTTTTTTTTTTGACCACACTTCCTCTGGTTGGTTATTGTAGTGACACACGCACGGCTTAGACTGCCTCGGTTGCATCAGATCGCTGTTACTCTCTTCTCATTCTAAGTTTGCATTGCTGCATTTTCTGTCTCACTTTGCTCTGGTTAATCTCTGGCCTGAAACCTGTCCTGAAGACCCAGGGTGACCAACCCTCATCACCGGGGGCTGAAATTCTGCCTATATTGACTCAGTTCTGCCTATATTGAATCTGCAGTTATTTATTAATAAACTAATTATCTGGCAGCCACATTTTTATCTTTAGAATTAAGTGATGACACACCACATTGCACAACAACAAAATGTGTTCTCTGCATTTAACCCATATCTGACACAGCAGGGCGCAGCTAATTCAGCACCCAGGGAGAAGTGCTTGGGGACAGTACCTTGTTCCAGGTACCTTGCTGGTCAGGGATTTGAACCTGTAATCTCTTAATTACAAGTTCATTTCCCTAACCATTAAGCCACCACTATCCTGGTTTGACCTAGGCTCTACATAACAAGGGTTTCCAAGCTTCCAGACCGCTCTTCCGCCCCTTAAAGTCGTCTTCCGCCCCTCTCTCGTTGCCCCAGGTAACATCATCGGCTCTGGGATCTTCGTGAGCCCCAAGGGTGTCCTGGAGAACTCGGGCTCGGTCGGCCTGGCCCTGATCATATGGGTGGCCACTGGGGTCATAACCGCTGTGGGGGCGCTGTGCTACGCCGAGCTGGGAGTCACCATCCCCAAGTCCGGAGGAGACTACTCCTACGTCAAGGACATCTTCGGTGGATTGGCGGGGTGAGCGCTTGGGACAGCAGTGTTGACCCAGCTGAGTTGAGGGTATATTCAGAGATTTAAAGACGCCACTTCGCCTAACCGCATGCTTCATTTCAGGCAGAATCTAGGCCATCAAACACAGTTCATGCATCCCCTCTCCTGCTGTTCTGATGCCTGTTTTATTTCTGTACTCTACTTCTATATGAATTACTTCTCTAACCCCTGGCTAACAGAGAACTAGCCGTGCACAGAGATTAAGGCAGTGGTTCCCCACCCAGTCCTCAGGGACCCCAGACAGTCCACATTTTTCCTCCGGGAGCAAAAATGTGCACTGTCTGAGTTCCCTGAGGACTGGGTTGGGAACCACTGGATTATGGGATTAATGGTGAATCACACTGCTGCACACTGGCATTTTATTGATGCATGTACAGGAATAAAAGATTTATGGCAACAACAAGCCAGGCCATCTTGGGCCTTGGAGTACGTCCATGCACTGTCGACATAATCGATGTCCGTTTACTATGCTAACTCTTGCGTCCCCTCCTCACAGCTTCCTACGGCTCTGGATCGCCGTGCTGGTGATATACCCCACCAACCAGGCCGTGGTCGCCCTCACCTTCGCCAACTACGTGCTGCAGCCCCTCTTCCCCACCTGCCTGAGCCCGGAGATCGGGCTCCGCCTTCTGGCCGCCCTCTGCCTGTGTGAGTTCCCTTGCACGCGTTAAGTAGCCGGCCAGCTGGTATCCGGGTCGTTTTTAGGAGGATCGGGAATGTGTTCGGATGTGTGGACGGGCTGGCAACTACGCGCCATCGTTTTAGGGAGAAAATCACTGCTGTAGGTCAGTGTTTCCGAATCCGGTCCTTGGCGACCCGCAGCCGGTCCACGTTTTTGCTCCCTCCCAGCCCCCTATCAGATGGTCAGCCACCGCTTATCCAAAGCATGATTGTGGATGGATGGATGGATGGATGGATGGCTTTTATGCTCCTTGGGCCTGTGTCACGGTGTTTAACTAACACGCTCTGCAGGTTGCAGGAGCTGCTTGCCTGGGCAGCCATCGAAGCGGAGAATCGCTTTTATACTTTTATGGTTCTTTTATTTCCTTCCCGTTGGTTTGGTTTGGAGCGGCTCATTAATTTTCCCTCAAGCACGTGCAGCAAATGGCATGTCTCTGCCCATGTGAATTAAGGTGAGCTTGCTGAATGTTATTTCCCAGGATTCCGCAGGGTGGAAAAAAAAAAAACATTCTGCAGGCGAACTGGCGTGGTTTTTCAAAACCAGTTCAATCCGGTCCCAAGTAATCCTCACTGTTTACTGGATGTGGCAACATGCTTTTTTTTTTGTTAGAGTTGAAAGCGTTTAGGGTGGCCATGCTTGTCTGTGGGGGCGTGTTGTTTGTGGGTGTGTGGATTAGGGTTGTATTACATTGACGTTGTGGGGACCAGTTTTCAGGTCCCCACAAAGATCTGTGAATGCAATCAAAAAAGTAAAAATTACAAAAGGCTCGTATTCTGTTAGGTTACTTATGGTTAAGGTTAGGGCTGGGTAGGGGTTAAGATTGTCATAGTTAGCATTAGCATTTTTCCCATGGAAATCAATGAGCGGTGCCCATAAAGATATAATTACAAACCTGTGTGTGTGTGTGTGTGTGAGAGTCACATGTGTGTCACATGCTCTCTAGTGTTCAGCCATCCGGCGTGTGAGGCCGCCTACCCCCACTCTGCTCCTTGGTAGCGACACGGTGGTTTATGTTACCTTCAGGCAGATGCTGTTTCAGGGTTTGGTTTCCGAAGCGCATCTGAGAAGGGCCACATCGCCACCTGCTTCCTTCGGAGCGGAGAGCTGAAGAGTCGCTGTAGTGTCTTGTGGTCTCTTGGCCTTGGCTTTAATTTTTTATTATTTTTTTTAATGCACCAAATATGCACGGTTTGGCACCAAGAAATTTAATTTGAGCCATTTGGCTCAGTTTCTTTTGTTGCGCAATCAGGTCCTGTTTGTGCATAGAACTAAAATCCGTAAATCGTTTTAAAAGGGCTGCAGACGCCCACGTGTAGTGGGAGAAGCAGAGAAGCCACATGCTATAAAATTAAGTGCATATGACCTCCAGAATGGTGTCTGTCAACTTGGTTGTTAATATGTAATTGTTTATTGCCATATCATGTTATTTCAATGTGGACGGCTTAAGAGAGCCAAATTTTGAGTTATTTTTACTGCTATCTGATGATGCAGCAGAGTTAGAGCTGTTTATGGACTTGGGTTTGAAAATGGCAGCGTTGACGGCGTGACTTTGAAGGTCAGGTGAAACAGGCATTCGTTTAACCAGCCAATAGAATGAGCCGGAAGCCCTCACGCAGGCTGCCGTGACAACACGGGGGAGGAGTCAAACTCCACATGACGCAGGTCACACACAGAGGGAGGAAACAGACTGAAGCCCCCTAACACTGCCTGCTGTTAACCTACTTCAGGGTTCTTCAAATCTGGACCTCGAATCCAAATCCAGGCCTTGTTTTCAATGCTCCCAGTTAGTTGGTTTAATAATTACTGATTCTGATTGGCCACAGAGGCTTCACACCCAGCTCACAGGTAAAGGAAGGCTGGAAAATCAGCAGGGCTCAGACCTTGAGGACCGTGATTTGAATAACCCTGACCTACTTGTACACAGTGATGTTCAGCTGATACTCACAGTTCTGAATAAGATGGATACTTTTGCTGATGTACCTTGACAAAGGACTGTCAGTGCAGTGTCTTTTATTCATTTATCTGATACTTTTTTCCCAATGCAATGTGTGCTTTTTGGGATTTGACCCCACAACCTTTGCATCGTTAGCACAATGCACTACTTATTGAGCATTAACCCCCCCTCCCTCCCCACATCTCTTTGCCTCAGTGGTGCTGACCTGGGTGAACTGCCACAGTGTCCGCTGGGCCACCCGTGTCCAGGACATCTTCACCATTGGCAAGCTGCTGGCGCTGGGCCTCATCATCACCATGGGGATCGTGCAGATCTTCAGGGGTACTGCTCATCTTCTTTCGCGCTTCGTGCCCCTCGTGCTCAGGCGGTATCTGATGACTGTATATGAATGACCCTCCTGTTCTCTCTCCTTCATAATACTAAGTTTATTATGTGGTGGATTAGAGAGATCACTGATGAAATGTGACTCTTGGCGATGTTTTCAGTAAGTCCATGCATGCACGGGATGATGGCTTCAGCAGGAAGTCAGTTTCAAAGCTCAGTTTCAACTTAAGAGACTACTCTGTATATATATATATATATATATTTATCTGTATTTGTAAAATCCTGGTTTAATCCTGGATCTGCTGGCAGAAGGCTACACAGCAGGTTGCTTCCAGGCTCAAAGTTTCTTAGACAAGCACAAGGTGAAACAGGAGACAGTGGGAACGACCAAAAACCAGCCAGGTAGAGGGTGGAAGCGACTTTCTAATGCCAGAGATGACCGTCAACTTATCTGACGGATTATCATGAATCGGAGGATGACCTTAAGTGACCTTCAGAAGGAATGGGAAACATTAAGTGCAGGTGTGAAGTGCACTGCTAGGATAATTCATAACAGGCCCCTAGAAGCAGGACTGAAGTCCCATAAAGCAGGGAAGGAGCCCTTCATTAATGAGAAGCAGGGAAGAACCAGGCTGCAGTTTGCAAAAAATATATATTATTCACAGACACACACCCATAAACTGAAAAATGATTGAAACAAAAAATTGTGCTCTATCTGTTATATTAACTCCCCCATGCTGTGTTGTATTCAGTCACATAATAAATGCCAAAATAATAGTATAGTACATGTTTAGCTGTCATTGATGATGTTCGACCGTTTTGAAGACTGTAATGACTGGAGCAGTTCATCTTTGTTCTATAATCGAATGCTATGTCCTTAGCTATATTGAGAGTGAATTGTCTTTAATTCCAATTCCCGATTGTCTACCTGTTTCTCTGTCTACCTGCCTGTCTGTCTCTCTCTCTCTCTGTCTGTCCGTCTGTCTCTCTCTCTGTCCGTCTGTCTGTCTGTACGTCTCTCTGTCCGTCTGTCTCTCTGTCTGTCTCCATCTCTCTGTCTGTACGTCTGTCTGTCTCTGTAACTCTGTCTGTCTGTCTCTCTGTCTGTCTGTCTACCTGCCTGACCACCTGTCTCTCTGTCTGCCTGTCTGTCTGTTATTTTGTCCAACTCTCCACCTCCTTCCCCTTTCTCCAGGGAGGTACTACTGGTTGGAGCCGGCCAATGCCTTTGCGACTTTCCAGAAGTGTGACGTGGGGATGATTGCCCTCGCCTTCCTACAAGGCTCCTTCGCCTATGGGGGCTGGAATTTCCTCAACTATGTTACAGAGGAGCTGGTGGACCCCTACAGGTAAGCACCCCCCCCCTCCCCGGGCCAATGGTGTGTGCAGATGAAAGTCCCATGTTACAATTCCACCAGTCAGGTCAGTCAAAACCTCCTAAGGTCCCGGTTCCACCCACCAGAACTTTAATTGAACTTTCTCAGTCAGTGCTGAAGGAGGAGACGTGTGTTTCTGCATCTGAGTGCATGCCCAAGCTGCATTAATATCCAGGAAGGCATGCTTGCATTGATGCAGGATAAGAATCCCCCTTTTCCTGCCCCATCCAGAAACCTGCCCAGGGCAATCTTCATCTCCATCCCCCTGGTGACGTTTGCGTACGTCGCCGCCAACATCGCTTACATCACCGCCATGAGTCCCCGGGAGCTGCTGGCCTCCAACGCCGTCGCCGTGGTGAGGGACCGTCCCTGACATTCAGCACCACAATGGCCATGGCAGCCCTTCAGTTACAATATTACCTTTTTATTTCTGCTTGAGATGAAACAAAAACACCGTAAAACTGTATTGAAACGTATCCTGTCCTTATTGAAGTTGGGTGCTGTGAGGAAAGTTAGAATGGCTGAATACAATTTACATACATTCCCTTTAAAGTGTAACATATAATGTCATATAAAGTCGTATACATAATATCTCCTTGTTAAATATCTATCTGTCCATCTTCTAATCACTTATGCTGATAATTCTGTTCATACTTTGTTGACTTTCAGTCTTCTCCAAACGGTGTGCTGCCTTTCTGGAAGTAGGGTAACAGTGCATTACAGTGCATTAGCCTAGACCCATGAGAGTTCTGTTGTTGTGTTCTGGGTGTGATTTAGTGTCTTTGTCGGCCTGCTTTGTGTGTGAAGACATTCCACACACGTGCCCTTATCTGATTTTGTGCGCCAGCCCGTCTGTCTTATAACTGCCCTCTCGCTCCCATCTCAGACATTTGGCGAGAAGCTTCTGGGCGTGATGTCTTGGATTATGCCCATATCTGTGGCTCTGTCCACGTTTGGTGGGGTCAACGGATGCCTCTTCACCTCATCCCGGTCAGTCTCTGTGCCCCATCCTGCACCCGTCCTGTCCTGCTGTCGCCACCCTGTTCCATCTCAGCCCACTGCCATACCGCTCTAACCCAACCAATCAGGAACCAGGGCCACTTAAAGAGACTGAAACCTGAAAAACATGTGTGTCTTACAGGAGTTTCAGCGCTGTCCCTCCGTACAGGCTGTTCTGCTGGCAGGTGCCTAGTGTTGCAGATATCGGCCGTAGAAATGTTGGGCTTCCCTCAAATATAATGGGACTGAATAGCATTCTTTCTTTGTGGTGATGAAAAGGCCAGAAAAATACAGTCAGTATTAGATTACTGTGTGTAAATGACTGAACTCCACACACCAACAAACATGCTTTATCTGCCATTTGCAGTAACAATGGAACGCTGATCTTCGTCCAACCCCATCTTGCTGTGTATGGCCTGGGGGTCACAGCGCAGGGTCAGCCAACATTCAATTCGAAAAACTTTGTCTCCGAAGGGGCAATTAAAGAAAGAATGTGGCGTCCCTGGGGCTGGGGGTTTAGGGCCGACAGACATGACTGTTCTGTCGAGGTCTGGGCTCAAACTGGCAATCTTCTGCTCTTAGCCCGCTGGGCTACTAACCTCTACCAATCGTATCACTCCACAGCAGATATCGCTGAGGTGCTCCTGCTGGTATGTTCCGCGCAGTGATACGATTGGTGTGTGGAGTTCGGTAGAAGTAAATAGTTCCTATATTAAACTGCTCACTACAAAGTCTGTGGATTATATTCAAAACTGGGTCATGATTTCTGGTAAGAGACATTGCTGTTGGATTTTTCAGATGTAGCTAGATAGCTCTAAGGTCCCTCTAAAATATCTTTTTTTCAGTTTTGGGGTAAACTTCTTCTTTAAGGGACTGGTTTCTCGCTCAGACTTCCCCATGAAGTTGTGTTCTGACTGGGTTTCCTAACCTAATTTATCTGAATCTTCTGCCAGATAAATGCCCCCATTTTTCCGGAGTATTCTCTGGTGCTGCCTTTTTGTAACCCGACCCCTTATTTTCGCATTTCTGCAGTGCATTAGCAGGCCCAAAAGCCTGAATCCCTCGGCCTGTTGTGTCCCTTCCTACACGACCAGGTGGAGTCTGTTTGCATAGATCATAATAACTGCCTCCCACAATGACATGTTATTGTGCAGTGATATCCGGTGTTACTGTGCAGTGATATCCGGTGTTACTGTGCAGTGATATCCGGTGTTACTGTGCAGTGATATCCGGTGTTACTGTGCAGTGATATCCAGTTACCGTGTCTCCCCTGCTGTAACTCCCCGCTCAGCGTCGTTTGTGGGTTATGTCTGCATTTGCTGGACCGGCCATTTCTTTCTCAGGCTCTTCTTCGCTGGAGCGAGGGAGGGCCACCTTCCCCGGCTGCTGGCCATGATCCACGTGGATCGCTGCACCCCCATCCCGGCTCTCCTCGTCACCGTGAGTCCATTATAACCACCGCCCCGCACCTTCCAGAACATTCCGCTACTGAAGGCCTGTTATCTAGCACAACGTGTATTATTTATAGACATGAACTATGTGCTGAAGGTTTTCTTCTTAACAACTACAGATTATGAATGACAGGTTATAGCAATTGGGAATATTATGACTAATAAGGGCACAGTTAGAGGTTAGTATGATTATCTTCTTATCAGTTTTGTGACAAGTGCTGCTTCTTCTAACAAAGCCTGTCGCTCTTCTTTTTGTTCTGCTTATGTAAATCTGGGGTGGTGGTGGTTTAAACGCTGGTGCGGAGTTAGAATCAGTTGTCACTTCTGCAAGGGACGTTGGATGATGTAGCGACGGGTACATTTCCATTGTTCTGAAAGTCGCACATTTCACTGGCTAACCGAAAGTCTGTTCGCCGCTGTCTCTGTTCCCCAGTGCGTCTCCACACTCCTCATGCTCTGCACCAGTGACATTTACACGCTCATCAACTACGTGGGCTTCATCAACTACCTATTCTATGGGGTCACCATTGCTGGGCAAATCGTGCTGCGCATCAAGAGTCCAGATATGCATCGGCCAATCAAAGTGCGTATCCGGCGAGGCTGCCGCATTCTCATTGTTTGTCCCCAGCGATGCCATGCCTAGTTGTGAGTCAGGAGATTTGCCAGTGTAGACTCCATTTCTTATATGCTATTGTTTGTCATTCATTATTTCAACATAATTTTACTGAAATGGTTGTGTGACTGGAAGAAAAAAGAAAAAGAAAAGGTTGTGTAGGCCTTGCCAGGCGGCGGCATGGTGGTGCAGTGGTTACAGTGTTCCAGTGGTTACAGTGTTCCAGTGGTTACACTGTTGCAGTGGTTACACTGTTGCCTCTCGCCTCTGGGACTTGGGTTCAAGTCTCTGTCAAAGGTCCTTGTGTGTGGATTGGCATGTTCTCCCCGTGTCATTGAGGGGTTTCCTCTGGGTACCCTGGTTTCCCCCCACAGTCCAAAAACATGCTGAGGTTAATTGGAGTTATCAAATTGCCCATGGGGGTGAATGGTGTATGAGTGTGTCCTGCAATAGGTTGGTGCCCCATCCTGGGCTGTTCCCTGCCTTGCATCTGTGGGATGGGCTCCAGCCCCCCCCCCCCCCCCCCCGCAACCCTGAATAGGACAAGCAGTTTCAGAAAATGGATAGATGACAGAGATGCCCCTTTTAGAGTTACGACATTGAGTTCTGTACCAGGTTTGGCCTGATCCGTCTTCCCTGTCCCTCCCCAGGTAAGCCTGGCCTGGCCGGTCATCTACCTGCTCTTCTGGGCCTTCTTGCTTATCTTCTCGCTGTATTCGGAGCCGGTGGTGTGTAGCATCGGCCTGGCCATCATGTTCACGGGAGTGCCTGTCTACTTCCTGGGTGTTTACTGGGAAAACAAACCCCAGTGCTTCAACAACTCTGTGGGTACGTCAGACATCTGCGCGTTCCCGGCGACAGTGACAACCACCATGATGATAATGATGATAATAATGACACATCTAAAGGTTACAAGTTATTACGGTAGGATCGTCATGGTAGACCATCCTATATGGGTTATTACGGTACGATCGACATGGCAGACCATCCATATATGGTGACCGCAGGAAGTCTTGGAAAGCTTGCTTAATTCAGCAAAAATATTTGTTTTATAACAAAATCATTACTTTATTCCTTTGTTTACAAAAACACATGTCACATTAGAAATAATCAGTAGTTTTAAGTAAAGTAAAGTAGTAACATACTGAAACCTAAATTATAGTTTTAAAAAAGCTGCTCTGAGTTAAAAAGTTCATTGACAAGCAGTCTGACTGGGTGCTTTTTACTTAGTAACACATTTGTAGTAACATAAAACACCCAACATTTTGATTAATATCCCTTTGGAAGCCATTGACTGCAATTGCGATTAATAGCAAAATGGGAAGGACCAGGATTGAATAGGTCAGTCAAAAAAATAATGGCACTAAATAAAAATGAAAATGTCTGTGGTGTGTTCAGATATGTTAAACAGTGCTTGTCAATGGTCTTTTGATATGGAACCAATAAATCTGCAGCACTGTTACAGAATTAAGCAAATGCCCAAGACTTTCTGTAAGCTCTTTATTCATCGTTTCATCGTTTCTTATACCAAGAAGGGTAGTGCACAAGGCTGTGCGACAGCCAGGGGGCATCAAAGCGGCATGGATACCCTGGCAGATTCTGAGGGCCCAGCACTTTACAGGGGCCACAGTAGAGGCATTGGATACCCTGGCTGATTCTGAGGGCCCAGCACTTTACAGGGGCCACAGTAGAGGCATTGGATACCCTGGCTGATTCTGAGGGCCCAGCACTTTACAGGGGCCACAGTAGAGGCATTGGATACCCTGGCTGATTCTGAGGGCCCAGCACTTTACAGGGGTCCTTGTATATGTAAAGTTATACATACAATTGGAAGGGAGGATAGGGGGCCAGTATTTCTGGGTACGGCCTGATAATAAAAGTAATGATTAAGGACCGTTCCTGTCATTTCTACCCTCATTTTTACAAAGCCAATTAATAACTGATTATTATTAATTGTAATTGTGCAGTTTTGAGTATTATATATTTACATATTTGAGTACTGGTGATTGTAGAATGATGAATGACCGAAGCCCGCGGCGTATCTCTGTCGTCCTCCCTACAGACCGGCTGACGTACATAGGCCAGAAGCTGTGCATGGTGGTGTACCCAGCGGAGGAGAGCGAGGGGGGCAAGACCAGCAGGGAGGCAGAACCAGAGGAAAAACAGGCCCTTAATTCAGGAGAACTCTGAGCATGACAGGCCTCTCCCTGACCTACTAGAGCATCATAAAAATAATAAAAAAAAATATATAAAAAACTAAAATAGTGTGAAGGCCTGCATATGCACACAACTCTGAGTGTACTGAGTGGTGCAGACTGCTCTCTTACACAGACTGCTCTCTTACACTCTCAGAAAAAAAAGAGTAAAAAAAATGTACCTTTGCTGTCACTGGAGCTGCACCTTGCGGTCTGCCAATTGTACCATTAGCTGTAGGCAATTGTACCTTTTAAGGTACAGAAATGGACTCTGAGGAACATTTCTGTACCATTGATTGTACATTAATGCTGTTTGTATTTTTGGGATGTTCCTCCAGAGTCCATTTCTGTACCTTAAAAGGTATAATTTCAAGGGTCTTGTACCTTTATTTCTGAGAGTAATGGTGTACGGTATTAAGAAAATGGATTGTCACAGTATTTGTATATTTCAGCTCGTAAGAGCTTTGTAATCTTCTATTGTGCGCTGAGTTCCAGTGTTTGCTTCTAAGCACTATGTCTTAAAGCTTCACTCTACGGGTTTTTATAGTTTCTTTTTAACAACAATGTTGTATTGTAAATTTGACACAGAAAATATTGTCGAGGATAACATCTTTAAAATTACGTGTTCAAACCGATGTCGGTGAATCGAAACGTTGTGAATGACGTTAATGGGGCGGGTACGTGTGCAGAAACCCCCCCACCCCCCCACATCTTCATGCTCCACATTGTGCTTTGCCTTCCATATTCCTACCTAGATTCAAACAACTAATGACTTTTTTCGGGCAATTTATTATAAAGGTACATTTTTCACTAAGTTGCATGTTTTATTGCTTTTCATTTTCTATTTTTATTGTTTAATAGAAAACTGAGGCAAATTTGCCCAATGATGTGCAGAGCAAGTTGGCAGATAGACAAATCAATAGAGCATCTGACAGAAAAGAGAGCGCTATTTAACCATAAACAGAGCTTTAGCAGAGGACAGGAGGACTCGCCTATTGCACTTAGTTAGTATTTCGTGAGTAATGGTCCTGCAGGCACACGACCTTCGCTCCTGTCTGATCATCACTTATTTTTCACTTCTGACAGAAATGCAAAAAATGCCCCAAATATAGGCCACGATGCACAGCTCTTTCATGCTGTGCTTGCATTGCACTAAACGTGTTGCTAAAGGTGGGTTTTCTTTCTTAACTGACAAGCCAGAAATAAAACTCTTATTATAAAAGCAGTCTGCTATCTCAGCGAAGTGAAACAATGCACGGCTTATGAATGTGCTTAACTCGAGCCAGACACACGTCAGCCGTCGACTAAATTCCTATTTCCACCACTACATCGGGGGAGAACTGCCATCCCATTGCCAAATTGATGAATAAATACCATGCCGTCTTTCCTTGACTCATCTCTCACCCGTTATTTAACAAAGGAACACTGGGGCTTGTATTATAAGATGAACTATCAAGCAAGTCAGCTGAAAAATGACAGGAATCACCACAGAGTCATGGAAGAATAGGCAGAGTATTAAATGCTGCTCTATTCTGTCTGAGTGAGCAAAAGGAAACTGCCTGATTAATAATGGTCCAATGGAACGATAATACACAGGATCAGGGTGGAGATTCATCTGGGAGGTTGAAATATGCCAGGATTTTGTCCTTGTAGACCTGCATAATAAACAACCCAGTTTAATACGGCACTTTCAGGTATTATCCATCTTGTCCTTGGACGACATTGTTTTAAGTAAAAGATCTTGTCTTTGCTGACTGGCCGCAGTTCCCAGCTGGTGTTCTGGGCAAAATCAGACCATCTAGGTTCAGGTAAAGTGCACCGTTTATATATATATATATAAAAAATTTCCCTTTTGAACCCCCCATGGGGGGGGGGGGGTGACAGTGCATGGTGACAAAATGCATAACACTGGTGCCTCGCCTACATGGCTGGGGGGAGTCCCCACACCCCCCCACAGTCCATAGACACAGAGTCAGGTTAACTGGTGTCTCTGTGTGGCTGCAATGGGCCATTATCCTGTCCAGAGTGCACCCTAGCCCAGTGATTGCCAACCCGGTCCTGGGGGTCTCCCAGCCAGTCTGACAGGGACCCTCTGGAACCCTGACCAGGAAAAGTGATCAATCGTCATTCTGACGATTACTAAAAATGAAATTGCTTCCCCAGTATGCTGAGCTGTACCCTGCTGCTTGTGTTGTTCACTCTTTCATTGCCATAGCTGATATCGCGCGGCTCGGTGGGGATATACTCTGGCCTTATAACCCCAGGGCTGTGGCTCTGAATCCTGCCTCCCCTCTGTGTGTGGAGGTTGCATGTTCTCCACATGACACTCAGACTTTCACCCACTGTCCAAAAACATGCAGTTAAATTGCAGTGTCTTTATAAATCTGTCCTGCAATGGACTGGCATCCTGTCCAGCGTGTTCCTCTAGCCCCCTATTATTCAAATCACAATCCTCGAGGTCAGAACACTGCTGGTTTTTCAGCCTTCCTTTACCTGTGAGCCAGATGTGAAGCCTCCAGCCAATCAGAATCAGCAATTATTAAACTAACTACCTGGGAGAACTGAAAACACGGCCTGGATTTGGAATCGAGGTCCAGATTTGAAGAACCCTGCTCTAGCCTATACCCAGCTGGACCTAAAATCTCTTCATGTTATAGGCTGGACTGGATAATAATTATATGTATTGAAAGTTAAATGAAAACCATGCAGTGCAAGAACCCGTATATGACTTTTCCTTTTAATGATATGGTCATAACAGATTGCCTTCATGAAGATGTAGCTGTTATTCTGGAACACATTATTTATATAGGGCTGCCAACTCTCACGCGTCTGGCGTGACGCGTTTTCAGTCTCGCGCTCACGTGAAAGCAAATCTATATTATTCCATTATAAACCTAAAAATAGTTACATCAGACGCGTTGGGGGCAGTTTGCAAACCCTACAGACTATTTACAAGGTAATAATACTGTTACTTAAATGTAAATGTATGTGCAGACTTGTCTCGAACTGAAAATCTCACTCTTACCAGCTGACCAAAGTTGTTGGCAACCCTGTTTATAATGAATGTCTGTTTCCATTGTGTCCATTTCCTTCAATGCAGAGAAAATTTATCAGCTTATGCCAGCAGTTCCACCACGTGCTCACCTTCAGTCATGCCTTAGATCTGAATCGTGTTCAACTTTTGTTACACATGAGGTTCTGCACGAATGAACTTGCATATAAAAAAAGGTTCTAAAAAGTAGGCAATGGGAAAAAAAATGAAAAAGACGCGATAGAAAACAGAAGTCTGTGTGGCAGTATAAATGTTGACACGATAAGTAATCTCTTCTGTAAATGTCAGGTTGTCGGATACCTTCTGAAATACACATGCGCAAACATTTGCATTGTCTGTGAGTTGAGAAAAATGACGGCTAACAGCTTGTTGAAATGCTTTCATTATGTCTACAGTGTGGATTCAGTTTAACGCCAACTGGCAGAAAGACTCTCAGCATGCAGGTGACAGGCTCTTTGAACACCCATGAAGCCAGACGAAGACCCAGCACACGCTTGGTTAACAGCGCCGCACTGCCAGTGCTGGCAGCACTGCATGTGAAATGCTGCTCTTCTTTCTGAACAGCTCCCGGATCATTACATATTTATAACGAACGTGAAAATTATACTACCGCATTCCACTTACTATTTGGTTCCAATGCACTTCAGTTTTGTTCCACCATGGGGCTGACCCGGCAAAACACAAGCATTTAAGAAAAGGAAGGAACTATTTGGGAATACAGTTACAAATACAGTGAAAGGCCCTTAAATGCACTTGTTGCTTTAAGGGGGAAAATAGAGCGGGCCCTTTAAGGGGCGTGGCTCCGCTGTCACGGACTGTCAGATGACGGACGCGGGGCTGCGCCTGTGGTTTGTGTTCAGCGAGAGTTTCAAATGGTCCTGGGTCAGCTGGCCGCTTCGGGCAGGTAAATTCATTCATTCATTTAATGTGGCGTCCGGGTGGCGAGAAGCACCTAACCGAAAGTAACCCGCACCCAGAAGACGGCAAATCGCGAAGGTAAGGCGGAAAAGGAGCATCTGGCCGGGCTGCTAGTTACCTTGTATTATTGCGTGTGGGTTTAACGGTTAACTGGATATCTACCCACCCCGCACTCGGACGACTCGCTACTAGGAAGTTGCTGTCATATATTCATGACGTGAAGGGATCTGACAGTGCAATTAGCTTACAGGCGTAGACTGGATGTTTTGGTGCGTTGCCCTCGTCTAGGTATCTAGAATTATAGATTTATTCGGAGTATTATTGCAGTGTGTCGATTTTAACTTGTCACGCGAAAAACGCAGTAGGCAATTTACGTACATTAATACACCCTTTTCTATTTTTTGGAAATATAATAGCCGGATTCTGTGATTTCTAGAATAAATCGGTGTTTATTATGCGTCCCACCTGGCGCGCCGTGTCCCTGGCGCCTAGTCAGGACCATCGCGACCGGCCGGGTCTGACCTCGGCTCGGTTGGGCTGCTGCCCTGCATCGTCGGTCCGCTATGTCGGCGGCCGCTCACATGTAACGCTACCCCTCAATATGGCGATGGCATTGGGGGAGAGGACGGCGTTGGCCGTGTGGCGGAGCGCAGCGGCGGCCGGGGGGGGAGGGGACGGCCGAGATGCCTTTGCGGACCGACTAGGAAGCGGCGGCTCGGCGCACCTGTCATGCGGAAATGCACGACCCAAAAGCGGGATCAGCGAGCACTCGCGGCTCTTCTGCGTGTCTTTAAACTTAAAAAACATCTGCGACAAAACAGTTGCCTTTTCCCTTTAATTAAGTAACCCAACTGCCAAATATTTTAATTCGTCTTACCTATGAATAGTTTGCGTTGTTCTGAATATAGATTATAGGTTTGCATAGTTTGGAATAAACGACAGTAGGTCTACAGTAAGTGCTATTAACTCTGTTTGTTAATGATCGTTTCGTATGTTGATGTGTTAATTTTTTGTAAATTGCATTGCGTAATTGTCTTTTTTTTTTTTTTCTCCCACAGTGAAACTTTTCCCTGTCTGCAGGGTGTGTTGTGGAAACGCGTCCAGATCTCCAGTGCTGGGAGTCTGATCTGACTATCTGGCAGGCATGTCCCCGTCAGTGCGGCTGCAGGAGATGATCCGCGTGATCCGAAGTGCTCGGACCCAGTGCGAAGAGCGCGGAGTCATCCAGAAAGAGTGTGCAGCCATCAGGGCGCAGTTCCGGCAGGCGGACAATGGGGGACGCTCCCACAATTTGGCCAAGCTGCTTTATGTGCACATGCTGGGCTACCCCGCCCACTTTGGACAGGTAGGGGCTAGTGTAGCTTGTAGTTAGTCCTGTTTGGCCAAATGTGACAGTGTGGTGTGCCTAATGGAATGCCTAAGTACATGTAAGATTAGAGCCAAATAAACTGCCCTGACCGTAAAAAACAAAAGCTCCACTTCAAACATTGCCTGTATTCATTCAAATGGCTTTTCTATTCACTCTCTCTGTGTTAGTTGCTGTATTGTGCCCACATACGAGATAATACTGACAATGACTTGGTCCTTTATGTTGGAAACCAGCTTTGTGACCAAAAAAAAGCTTTGCAGAGTGGGGAAAATGTCTTTTTTTTAAGCTCTATAGATACAGATGTTAAAAAACACAAATGATAATGCTGAATATTTAAGGTTTTGCTTGCTTTATCCTATTTACTTAATCATGCATGATATCAGATGGATTTTTATTTTGAGACTTCTTTAAAATTTGTTTTATGACTGAGCCTCCCCGTGGACCATGAGCTGCTATTACTCCTCCTCACCTCTAGATGGAGTGTGTGCGACTGATCGCCAGCCCTAGGTACAGCGAGAAGCGGGTGGGCTACCTGGGAGCCATGATGCTGCTGGATGAGAAGCAGGACGCTAGCCTGCTCATCACCAACTCCATCAAGAAGTGAGGCCCAGCCACATGGCGACCGCTGCCCCCCCCCCCCCCCCCTCCCTGCTTGCTCAAAGCTGTGAGACACTGTCGCCCCGGTTCACTGTGGCTTTTGCGGTTTCTCCCTGGGGGATTCTGGGAACATCGAGGTCTTGATGTCGCTGTTCTGTCCTTCAGTGACCTGTCCCACAGCAGCCCGTACGTCCAGTCCCTGGCCCTCTGCACGCTGGCCTGCATGGGCTCTGCTGAGATGTGCCGTGACCTGGCTCCGGAGATCGACCGGCTTCTCAAGACAGCCAACGCCTATATCAAAAAAAAGGTCAGTGCTATTGTCAGCCCTTCTACTCTCTGTAGACGCGGATGCGGTGGTCGAAGCTGCAATGACAGTGATGGTTTGTGGATGACGAGAGCCGTGGAGGTGATGTTGATGATGTTCTTGACATCCTGGTTGAGGCAGGCGGCGCTGTGTGCCGTCCACATCGTGAGGAAAGTCCCTGAGCTGGCAGAACTCTTCAATACTGCTGCTCGGTCTCTGCTAACTGAGAAGAACCACGGTAAGCTGACATGTGAATGTAGTCACCTGTCTCTCTATCTGAGTGTCTCTCTGTTCCTGTACGCCTGCCTGCCTGTCTCTCTATCTGAGTGTCTCTCTGTTCCTGTACGCCTGCCTGCCTGTCTCTCTATCTGAGTGTCTCTCTGTTCCTGTACGCCTCCCTGCCTGTCTGTCTCTCTATCTGAGTGTCTCTCTGTTCCTGTATGCCTGCCTGTCTGTCTCTCTGAGTGCCTCTCTGTTCCTGTACGCCTGCCTGTCTGTCTCTCTATCTGAGTGTCTCTCTGTTCCTGTACGCCTGCCTGTCTGTCTCTCTATCTGAGTGTCTCTCTGTTCCTGTATGTCTGCCTGTCTGTCTCTCTGAGTGTCTCTCTGTTCCTGTACGCCTGCCTGCCTGTCTCTCTATCTGTGTCTCTCTGTTCCTGTACGCCTCCCTGCCTGTCTGTCTCTCTATCTGAGTGTCTCTCTGTTCCTGTACGCCTGCCTGCCTGTCTGTCTCTCTATCTGAGTGTCTCTCTGTTCCTGTATGCCTGCCTGTCTGTCTCTCTGAGTGTCTCTCTGTTCCTGTACGCCTGCCTGTCTGTCTCTCTATCTGAGTGTCTCTCTGTTCCTGTATGTCTGCCTGTCTCTCTATCTGAGTGTCTCTCTGTTCCTGTACGCCTGCCTGTCTGTCTCTCTGAGTGTCTCTCTGTTCCTGTACGCCTGCCTTCCTGCCTACCTGTTTGTCTCAGTGTGTCTTAATTGCTTGTCCATCGGGCTGCATTTCTGTGAGTGAGTCTCTGCCCCCTAGTGCTTCTGTTTAAATAGATCCTGAATTATTCATTACTTGTCCGTCTGTCTTTTAAGTGTTCTCCTTGGTGTGTCTCCTTCGCCATTAGTTGTATGCCACTTATTTTCCCATCTCTCTCTCCCACCTCTCCCAGGTGTTCTCCATGGAGCTGTCGTTCTCATCACAGAGCTGTGTGAACGAAACCCCAGCGCGCTCCCTCACTTCCGCAAGGTGCAGCACACGGAGAAATCTCGACTGAACTAAGAGATCGATTGATTATGCGACAATAATAGTAGCAGTGCTTTTAAACGTGTAGCTCGTGCATAGTTTAATTGGCCCTCCCTCCGTCTGTGCAGATAGTGCCCGATCTGGTCCACATAATGAAGGGCCTGGTGATGTCTGGTTACTCGCCGGAGCACAACGTGGCTGGGATCAGTGACCCTTTTCTTCAGGTCTGTTTCTTCCATATATGGGGGTTGGCATGTCCATGTATCCTGTGGTACGGGGGTGACCGCAAACCCGGTTGTGGTTTGCGCTCCCTCTCACTCCTGTTCCCACTGTGCATTCCACCCCTCCCCTCCCATCGCAATCTTCTCTTCCGCCCCCACAGGTGCGTATCCTGCGGCTGCTGAGGATTCTCGGCCGTAACGACGACGAGGCGAGCGACGCCATGAATGACCTGCTGGCCCAGGTTAATAGACCGTCCTTTATCGTGTTGCCTATGATGTTCTGTCTGCTGTCACTTCCGCTTTATATAGGTGACGGTTAAAACGAGAGAAATGCTAACATCACTGTTGTAAATGTATCAAATTGTTTGCCTCATAACGTGGATGGTTATTGGTAAGCAAATACATAATGATGCTTGTATCGATCACTTTGTTTTGAGTCCGAATGTCTGTTTTCAGACTGGCTAGTCTTTGGCAGGATGGACTTTAATCCCTAGCCGTTGTTCCTGTTGAATCCTGTAGGTGGCGACAAACACAGACAGCAGTAAGACTGCAGGCAGCGCTGTGCTGTACGAGACTGTCCTCACCATCATGGACATCAACTCCGAGTGTGGCCTGCGGGTTAGCGCCCACCTTCATCGCCGTCATCATCGTTTTCCACACGCGGTTTCATGCTGACAGGGCTAGTACTGTAGTACAGTACTTGTGTGCCGCTAGTACTGTAATTGTGTACCGTTCAGTTTCATTGCCACTAGAGCTGCTTTATGTACTGCTTTTGTAAAACAAGCCAGTGACCCTGAGTGATTTTCAGCTCTTGTTCTGTTACAGTTGAATGCCGTTTGCATTGAGCTGATAGAGCCGTTCCTTTCGCTTGTCTTTGGACTCTGACAGATTCTGGCTGTGAACATTCTGGGGCGATTCCTCCTGAGCAACGACAGGAACATACGGTGGGAGTCTCTCACATCCTAATTCAGCTCCGTCTTTGTTTTCCCCTTCATCTTCATTCTCTCTCGTCCGCTCGTTTTATCGGGGCCTCTTCAGTAAGTTGTCGAGAAGCATCTCATGCCGTCCTTCTAGCCGCGTTGAGAACCAGGCCCCCCCCTGCCCTGTTTTGGGCCAACTGCGCAGACAGCTGCTCTCATGTCGGTCTCCACCTACCGAGAGGTTTTTGCTGTAAACCTCTTTTTGATCTCTGTTTGAACCACTTCCTGTTGCAGGCCCCACCCGCTGTCTTTGTGCATTTCCTCCTGCGGTTAGCCGTACAGTTGGACTCGTTGTCTGATTACGTAACCCCGCGCCCTGTGCAGCTCCTGCTGTCTCCTCCTGAGTCCCCACCCCCCGCCTCTTGCCCTTACTCTCCTGAGATCACGCCTCATCCTGTAATCGTCTACTGGATGAGTGGCTAGATTATATTAAACAAATCTGTCTTATCGCATCTCAGCTACGTGTCCATGATGTCGCTGCAGAAGATCGTACAGACGGACCACAATGCCGTTCAAAGGCACAGGGGGACCATCGTGGACTGTCTGAAGGATCAGGACGCGTCCGTGAAACGGTAAACTGTCAGCTGTCGTCCTTAGGGATGATGCCGTAGTCAAGGCTACCACAGCACAGTTGACGCCAGGTAGCAGGAGTTTGGTTATGTCACAATGCAGGACAGTAATTAAGTATTAACTAGTATTCCAGTCATCATTGCATATTTTCTAGGTAGTCATGTATAGGGTGACTGGTCAAGCAGAAATAGACTCAAAAGCAGAAGGCCCAAACACACACACGTATTCATATCTTTTTGGACACTCTCTATTCATTTCTATGAGCATAACCAAGTAGTTAGGATTGGATAAGTAACCAAACAACATACAAGTTTTTTTTTTTGGCATTTTTAGTCTTTTGTTTGCATTCACAGATGTTTTTAAAATCGAGGTTATCCTTGTCGGGACAGAAAAAATGTCCTCACATGGGAAAATGTTACAGGTTTTTATCACATTGTGGGGAAATCTGGTCCCCACGTTATAATAATTACAAACACATAGACACACACACGCACACACACACAGTTTAAAGCTGCCCTTGACTGCTTTGATTCAGCTTAATTAGAGCTGGGCGATATGGCCTAAAAATAAAATCTTTTTTTTTTTCCCACAATAAATCCGATTTTCGATTTTAATCGATTTTCCCCTCCCCTACTCAAAATCAAACTACAGATGACAAATAAATGGTTCAAAACAAGTTTTAATTTTTATTTTTTTTAATTTAGAGTTAAAGTGCAATCTGACAACCCAAAAAGATGCTTGTGAGATGGCAGACCACGCCATTGTAAACACTTTTAGAAAATTGTAAAAACTTTTAGCATGTTAATGAATCCCGGCTTTTCCACAGTATGTATGGGCACCATGTCTTTTGCAATATACATTGCGACAGCGTTTGTTATCGCCTTCCACCGTGCCCCATTCTTATCATATGGCACACAGTTCGAAAACGTGTCAGGGGCGGTTGCTTGCTTAACTTTGGATGTTGTGCTGGTGCTGCGGGTATTTTCATTTCGCTGGAAGCTGCAGTTCTCCCACTCCGCTGCGTGCCTCTGCTTTAGGTGCTGGAATACATTTGTCGTGCTGCTTCCTTTGGTTGCAACAGTTTTTAAACACTTTACAACGAGGACTTGATTGGTCTGTGTCCGACGGTGCAAAACCGAACCATGGCCATGTTGTTTGTGAATCCGCTACAGTGTTTGGGTGCGCCGCGCTAATTTACCCGTGAAGAACTGTGCGTCGCATTAGTTCCGCTTTTGGCGCTCGCGTGTAAAATAAGTAATAAAATCGATTTTCATAAAAACACATCGTCCTGAAATGTAAATTCGAATTAATAGATAAAATCCGATTTATCGCCCACCTCTAAGCTTAATATTGCTTAGGTGATAAAACGGTGTTCAGAATGGTTCGGAAAGGAGCATGTGACCCAGAATTTACAGGCTTAAATCCCCAGAAGCACTTTTGTCGTAACGCAGGTGTTTAATATGGTCTGGTGTAGCTTCATGCGTAAGTTATTTGGTTATTGGTGCAGTGCCATTGTTGCCCTGAATGACTGACTGGGACCTTGTGGAATCTCAGGCGGGCTCTGGAGCTGTCCTTGGCTCTGGTCTCGGCCGCCAACATCCGCTCGTTGATGAAGGAGTTGCTCCTCTTCCTCTCTTGCTGCCCCCCCGAGCTGCGGGCGCAGACGGCCTCGGGGATCTTCAGCGCCGCCGAGAGGTCAGTCACACGTCGGCCTTCTCTGCCCTGACATCCAGCTGATCCATGTCCCGCATCCTCACCCCAGTAATGTTCACAAACGCACATCTGGGTGTCTCTTTCGTCTGATTGGTGCGTCTCACTCCTCGGCACATGCCAGCTTCCTGACTTTTCAGGGTCTCCATTCCCCCCCCCCCATACTTGGAATGGTCCTAATACTTGGGGAGTAGCACTATTGGTGTGTTTTTGTATGTTGGGTGGGGGGTTGTTGTTGTTTTGTTCTTTCAATGCTGTGCTGAACACCACCGTGCCTCTGTGTGTCTCTGTCAGGTTTGCCCCTTCTCAGCGCTGGCACATCGACACCGCCTTGCATGTCCTCACGACGGTAAATAGCCCCCCCCACCACTCCACCCCCCCTGAAATATGGCCGCTCAGCCTGCCACCTGCTTCAAATTGAGCTCGCCTTCCCACATGAGCTCAGATCTTTGACACGGGGTTATGATAAAGTGACATTTCATCATTTCCTGTGGGGTCTGATCCCCTCTGACATATATACAGGAAAGATTCTAAATAAGTGAGCGATTTTAAGAAGAGATTTGGGGATTTGGAAGTTATGAAAAATAAAAAACCAAATCTGTTTTTACTGACAGTTTTCTCTCTCTCTTTGATTATGACGTGCCAATGGCAGCTGCTCACTGCGTACATTGGCATACAGATTATATGCTTTGTTGGGCCTCTCAGAGCAGCGTGATGCACTGTCCTCTCTCACAGGCAGGGGGCGACGTGAGGGATGAAATGGTGCCCAGTTTGATCCAGCTCATCACCACAGCAACGGAGCTCCACTGCTATACCGTGCACAAACTGTACCGTGCGCTTGTGGCAGACATTTCACAGGTTGCTGCATCCCCACGTGAAAACGTGTCGCTCTGTGATCTGCCTGTTTGTTTGTTTGTTTTGGTTGTGTGCGCGCGTGTGTGTGTGTGTGTGTGTGTGTGTGTGTGCTCTGAACAATCATTAGTCAGAGTGGTACTGTTTTTCTTAGACTGATGACATACAGCTCAATATGTGACTGTATGCACATGTATATACGCAACCAGTCAAAAGTTTTCGCACACCACAGGATTTTTTCCATTTATTTCATAAACTGCAGGATTTTTATTCTTGTTAAGCATCGGAAAGTGAGTGAACAAGTATAAATGAAAATATGTCAAAAAAACAAGTTCCCTTTATAACATGGAAAGAGTATGTAACAGTGCATGTCTAACATCCTATTACCTGGTTATATTGTGATGGTATAGTCAAATTCTAGGCTGTCCTTTTAACTTTAAACACACTAGTTAACTGTTTCATCCTATGAAACAAAGCAGTATGTAATGTCCCTTGCAGAAAGGATGCCTCACATTTTCTCTGCTGTTATAACTGCAAGGGGAGGTTACTTTGATGAATCAAAGATATGACATTTTCTTCCTAATAAAGGTACTGAAATGGAGAGCATACTGTAAATTTATTTGTTAGCAAAGAATATCGGGTGTAGTTTTTCGTAAATGAGTAACATGCAAATGTAGAAAATCTCAGTGTGTGCAAAAACCTATGTCTGGTAGTGTATGCAAATATGATTGTCATTCTGTATGGCTGCGACGAGTGATGTAAGCATAAGTATGACACTGTGTGTATCTGTCTGTATACTTGGCTCTATATGTGACTATATAGATGTATACAAATAAGCTGGGCCACACAAAGACATGAACGGGCCCCCACCTTCTCCAAACCAAAGCTACCACGCACACACAACCCCCCCAAAACTCCTCCCCTTACGGGTGGTGCAGCAAATAGGCCTGAGTATGATATCTGTGTGGCTGTGTGTGTGTGACTCTCAGTGCCTGTTCGTGTGTGTCTGGGGTGTGTATGTGTCCTATCTTTGACTCTGAGAGTGACTCCAAGACTCTTCGCAGCAATCTCTGGTGCAGGTGGCTTGCTGGTGTATCGGGGAGTACGGCGACCTGTTGCTGCGGGGAGAGTGCGAGGAGACGGAGCCCGTGCAGGTAGCGCCCCCCGGTGGCGGGAGCAAGGGGCCGCCGCCCTGCCGCCCTCTCACACGCGTCTTTCCTCTCGGCGGCCCCCAGGTGACAGAGGACGACGTTCTGGATGCGCTGGAGACCGTCCTGCAGTCTCACATGTCGTCCCCGGCGACCAGGGGCTTCGCGCTCACGGCCACCATGAAGCTCAGCACACGCATCTCACGCAATGTGGAGTAAGACCTCGTTTTTATGGCCCCACTGCTGCTCCTGCTACTGATCAGGCCATAACCCGACTTCTACATCCAGGGCTACCACTGTACAGATTCCAACAGAGCTTGCATGCACACCCCACTATTACAGTTTTAATCATTATTACCATAATTACCAGTGTTTCTTAATCCGGTCCTGAGGGACCTCCAGACGGTTCATGTCTCTGATCCCTCCTAGCCGCATATACTATGAGGGAACTAACGCCAAACCTGTGCCACCCCCGCCACCCCCCCCTCAGCAAATGTCATTGTCATGAGACGCCCCCTTTCCTCTGTTTACATTATTTTTTGGGTGCAGTGGACCAAGCAGAAAGGCAACACTAGTTCCTAAAATATTATATGGATGTAATATGAAAAATGTGTTCCTGAGAAACTGCTATGTGTGAGTATATTTCCTCAGTTGTGTATTTTTATCTGTATTTTTTTACTGTGATGTCCTGTGTTTTCTTTGGTAGCCGCATCAGAAGCATCGTTAGCATTTATGGAAGCTGCATTGACGTGGAGCTCCAGCAGAGGGCAGTAGAATACAACGCACTCTTCAAAAAATATGACCACATGAGGTACTGGGGTAGGAGCCAGAGATGCAAGATCGTGACAGTGTTGAAACATTTTGCATATTCAGCCTGCACTGCAGGGGCTGTGTGACTGCTGCCATCTTGGCTCTTTGACAGACGGCGGTGGCCTTAATGCCTGTTCTGTGCCGTGTCCAGGGCTGCGGTGCTGGAGCGGATGCCGGTGATTGACAGGAGCTCCCCAGGACATGACAATGGGGAGCCGGCGGTGATCCAGGCGCCAGACAAAACCAAGAACAACCCAGTAGTAACTTTGACCCAAGAGCCAACAAATCAGGTGAGATCTGGAGAGGTCAGCTGCTTATTTGCAACTGTGTATCTGATCTGTGGATTATGGCTTGACTAGGTACCTTAGCATTGGTATCCACAATGATCTCTCATGTTCCCCATGTTTCCGGCTTGCATCACATCCTCCAACTGAGATCCATCTCCCCGCCTCTCATCTCACTAATTCAGCTGTGATTGGCTCTCTAAGATTCTCGATCTCACGCTGGCTCTTCTTCCCTTCCCCCTCCCCCTCCCCCCCCTTCCTTTCAGGCCCGTGACCTGTTGGACCTTCTAGGAGGTTCTGATGAACCAGCGCAGCCTAGCACCGTGCAGCCTGCACCTGCCGCGCCCGTCCCTGATTCCGGAAGTGCTGGGGGGGACTTGCTAGACCTACTGGGGGGATTGGATTCTATACCAGGTGAGGGAGGGAGACATTGCAGAGACCAGTAATTCCAGTATCTAGTCTGTTTTTTGTTTTTTTTAACGTGTGCCATTGTCCCCTCCCCGGTGACAGACCCCAGTGTTACGGTATACGAGCAGAACGGCGTGACTGTCAAACTGCGCTGTGATAGGCAGACTGATGTGGGCGTCACCGCCACGCTCGTCGCCTCCAACACCACGGACAGTGACATCACACAGTTCACCTTGCAAGCCGCAGTGCCCAAGGTCAGCCGCAGCTTGCACCCCCCCGTGTCCCACACCAGCACCTCCTGGGTGCCTGTGTCCTGTCTTTCGTGGGTTGACGTGTTTAACTCCGGATGTCCAGGGACAGATGTTAATTTATTCATTGCAGTGATGAAGCAAACGTGATGGTTTTAGGTGTCTAACATTCTTACCAAGTCATGTGACACCCCCCCCCCCATTTTTAACCACAGAAATCACTGTTGATATATAATGCATTTGTTAGTTCATTTTAGGCCTCCATGTCCTTAAGGAGGACATCAATCTGGGAATGTGACCTCTGACCCCGTCACCTCGTCTCTCAGTGTGTTCAGTTACAGATGAGGGCACCCAGTGGGGATGTGCTTCCGGCTCGGGGAGCTGGTCAAGTGACCCAGACTGTCCACCTCAACAATCCCAACAAGGTCTGTTTCTTTGTTTGTTTGTTTTTGCCCTTTTATCAGCCTGATTTATGCCCTTATTTCCTTCTTGTCACACCAGAGCACAAAAACCAGCATTCAACATATTGACTATGAATGTTAGCTTACCGTGTAATACATCTCAGACCTCGACATGCGCCATAGTTGAGATGGTTGACATTATTGGCTTCACATGGGAGTAGTCATAATTTTTCGGCTAGTCACTGTACAAGAGTACGTTTCGTTTAAGTCACACACTGGCTAATCACCAACTGTCTGCCACCATGATCTCTGCCCTCATCTTTTCTCATCGTCTCCTCACAGTCACTCCTGGAACCTTTAGACTCACATTTAGATTCTGTATCCTTGCTCGCCCCAGGTCAGTTTGCGGATGCGGGTCCGGCTCTCGTACTGCAGTGGAGGCTCGACGTGCCAGGACACTGTGCAGGTGGACTCCTTCCCCGCCTCGGCGAGCCACTGACACACTGGCGTCCAGAAACCTGCCCAGCCGCTCGCAGCGTCACAGTATTTCTGGTAGCTGTGTGGTCAAGCAGACTGTCGTGGGTCAACACAGACCTGGCGCATTCAGATTCCGACGTCCCTCCTGGGCTCCCGTCGGTCTGTTGCAATCTCTGTCAGCCACCAACATTAATCTCACCTTGCAGAGTCAGACATTATGCTCTTGATACTTTATGTACGTTGTGTAAACTTACCATAAACCTAGACTTCTTTCTCTCTTTCGGGGGCTGTGCACTGTGGCTGTTAGCGGGGGGTGTGACTGGCCCCAACTACTTTCAGGAAAACTCCAACAGAAGAACTGTATCAGGGCTGAGAATCGGTACCTCATTCTCAGCCAGCATGTTAGATTAACCGAAACTGCACAAATTCTTTCAGCTAACAGCTAGTGAAGGCTAATTCTTTGAGTTCAGGGTGACCAAACAGTCCAGCCGACAAGACACGAAATTCGCCCACCCCAGTCATAGAAAGAATTTTTTTGTACGATCCTCTGATCGTATAAAAAGTCCCATTGACTCAAACTTTTCGTCTTGCATTTCTGCTTATCCTGATTTTTTCCCTGTACTTCCTGCTTGTAGTGCACGAGTGTCCCGTTTTCTTATATAGTACTTCCTGCTTGTAGTGCACCAGTGTCCCATTTTCTTATATAGGGAGGGCCCAGCCTCTGCTGCATAATTTTATAGCAGCAAGTGCCAAAAAACAGCACAGACATAGAAAAAAATACTAATATTCCAGCTTTTATATAATCCAAAAAACTTAAATTAAAAAAAAATAGGTGGAAAAGGTCACTTTCCCTTCTTTAATGTTAAAGATCATTGGTCAGTTGTTAGTCACAAATTGATGTTCATGATACTAACTTGAATTACATGAGGCCTCGCCACGTTATTCTTGTGTGCTATGTGTTTGGCCACCTATTTGAAACCCTCAGCTGGCTTTGGCCTGTCTCCTCCCTTGGTCTTGTGTGTACTGGTCTGCCTGGGACTGTGGTATTAATGAAACCTGGGGTGGTTCTGTCTGTGGATGATGTGAATGTGTGTTTTCCCCCCAATTCCACCCATTCTGTCCCAGTGTGTTAATATACTGAAAGGTCACGAGTGTATGGGAAGCTATTTTAATTTTCTCGAGCTGTGCTCTCGAGTCTTTCATACTAATGTATGTGTTTTCAATATACAGAGAGCCTTCCCTCTCACAGGGAAGCTGCAATATGAAATGACGTGATCATGTGAATCCTTGATTGAAAATAGTTTTTAATCTGTTGACTATTGGAAGGGAAAGCTAATTTGGTTTGAACTTTTATCCTTCTCTCGAGTCTTTTTTATATTGTGTTACCTGAAAAATCTGTGTGTGTGGTGTATAGAATGCAGTCTCCACCTTATTGACAAACTGAGGACGTATTCTGGAAAGATGTTATACATTTTTTCCATGAAATATTCAGAAACACAGGGAAACATATTAGCAATCAAATGAAATTAATAAGGTGGTGCAAGGAAGGTTTGAATTTTTTTAATAAAAGGGTAAATTAATCCAACACTGTCTTGCTAGCATTTTGTAGCTTGAAAAACTGCACAATGCCTCACTGCTGGATCTCAGAAACTTATGCTGACAAAACATGTAGTTACCATGCTTGCTGTACTGCTTTTGAAATCAATTTCACATTAATACTGAGCTGAAACAACTTCAGTTTGATACACATTTGGTTTTATAAATACTGGAACCAGATTAAAGAAATACTTCCAAAGGACAATTAACTTTTTATTTGGAAGCAAAGCATCCAATGGTCAAGTTGACCAGGGTAATACACACACAAACAATTGTTTTTGCGGAAACGTAGAGTGGTCAAAGTAAGGGTTGCTAATTATTTATTACATATCCTACAAATGTTTTATGGATAATCCATCGTTTTAAGGATGTGAAACAATAAGTCTATGACAAAAAAAAAAAAAAACACTGGGGGAGGGGAAAATGTGCATCCCGATGCTGTTAAGGCTGACCGTCCTGGGGCGACCTACATGGGACAGAGGCTGAGGCTACGACAAGAGCGGACCCCTCCTCGAAGTGCCAGGACAAGATGTAGCACAGAGCCACCCTGGATCTTATAGTCAGCTGCAGTCTTCTCGTCATTCCTAAGCAGAAGACAGACAGCATAGTGATACGAGGGCTACTGCCAAAGCAATGGAGCACACAAGGCGTCCAGAAATGTCCACCTGAACACAGTGCCGTTTCCCTTACATTTGCTTTCCGCTGTAGATGAGCCTCTGCTGCTGAGGTGGAATCCCTTCCTTCTCTTCTACTCTCTCTTTAATCCTTTCCACCTGGAAGACCAGACCAAAGCACGAAGAAGGGTAATGCTCAATGCCCTTCTATTCAATAGACATTTATCACATGGATGCACATGTTTACACTCATGAAAATACCTTGTCTGTGGGTTCGATATCAATTTCAATTTCCTTGCCTGTGAGGGTCTGGGGACGGGAAAACAACATTAGTGCTTGGATACTAACTCTTCATTATATTCTACGTCTGCCCTTCAGGTCTTGCTTATGTTGACTTCGCCATGATAATGCAAAAAATCAGGCAATTTAATAAACGACTCTGGTTATATTCAGGTACAAGTAGTTCGGTGACGGAAATATAGCACGGAATAGATAGACAGACATTAGGGTACAGTTACAAGTAAATATAATTTATCAGAATCTGTCAGTTTACCGAGACAGAACAACAAACACGTCTAGCCAGGTAAAGTGGCTATGTTTAGCTTCCAGTCTATGAACTATCTTCCAGCCAAGTCAATCAAATATCTGACGACAAAATTCTTTCTTTTAACAATAATAGAAAAATAACGTAATCGGCTATACAAACGTAACACGACAGACGACGAAATGGAAAATTTACCTTAACTTTAATCAGCATGTTGACTTTGTTGAATAAATTCTTCTAGTGAATACAGTAATAGGTTGTGAATAAACCCAGTTCAAGTATATTTGGGACTTGGAAAAACACGAATTGTTTCAGAGGGAAAAATGCCGTCTATCCTGCCAAAATTACTTCTTTTTGAGAATACGGCAAATCGAAACAACTTCCTGTGTAACGCAGAGGAAAGCCCGACTCTTCCTTCGTGCACAAAGAATAGTTCCGGGATGCACATTTTTTCCGTGGATGACCTTCCTATATTTAACCCATATTTATTAAATTGTAGCTCAAGCCCCGCTCAAAAACAACCCAGATAGCACACATATGTTGAAATGACACTGATTCCATATCATGCAAAAAGGTTGAAACAACGTTCATATTCAATGTTTCACTTTATATCAACATTGAATCAAGGTTTTGCCACCATCAGTTTTTCAATATTAAAAATCTAACCAAAAATCAATTCACTTTCAAGGTTGATAATTCAACACTGACCATAATACAACGCATTTAACTATAATTCAACGTTGAGACAATAACATAGTGCTATCTGGGAACCGCTATCTTATAGTATTGTTAGCTTCTCGGAAGCCGATTTTGTGTTTCACCTGAGTTAAATCAATAATTAGGTAACAATCTCGTTGGTAATTCACTAGCGCCTACTCTAATCTACTAGAGGATTTGTAGTAACTCTAATATCCGTAATCTGTTAGCAAGGTCCGTGTTACTCAGTGAAACGTAATTACTTGTCTTAGGTCATTTATAAAACCAGAGAGGTTACCTAACGTGATATTTCGCCAAAATGATCTTTTGGGGAGTACTCCTGGTTTTAACGGTGGTGGCTTTTGCTTCAGGAAGCGATGGTAATTACAGCTTATTTTTGCGTGTTTTGTTTCTGTGGTCGTTTGAACTGTTCTAATGTCTTTTTTTGCTTAGAGGTCAACGTAACGTGTCATGGTGATTCTGTCACCCTGACTTGGACGTTGAACGCGTCCCGGGACGCCGATCCTTCACGAATTTTCCTCGGTAACTGCCACCCTTCCAGTTACTCAAACCATACTGGCCGAGGAGTGGCGACATTCCGCGCTTTGTTCAGGGATTGCCGATTCAAGCGTGTGGTATGCGTCCGAAACTGGTAGTAAGTGGCTCTTTAAAACGTATTCAGACTAATGGCTTTCTCTGTTAGGTAACTGGAGACCACTTGATCTACAAGAATATGCTTGCTTACAGACCTTCAGCAAAGCCTAACCCACCTGAGATATTTCACGAGGTTCTCTGTGTTTTCGATAGGTAAGTTTACTGACTAAGTCCGATTACAAGCTTTCCCTTAGTTTAGCTTTGATAGGCTTGTAACCAATAAAAATAGAAATGAGGCTTCCAAGTCCATGGTGGGTGACATGATTTGCCTGCTTTCCAGTGGTTATAGTTTTTAAATGGCTTTAACTGTTAGGAATTCATTCAAGTCTGATTGGTCAGTGGTTTAAGGCATTTTGTTTGTTCAAGACCCAGAATACATTTTTTTATTATTATTATCCCCCTTAACTTCCCTGTGGTCTCCATTTGTGTTTAGGCCTGATAATTGGATACCTCCTCTCTTCAGCTCATCTTATGGGGCTGTCCATGGGTATGGGGGCCTGCACTTCTATATAGGGATTATGAAAGGTGAGTAGGGTTGCAACGGGGAGGAAACTTTCAATTCCATGGTTAAGCTGGGGAATTTTGGAAATATTCCAAGTTGGAAACTTTCCAGGGTAATTAAGTGGAATATATGGGAATTAACAGGGAAATTTCCAGAATTTTGCAACCCTAATGGTGAGTGATCAGGCACTTAACTTTTTTTTTTTTTTTTCTCTTCTGAATGATTTTCTGACACTCCTACAGATGACTTCAGTGGCCCGGCTCAGTCAACTTCCTTTCCTGTGGGTTCCCAGATCCCCATCTGGGCTGCAGTTGACCAACAGGCCCATATGCCCCTCATATTGTTTCTTCAGGAGTGTGTGGCCGCCACAGTGCCTGAAATGGGTGCCTCACACCAGGTCTACCCACTGATTACCAATGGCGGGTATGCTATTTCTCAGAAGTGATTGTGTAAGCACCTTCTCAAGTAAACTTCAAACCTGCTGGAACTCAATCTTGTCTCTAGGTGCCTAGTGGACAGTAAGGAGGGCGCATCAAAATTTCACCCTAGACGCAGGACATCTGAAATGTTTCTGTCTCTGCAAGCCTTTGACTTTGGTGTTGAGGAAGATGTGAGTGAATTTATTAGTTCAATGTTTCACCTTAGGCTGAGTCTTCTGCAGTGTTTCACCTAGGGTAGCACTCAATATTTGGTACACATGCTCTGGGTAACACTGGGTGACTGGGAGCAGAGTAACCCTACAATGGAGTAACTTTATCATGGTTTCCTTCCAGGTGTATATCCACTGCAAGATTGCAGTTTGGGACCCAAAGAATTTGAACAGGCAGATGAAAGCCTGCAACTATGTCAGAGAGCTTGGCCGGTAAGCAGTATCACGAAGAATAATTTATTATAGTGGGGGTGTTCAGTTAAATTACATTTTTCATTTATAGATGGGAGCTTCTGGATGATCCATCCAGGAACTCTCTTTGCAGCTGTTGTGACACCCAGTGCCATTATCGAAAGGGCAGGTCTGCAGAACTTGGTATAACTGGATTTTGTCCATTGGGTTTGCTGTATATGCATTGAGGTATTTTAATATGGTGTTGAATATCAGGATGATTAATGGCTTGTGCTTAGATTCACAGGGGCTGATTCAAAATGCTGTTCTTGGGCCACTTACCATTGTTGATGTATAAGTCTGTGCCAAAATGACCAGGTCTGTCAATTTTGGGATTGTATTTTGTTGCTAATGGATTTCATTCATTTTTGAAAATGTCTCCCACACTCTTTTTCAGGGAGCAGTGTTGAGTTGTGTGGGGGACCTGTTTCAGATGCCAGCCAAGCAGTGAAGTTTCTGAAATCCCCTGTATGCCCCAAATGTTGAACTTGCACAGCAGTTTTTAATAAAATGCAAGATTTGAAGCTGAATGTGTAGTGGTGACAGGGCCTGAGCGATTAAATAGTTATGCACCTACTTTTCATGAGGTAGTGGTTGATATGGCACAAGTCTTTAGGCACTAAATCACACCAAGCAGTTCAGGGCTGGTACCTGATGCATATGGTTTATAGCATGAGCCCATGCTGTACTTGAGGCATGGCTGGAGCTGGCTTGTAGCTGTTGAAATACAGGTACTCTATCCAGGGTGATAGTGAACAGCAGTCATGTGCAGTCTCTACAGTAGCTGTTTTGTGCTGGTAGTGCTTTGCCTCAAATGCACCAATGTTAACTCCAGGGTCCTGGACTGCAAGGGCTCTACACCATAGCTCTGCAAAAACTGCATTTAGGCCACATTAAGGAACTTTAGGAATGGAGTAGCCTTTACCCAGCCTTCAAAACAAACCTTGCATAGGCTTGTCAGACAAGTTAGGCATCAAGCCCTGTTTCATGCCCAAATAAGTCAACACGAACTGTTACTGGTATTATGGTCCACATGTAGTAACCAAGGTTCCCCATATTTCTCATACAGAGAATTATACAAAATTATTCCTCAGTTTAGGAAGCTAGGTGGGGTTCACTGAAGAAGGCAAAGGTAACAATTCACACAAGAGGCCAGATACTAGTTTCAGGAACTTTATTGGAAGTGTTGGTAACTGCCAAAGTCAGGCTTCACCAAACCAGAAATGGTTGAAACAGCCTGGTTCAAACATCAATCCCTGTAAACAAGTAACTTAAATCAGACCCATCATCCACAAACCAGATTAGGTCTAGTATTAACATACCTTAAATCAGATGCCCAGGTACTTGGGAATTTATGTTCAGTAGTCCCAACACAGCATTTTGAGTGAATTGAGCATCTGCATAGAATAAAATTCACTACATAAGTTTAAGCAAGTGTACTACAAGCACAGAGAAGTTGTAGGACATACCTGAATCTTGCCAGTTCTTATACTCGCAGCCAGAGTCACAGCAGTTACACAGTGCACTTTGAGAAGGGTCATCCACAAGCTCCCATCTGAGGAGGGGGGTGGTGTAATTAGTATGATGCGGAGTTTTCGTCAGTGATAGAACCGCTTACCTTTTCAGTCCTTTGTTGTAGTTACAAGCCTTCTTTTCCTCAGTAAGGCCCGTTGGATCCCAAGCAGCAAGTTTACAGTGTATATAAACCTAGCAAGGACCAGGACAAGTGTCAGTTTCTTCATTTCTCAGGTGAAAGTCATTTGGAGCTAGTGATAGCCATGAAACTATCAAAACTACAACACTCAGGAGGTAGCCCCATCTGCAGGTCTTACTTCTGCTCCATGAACAAACTTAAAGGCTTGCAGCTGGAGGATTATTTCAGAAGTATTGCCAAAGCGCTGGAACCTTGAATCTGCAGTCATGCTGTCCACAAGGCATCTTCATGGAAGTCAACAATATGGTTATTGGGGCTTGAAACAATGATTTAACACCTAGGTAGTGTTTACTTACCCTTTGTTAGTTACTAGTTTATGAATCTGGCTTAATGGACCAAGTGATTGAGTGTTAGCTGCAACACACTCCTCCAGGTATAGATATAAAGGCATGTGGCCCTCATGTGCTACCACAGCACAGATTGGGATGACAGACCCCAAAGTGAAGGTGGACACCTGAGCAGGTTCACAGAAGCCACCTGTGGGATAGACCGGTCTTAGTGCACTTCTATCCTGGCACTTGTCAGGGGCACACAGGTCACTCACCTCTCAATATACCCATTTGGAAGGAAAGGCTCCCATAGCCCTCTGCATGGGTGTGAGGGAGGAACAATGGAGGAATCCAGTCTTGAGGCCTGGAAATAAGGAAATCTACCAATCCAAGCAGATGGTCGAGAGTAGAGAAGCACAGCACGCAGTCTTACCTTTTATAAGCACATTGAACAGGATAGATTGCAGAATCCAGAGATGCAGTAGGTATTCTGAGGTAGTTTTTGTAGATCAGTTGGGTTTTTGTTACCTACACAGGGAAGCCAGTGGCAATGTTAGTGCCAGAAGAGACATTAGTGGAGCCATATCACAGATCAGCACTCACCATGCGCATGAAACCACAGTCCTCAAAACCCACATGGAATATTGCCTCAGCAGTAGTTAATGAAAACCTAGTGGGAGGACAACTTCCCAGGAAGAGGATTGAAGGGTCTAGGGTTGTCTTCTCATCAGCAATCCATCTTACAGTAATTGAGTCAATATCACAGTCTACATTGTGAGCTTAAAAAAAAATAAATAAAAAATTAACAAAATGAACCCCCCACACACCCCAACAACAACAATTAGTACCAATGAAGCCAAGGCCAGTTAAGCATCAGCAAAAAAGAAAAATTACCTGCATGAGCTAAAAGTACTATTAGGCTCAAGCCAAGAACCCACTGCAAAAACCAAATCATCTCAAACAAAACAATGTAACTCATAATGACAATAGTTGAATGCTTGGCATTTATACACCAATTAGCACAATTATCTGAAGTGCTCTCAGCTGAACCATTAGCCTCACCTTCAGGTTACTAATTATTTAATTGTTCAGCACTTTATTCATGTCATTATTCTGATCAACATTTAACAAATCATTATCTTGAATTGTGCCATCACATATAACAGAACTCCACTGTGAATTTGAGGTAATTTTCCCCTTTTACAAGCTTTTACTCCTGATAGAAAACTACCAAGCATGCTGTTGTATTTTTAATTAGGCATAAATGAGCCACTCGCTGATTTTAAATTATCAACTTACTGATTGTTACTAATCCTTTGTAATGAATTTGGTTTGTGGTGTCACCTCTCACAGCACTCACTAAAGCTTTATTGTGGTACCTAAATGTTGTGTCAGTGTATTCAAGGAATTAAGACTACTTCGTTAAGAGGAATACTAATTTGTGTTTTAAAATAAGGCTGTGTGGACGGAAATTACTCAAAAAGCTAACAAAACTGTTTTATTGTTTTAACTCACTGCTATTTTGTTAAATTACTAAATCAATTTCCATCCCATCCATGCATTTCCAGAAACCACTTGACCTCTTCAGGGGCAAAGGAGGTCTATAGCCTATCCCAGTGGCACAAGGCAGGGAACAGCCCAGGATGGGATGCCAACCCATCACAGGGCACATTCATACAGCATTCACTCACACATGCAATTTGATAACTCCAATTAACCACAGTACGTTTTGGACTGGGGGGGGAACAGAGTACCCAGAGCACGGGTGTCAAACTCCAGTCCTGGGGGGCCGGAGCCCTGCACATTTTTGGGTTTCCTCTCATTTGACACACCTGATTCAACTCCTTGTGCCAATTACCACACAAGTCTTGAGCTGAATCTTTTGTGGTGGAACAGGGAAGGAACTAAGCTACACAGGGCTCCGGCCCTTCAGGACTGGAGTTCGACACCCCTGACTCAGAGAAAACCCCACGATGACAGGGGGAGACTGGAACCCTGGTCCCAGAGGTATGAGGCAACATCACTAACCACTTAATCAGCACAGTGATATATTTGGTACTATAATATCTTAATAATTATTACATAGATTTATGTTAAAATTAATTTTTGAAACCTTAAGCAAAGAGTGTATTAGTTTGAATAACATTTATGCTTAGCCTAGTGACATCAGGGATGAACGCAGAAATTCTGCCCCCCCCCCCACAATAAAATGTAACCTTGCCCCCGCCCAGTTTTACGTTTAATTACACGTATTCAAGGGCCACACTCAAGTGCTGTACCCGCTGCATCTGCCGGGGTATCCATGCCGCTCCGACGCCCCCTCCCCGACGCCCCCTGCGTCTGACACAATAGGAAATCGCAATATATTACCTACCGGGCTGCACTGGCCATCTGGCATACATGTTAATTTCCCCGATGGTGTCAAAATCACAAAGCATCACACGTACATATCTACAATGAAATTTGCCGATGGTGTTATGGGCTGGCAAAATTTGTCGTGCACCCCCTACCCCATCTGCAAATGTTATTGTAGGTATATATGTGTGGTGCGCCTGTATTGGCAGAAGTCCAGGGCCGGTTTTTAACCCTCGTCCAGCCCCGATCACCCCAGGGTTGCCAGCTCTCACGCATCTGACGTGACACACGCTTTCAGACTCTCACGCTTACGCAAGAAATCATACTGCAAATCTATATTACTCCTTTATAAAACTAAAACTAACGACACAAAAAGCGTTTGGGTAGTTTGAAAACCCTGCAGACTATTTACAAGGTAATAAAACTGTTACGTACATTTAAATGCATGTGCATGTGTGCAGACTTGTCTCGAACTGAGAATCTCACTCTAGCCATGCAGCTGACCAAAGTTGGAAATCCTGTCACCTATACCTAGAGGTAACTATACCAGATAATCCTAACAAGCTCTACCTTTACTCTGGTATGAGTGCTCTCATTTTGACGGATGACCGCAGCACGAAGGTACGGATTTGTCGTGACATTGCAAAAATCAGTCCGCTACTTGGTCACGGCGGCGTCTGCCCGCTCGCGCGCGCGTAGGTGGAGCTCGAGGCATAGTTGGTGCGAGGACGGAGCCGTTTAAACTTCGCTTTAACGGCCTATGTCACGATACCTTAGCTACTGGTGGGTATACACTTTTTTAAAATACGAAATAATGGTCTTTAAAATGTTTGAGACTTTGTGACCAGCCGATCTGGCGAGATTTGAGTCGGGTGGGAATGTCCCGAGTCTATCTCTATCACATGTATTGCCCGGAAATATGTTCCTAAAACGTTTTAATGATGTTAACTTAAAATCCAAATATTAAGTTAACGAGAATGGTTTTGTGTACAGTTTTACTACGAGGCAGAATTAAAAAGCATTTTGTTATACCCTAGCTTGCTAGCAGCCCTACCTCAAGTTAATCAGCGATTTACTCAGTACCTTTAATGAACACTTTTATTTCTGTCGTCGACATATTTTGTTACCGCGTGTCATTGCATGTGTAGCGCTAGAGATCGATTTTAAATATTCTGATATACACTATATTTACAAAAGTATTGGGACAGACCTCTCAATCGTTGAATTTAGGTATTTCATTCAGACCCATTGCCACAGGTGGGTAAAATCAAGCGCTTACCCATGCAGTCAGGTTTACAAACATTTGTGAAAGAATGGGTCATTCTGAAGAGCCCAGTGAATTCAAGCGTGGTACTGTCATAGGATGCCACCTTTGCAATAAATCAGTTTGTAAAATGTCTTCCTTGCTAGATATGCCACGGTCAATTGTAAGTGGTATTATTTCAAAGTGGAAGCGTTTAGGAACAACAGAAACTCAGCTACGAAATAGCAGACCACGTAAAGTAACGGCGTGGTCGCCCAGTGCTGAGGTACATAGTCCGTAAAAGTTGCCAACACTCTATTGACTCAGTAACTGCAGAGTTTCAAACTTCTGTTTTAGCAGAAAAAGGGGGACAACTCCATATTGATGTCTAAGGATTTACAATGGCATGGCATGAAAGTTCCTGTAAGTGTACTGGCCAAGTGTCCCAATACTTTTATCCATATAGTGTAGATCAACAAATGGAAACAAATGCTCTTTCGCAATGTCCTTGTCTTCCATGCAGTTTTCTTGTGGTTTGTTGAGAACCTTTCCTATTGCACTTGCCATCAACATCTTCTAACCCGTAGGTACCTGTGCCTGTAAGAATGGACTGGTTGCACTGTAATCAGTGTTACAGAAGGGAAGGGATCGCCTTTGTTGTCACTAGCTGTGGACACATCGTCTGTGAGGGTTGCGTCAACCCCAGTAAGTATCTGGCTGTATCCTTAACTCCTGCTTATTTTTGACATTAATATGCACGTCTATGGTCTGTTGTTACTCTAGTAGGTACATTTTTGGGTTTATCTTCCACAGAGCAGTGCACTGTGTGTGGTGCAAGCTGTAGTTACCTTCACATATCTGACAAGGTCAGTTTGCTGTTAGTGTGCACAATAATCAAAGCCATTGCCCTGTATATTTGTATTTTCCGGCCTTTGTGGAAAATACAGTTTCATAGAAAGTCTAGGAATGTTTGTTTAAGTCAGTAAAAATATTGCAAATTTATTGGTTTTATAACTAAAAACAAATGAATTTATTCATTTGTTTACAACAAATATATTTGTAGGGGTGACAAATTGGAAGTTATTGGAAGCATTTTATTATGTTAGTGTGATAACTCAAAAAGTATTTAACAGAGCCTTTGAAGACATGTTTTAAGGGTGATGATCTGGACCTGTTCAAATTTTGAGACAAATCACACTAAAATTGAAGCAATGGTACTTATTAACAACAAAAGAGATGATTAGAGGCTTATCCTTGTGAATGGAATCAATCTATTTGTCATTATTTACTGTATTTGTCGTATTTGATCTTTGCTGGATCTTATTGCCACTTCTCAAAAATATTATATGGGTGAAAATCTAATCTAAAACTGCAACCGCAATGACAGAAAGCAGCAAAAATTGGAACTACCAGCATAGGGCGGCCAAAAGCTAAAACGTAGCCTGTAGCCGCCATCTTGATCACGTACATCTTCTATAATACATTTTCTAAATATTCCATAATAAAGTTTATAGTTATTAGAAGCCGATTCGCGCAGATAAATGCCTTTACTTGGACCCCAAGTTTCGTGAGTAAGAGCAATTAACCACGTTTACCCATTCAGAGATAAAGTAATTTGTTCGTCAGTAGGCTATTCCTTGTTTTGTGGCCAATGAATTGGTATACTCTAAGTGAAAGCACAGAGTCCAAATACTCTAATTTGTAAATACTGTCCTAGTTGATTGTAGGTAGATAGTAGGTATATCCCATATATTGCGAGATCGGCCCCTATTGAAAAATAAAATGCTAAAGTACGATTTAATATTGCGTCAATATTTTTCCTGTAGCTCATTAAATAGAAAACTTTAACTACCAAGTACATGGGGGTTCAAATAACACATTGCACACATAACTTGCACCTTTTCTTTCTACTGCCTTTTTGGATAAAAGCGTTATTAAGATAGGTAAATTAGTTACCTGTACACCGTGCGCACGAGGCCGTGGTTCCTCCAAGTATGTAAGTACTAACTGAGCAGCTTCTTAGTTACGTTACTAGTCATAAATGTATGTATTATATGCATAAATGTATGCACCATGTATTAAATATGTGGTGCCTGTCTTTTAAAATAATTTTACTTTGTTAGTGTCATAAAATGTTCATTTTTAATTATCCTGAACATTGCAATTTCGAAATAGATCTGTCCCCAGCTAGTCCCCCCCGTCCACACACAGACACAGACACAGACACAGACACAGACACAGACAGACAGACAGACAGACAGACAGACAGACAGACAGACAGACAGACAGACTCCTAACTGGTGGAAAAAGATTTTACAAATTGTCATATGAATGGAATGTGCAAAAAAGGAATAACTTTCAGACCTACAATTCAAATCAAGGACTCACAACATTCAGGTAAAAACATGTTTATTTACTTTTACATTTTCTGATGATCCATCCAGCCATTCTAGAAATTACACTTAAACATTCCTAGGTAATCCATCCAGTATCTCTAGAAATTGGTGAGTGTTGAACAAATGATAGGGCTGTCCAGGGAATACAGTGCTGCTGTTTCTGACAGCACCAAATCATTTTATTCATAGTTGTCACAATATGTAAATAAATGTAATTCAGAATAAATGATCAAACACAATACATAAATTACATTTTTTTCTTTTTTATTACAGTGTATATCGACTGTATAATTTAGTATAAGTGATTGTTCAGTGAAAATCCCTCTCTTCTCTGTAAACTATGAATATATAAACATAAACTATTTGTAAATATATATCTTAAATAGATTACATTTTGTATAAATGTTTGTTTCATAAACCATTAAATTCATTAGGTAATCATTCAGTACCGTTGCCAGTTAAATGTATTTCTTGAATGTCTTGCCTGGCACAAGGAAGGTTGTACATAATTTTGATAATACCTTGTAGGACCAGTTTACAAGAAGAGCGACTTGCCCAAAAGTAAACCTTGGTTTAAAATAATAATTCTCCGCAAGGTGGTGATTGTATCACCCACATGTCCTTTTCTCCGTGATGTTCTCAACCTGCTGAAGATGAATCCTCAGGAGCAGGCCTACTTCAGTGATCCAGTGAAGCTCATTCACTCTCGTCTGGAGCACATTTCACAAGTACTGCTTTTATCTTTGGCCAGTTTGGGAATGTTACATGATTATTGAGATAACTTCATATTTCTAAAAATGGTAAACTGCGATGGGTAGGCGCCTCGTCCTGGGTCATTCCCTGCCTTGCACCCATAGCTTTTGAGATAAGCTCTGGACATCCATGACCTTACATAGGACAAGCAGGTATAGAAAATGAATGGATGGAAAAATGGTAAATTCTATTTCAGACTAGTACTGAATGTTTTGGAATGTGATTTATACGTAAAGGAAAATATCAAATGTGCTCAGCCAGATCCTTGGTTATGGTTTTCCAGGGCTGTGTTTGTTAGGGTTTAATTCGCCAACTCCCCTCCTCTTGCAGGTAGCTCTCTTCCAGAACAGGCAGAAGGAGAAAATCACTGCATATTTCAAGCAAAAGTCTGTGGATCTGGAGAAGAGGCTGAAGGAGGCTAAGGAGCAAAACAACAGGTCCTCCGCCTTTGCCTCTCTTCATATATTATTATGTAATGGTTAGAAGCGACCCTGCCCACACCTAGGAGAGAGATTATAACCGATAACCATTTTCATAGGAAAATTTTTCAAACTTTTAATTCAAATTTTTGCCATCTTAGGAAAAGCAGGAAAAAAGTTCTTTTCTTCCAAGAGTGAAAAGAATGTGTATTTTTCAAAAGTCAAAATACATACACATCATGTTACCATCAAGTTGTTATGCAGGCCAGTTGTTTTGTCTTGGATGATATAAGACCATGGTCAGTTTTTGGTACAGATCTTTGCCTGATTACATATGTCATTTTTTGGTTTGTCAACTGACATCCTTGGACTTTGCATTCTACAGTAGACATTTTCTAGTATCATTTCTATGCACCATTTGTCAGAGGCATCTTAGAACCATACCTATTTACAGTCAAACCTTGGATTGCGAGTAACTTGGTTTGTGAGTGTTTTGCAAGACGAGTAAAAGTTTCTAATACATTTTAACTTGATAAACGAGTGAGGTCTTGCAATATGAGTAATACGTATACACTTTGTCTGCTGAGCGTCATGTGATCACAGCTGAGCCGATGGTTCTTCTCTCTCTCTCGCTGCGGGATTGTGGGTATTCGTCTCCCATGCTCAGTCTCAGTCGGCTGGTTAGGGTTTCTTTTTTTGTAGAAAAGCACCACCCGAATAAGGGCGTAGCAGTGCGAGCAATGAATCTGTTTAACGACAATGCAGTGTCCACATTTCTGCGAAATCGAAAAGGAGGCAAAAGCGGCTGTCATTGGATAGGTTCCAGTGAGCCAACAGATAGCAGTCATCCCATTAGTTATAGTGAAAGTCGTCCTACAAAATAACCCTCCCTCTTCTCCTCTCTCTCGTCTCCCTCACACCATCCACGATTCTTTTCAAAGGTAAAGTGCAGATTAATTTGTTTTATGTGTTTTTACTTTATATTTTGTGTTAATCATTTTTTTTATTTTTGGGTTGTGGAATGAATCATCTGAGTTTCCATTATTTCTAATGGGGGGAAAATTCACTTTGATATACGAGTGCTTTAGATTAAGAGCATGTTTCCGTAACATGCTCTTAACAGGGAATCACCTGATTGTGGTTTTCCTTGCTTACTCTTTTATCTGACCCTCATCTATAGGTAATGAAAAGCATAACAGTCCACAGTGGTTCTGCGGAATAGAATATTAACCCTTCTTCTGAATTTCCACACACCTTCTGCGTAGGGAGGTGTCAGAACTCAGGAGGGAGAATGCAGAGTTGAAGAAGCCTCTCTCGCAAAGGAGGGTAAAGTCATGTTGATGTGTTTCGTTCTGTTATTCTCAGAAATAGTAAGTGCCATTTATATCAGCAAAAAGTACATTTCATGCTGTAATGCAGTTCATCCAGTTGGAGATGTTCTTGAAGTATATGAAATCATCTTCTCTTTCAGGCATCTGTGGGGAATTTTCAGACAAGCAGGTAAGGGGAATGGACACTCTTGTACTGTGTACACAGGAGAATCCATAGTGAATAAGCAATAATGTGAGTTTCCCTCTGAAAAGCTCCAACAGGATGTCACGTCCAGTGGCCATTACCCCTCCAGGTAATAAAATCAGGTGTTTACATGTCGTATGTCAATAACCGTGTAACAGTAGGAATTATAATCATGCAAGTTTTCACTGAACAAGTCCTTGAATGTACTTCAGTCATAGAACTTATAATTACTGTACAAGTAACATTAGCTCTTGTACATGAGAGTGGTGTACTGACTTTTCTTTCCCCTCTCTGCTCCACAGTTACCCCAGGGCTCCGCTTGCCAAGTACCATGTAAGAACTCATCCAGACTTCATCCGCTTGACATAATTGTAAAGTGTGTGGTAACACAATGGCAGAAGTGGGTAGTTCAGGTCCAGAAAGTAAAAAATCCAGACCAAAATTTTGTTTCAGCCAACCAGTTGAGTACTCTGTGACTGACTCTTTATGCTCAGCTGGTTAGTTGACAATGGTAACAAGGATGTGCAAACATGTCTGCATATATCTCTGGCTTTTGTGTCTGTTAGTCTCAGCGGCACTGGTTCTGGGATGTCCTTAGAGAGGTACGGAGACCAACACCCAGGGATCATGACTGTGAGTCAGCTTCCATCTGTCCTGTTTGATATATACAGAAAACTTTATATCAGGTTTTTTTTTTTAACTCATCATAAAAAATCAGTGGTTCTAAATTTCAGTTTTGTTCAGGTATATAACTGGAGCTTCTTTGTTTTATTTTCTCAGACCCCGGGTTCAGTCACCTCTGTCTCAAGCCTGCACTCACTCAGGGACCCAGGGCTCTGTGAGTTATTAGTGTGTTAGAATGTCAGATAATACCGCCTGGCCTCTGAAATGCCAGAAACTTATTTTAATCTGAATGTCCAATTCAATTTGCAAAGACAAATGTTTATATTTTTTAGACTGACAGTTACAAGATTCAGTCCTCTCTCCAGCCATCTAAGATTAAAGGCTAAAGGGAAAATCCTGGGGGGGTTTTATGGTTTGAATATGAGTATGTGTGTGTGTACTCATTGACAACAAAAAGTTAAGTACCCTGAAGTAATGGTCCGATTTCGATGTAATTTGGTACATGTGCAGACCAGCGATGGGCATGTAAATGATTCAATTTGCACAGAGCTGGCATGTCTAGTCACCAGACACAGAGGATGCCTGGTAGACGAATTAGACGGCATTACTCACACTTGCCCGGCATGTGGGGCATGCAGATGTCAGTCGCCCGATGTTGGTGCCACACCCTACTGACATGGGACCAGCAGTGTGCCCATACTGCCAACTCTGTTGTCTGTTTGATCTGATATTATAATCATTGTGACAGTGTCACATACAGACCTTTCACCACGTGCAGATCCATTTCATTTTCACCACTCTGTCTGGGTGCTTCGCTGTTTTTTGTCAAAGTGTGTATATATCAATGTCTCCTGCACAGGGACTCCCATCAGCTCCATTGGAACAGCTCACAGGTATACATGTTTCTCCACTGCCATTTTTTTGTCATAATAAAAACGATTTGTATAACAATCTGTAATTAATCCCACAGAACAGATCCTGCAACTCCAAACTTCTTCCGGTTCGGAACTGGCTCAGCCTTCCTATCCCCTATCCCAAGAAACAACCAGCACTCTGGTAATTTATGTTACTACAGAGGCCAGAAAGCGAGACAAATTAGGAATCCGTATCCAGCACATGTTTGAACAAAGGAATGCATAACAGACAAGATTCATAGTCACTTAGTTTGTGGGTATACAAAAATATATATATACAGGAGGGAATTTATGAAACCTAGTATCTCAAATCATTAAATTAAATCATTGGAAATTCTTTCCATTTCAAAAAAAGCCCAATCAGGTTTTTGTGTAAATTAACTCAATTAGCAGCCTTTTAGATCTACTTCACTATACTCATCTTTAGGTTTTCCCTTTTCAGGCACAGCATGGATGCAGAACTAGAAGACTAGGAAAGGGAACAATGGCAGGATCTATAAAACCAGAAGATCCTCACCTTCATACACACACACACCGCCAGTTTGGGTCCAGCAAGCCCATACGTGTGAACAGTTTAAGACATGGTGTCCATTAAGCATTCAAAAGTGTACAGAAGTAAATGGAGATGACAGCTTCATGAAAGTGTAGTCTGTTCAGTTTATTAGAAACGGGTACAAAAGTCCAGTTCACTACATTTTTTTTAACATGCTCGGTACTGAGGTTTACACAGACTTCGACAGCCTCTGATGTTCCTGCTACAACACTTGCAAAAAACATTCCAAAAACATAATTCTCATAACGTTACAAATCGGAGAATGTTCGTTTTGGACTGATACACTTGATTCTATGGTAGGAGAGTGCCTTATTCTCTGCAACAACGCTTCATGGGGAAGGGAGGCTGGCCCAACTACAGAACTACACTTAGCTGGTCGTACAGTATGGTGGGTGAAAATCTTCAAGGGCAGGGATCCACAGTTCTACTGTAAAACTTCAGGGTCATTGAACTGCATGTGCTTCACATGTGTAACACTGATCACGGCATAACGGCAGCAGGATCTTCCCCATCATTAACAGGAGCCACCGGAAAAGTCATACAGCAGGATTATACAATATTCAATATTCCAGCTATTCAGGTCTGACTTGCATCTAGGTGCAGGGTGCTGAGAATAGTAACATAAATCTATAAAGCTAAGAACTCACGCATAGGCTGCCGCCATCTATACAATACAATACTCATTAAACAAAAGTAGTTCAAAATAATAAATTAAGCAAAATTTTAACTCAGTAGGATGCATTTGATACCTTGCTGGCACACAGTTTGGTAAAGAACTACATGTATAAATACAAAAGTTATCACCTGCACTGCACTGTTCATGCAATATCAAAATATTAAATAGGTGTATAAAGGGCATTATAACTATAAATAGTACTACTTGAACAATAAGAGCCATTTCTGGCAATTGTCATTCAAATCTGATGCAGCAAACTATTGGACTGTCACTGCTAATGTCATGTCCACTCTTCCTGTCATTTTGAGTTTGATATTTTAGTAAACGGACTGGTCACCAGGTTACATAGAATTGTGGACCAGACATACAACACCCAAAATTGCTCTGATATGGACATGTTAACATTCATCCTGATTCCAGGAAATATGTGCATTATTGGTACGGTTACATCCACATCGACTCGTGTTTTGCACGGGACCAGCAAGGTTCAAGAATGTATTTTTATTTGTAGAATATCCTGGTAATAGACTGGAGTGCAGAATTACTGAACTCCACGAAGCCTGAGACTTTGCAAAATAAATCTTAAAGAAAATCAAGCTTACAAAATAACTTCTTGAATGTCACATCTAAATTATTGGGCTCCAAATTCAAGTGTGACAGTCTAAACTACAAGCTACAGATACATCCAGTTGCTTGTGAGGTGTTAGTGAACTTAGTGTCCATCAGCCAATTTCTCATTTCGTGAGGTCTTGACCAGCCGAGGAATAAGACTTTCTGCTTCACATTCACCATATATAAGGCCTACGCTACAGTACCTAGAAGACGAAATGTCAAAAGCCCTACATTTAAGTTAATGCCATACTAATGCAATGGGCTTCTTGAAATTTAGAACACTAAAATACACAAATAAAATGTTTTTTTAAAAAGGGGGGGGGGGGAATAAACATTCATTAAACCATTGTGCCTAGACCGCCTTTGATCCCCATCAGGCACCAGATACTCCCCCAACCTGGTTTTCTGGAGAGAAAGAGCGGACTTAATGAAAAATTCAGTGCTAGTCACAGATCTGAGGCTGGGAAGACCAGGAGTTTCCACAAGACTGGGAGCATCCAAGCCCCACTGAGGCTACTTCAACACATCATACACACTAACAAAAACATACTCAGTTCTGAAGGAATGCCTCCATGTAATATGAGGCAGGCAAATTAACTCTGCTGGGTTTGAGCATCTGTCAAGAGACATTTAAAGATATGTACAAAAAAGAAACCAAAAAAAAAAAAATTCTAAATTTAGTATTACTGCTCACTCAATCAGTGACATTGACCTCGCTGTCAGACATTCCACTCTCCTGACATGCAAACCAGTCCCGTACCTGCTGGTAGCTCATCCGTGATTTTCTGCAGAGGGCATCTAGGTCTTTCTCCTGCAATGCGCCTGTGTGGTGCCGATATAATTCCAGGGGGCGAAAGTCCATCCCTGAGTTCCCTGCAACACCTACCTCATGAGGGTCCACCACACTACCTCCAGGTACTGACACTGTACTACCATTCTCCTCTAACTTGCGTTTGCGGCCACCTCCCCTGGGTGCACTATGAGTGCCTCCCCCGTTTTGCTGAAGGGCAAGTTCTGCCATGAACTGGTCACGCACACCCCTCACCCAGCGCAGTTGGCCATTTTTCACTGCATAACGTGTATCCCCAAACCACTGAATGACATCTGCACGGGGCAGACCTGTCAGCTCCACCAGTTTTGTGTAGTCTTCACTCTTGGGCCACTGGCAACGCAGGAAATGTTGCTTCAGCACGTCCAGTTGCTGCTTGGTCTTTCTTGGGCGGCCAGCAGCAGTCAGGACTGGAGAAGACGAAGACGTAGGTGAGGGAAGATGGCCGGAAGGGGAAGGAGCAACAAGTGAAGGACTGGATTTGACGGAGCGTGTAGACTTGTGTGAAGAGATGCCAGCAGTTGAGCGTTTGTGAGGGAGGGCAGCAGTAGCTGGGGATGATGATGCAGTGGTGGCCGGAGAAGGGGAGGGAGATGAAGGGGCAGCCAAAGGCTGATTGGTCTCATTTCCTTTGCGATCAGTGATCAACTGAAGAGGCTGCTCTTCTTTACTCTCCTCTTCTTCCTTTAAACTTTCCACAGTGTCCTCCATGGACAATACTTCCTTTTCATCTGCCTCCATGCCTAGAGCCATCCTTGACTCCCCTACTGCTTCAAGGCTGGTAGATAAGAAATTCTGGAAAAAACGAGTGTCCCGTACCCTACTGTTGCGGGCTCCCCTTCCACGTGACCCTCCCCGTGGACCAGACTGCTGGTTACGGGGACCGTGTGCCACCAGAGGGAGAGGATGAAGTTGTTGTGGATGCTCTTCTGCTCCTTGACTGGGTGTGAAAACTTGCGCCACACCAGGTGCTCCTCGACCATTCCTCAGTTGGTACCGGCTGTCACTGAACCATTTGCGAATATCATTGCGACTCAGTCCTGTCTCCTCCTGTAGTCGCCGGAGCTCCGCCTCGGCAGGCCAGTTCTCCCGCAGGAAGCTGCTCCGTAGGACTGCCAGCTGAGCCTTGGACTTCTTATAGCGGCCATGTCGACGTTGGGTGCTTGGTGGTGACTCAGGAGAGCTGATGGCCAAAGCCCGGCTATCCACTGGAGAACGGTAGTAGTACGAGTCCTGCGGTGGTGGAAGTGAGGAACGGAAGTGTGGGAGACTGGGAGGTTTTACAGCATCCTTGAGCTCATACTTGGTTCGCTTTTGTGGGGAAGGCAGCGATATAGGTCGAGCTTCTTTTGTGGTATCATTTTCTATTCCTTCTTTAAGGTCTGTGCAGCCATTATTCCCCGGCTGCTCCTCGGGCCGTGCCTGCTCACTGTCCTCCAGGCTTCCTCTCTCGGGCCCTGACAGCTTGCCCCGGGTCTCTTCGATTTCCTCAGAAGCCCAGCTGATGCCATACTTGATGCGCTGCACCATGAACCACACCTTTACTTTGTCCAGGGGTAATGAGCAGCACCGTGCAAGAAAAGCAACTTCTTGTGATGTGGGGTATGGGAATACATTGAAAGCCTGCACCAGTTCTGGGATGCCATCCAGCTCTCTAGTCTGGTCTGACTGGGTCCAGACAAGCTTGAGCCCCTCTGACACCAAGGGTAGGCACACCACAGAGTTGTGATTGGTGCTGAAGCTGACAATGGCCCCACCCCCTTCACTGCTGTCACTGTCGATTGCAGTATGGTCAGATTTCCCATTCTTGGTCTGATGGGATCCCTTATTTTCCTCCAGTTCTCTCATAGCCCCACCCCTGAAAGACTGCTTCTCGCTCGCCACGTCTGTTGAGTCACGGTCATTCTCCGCCATCAGTGTCGTCATCCCCAGCTCCACTTCAGACTGTGACAAAAGTTGGAAGATAAGAGCACAAGAGGACACTTTAGTACACGTTCTCATCATCGGTGAATCAGTTCTATATTAGCATATGCCAAGGAATGTGGCACAGAAACACAACAGTGACTGCTTTTGTGTATGTATGTGTGAACCTGCAGTGTTTTCAGTTGCCGCATACTATGACTGCATGTCGTCGAAACTGCACTGATGCATGTCCAGGTACCCTTCGTTTGCCAGCAAGTGAGTCAGATGAATGCACACGGATTGTCCACACAGAAAAGCAACACATGGGTTCACTTTGCACAAAACCATAGGAATAACAAGAACACAGCTCGTGAGTACGGGGGCACATCACCAGAAGCAAGCCACAGTCTACCCGCAGGAGTTTCATCTTCCCCAAGAAAGGAAGCGTGACTCAGGATTGTAGCATCAATGCTAATGAACTATATCTTGCCAACAAAAGTAGCCTAATCTCTGGCTAGTGAGGATCCTCCTCCATGACGCACTTAGATTTCAGAAAATATGCTCAAAGTAACTACAGACTAACATGACTCAGGAAATTTTAGGTGACGGATGAAATTGCTGTTTTTTTTTTTTACTGAATATCACTAAGTGTTACACAAGAGCCAGTCTGTGAAGGTGCAATTATACATAAAAAAAAAATCTTTGAGTGTATGGATATACAACGCAACACACAACACATGTCTTTTCTGAAAACATATTTAGAAGACAATGCCTACTGACACATCTACTCAAACAGCAGTTTATTAATGAGACATGCAAATTCATGGGCAAACACAATGCACGATTTTATAGGTCTGAACAATGGCACCACTCAAAAATTAAACTACACAATCCTGTTCTGAGATATTGCATTCAATCCCCAAACACTGTGTTTACACAAAAGAATAACAGACTCGAAGAATTATTCTCGAAACTCACTTGTAAAAATACAATGACAATGGCCTTAACTGTCCAGTGCAGTGTAGCTCCTGATAAATTGTGTAGTCCCAGTACAAATTATAGCTATTCACTGCATCCTATCAGGAATGCCTTCTGTTGTTATGGAAAAACTGATTCCAACTTGCCCTTTTCCAGAAGTTGTCCTAATAACCTCTGAACTTCCGATCTCCAGTGACCCTCCGAGAAAAATGAATCAGGTTTTTTTTTGTCTTGGTTGGCAGAAATAATCTGCCTTCACCCTCCAACAGTAGGCACAATACCCTAAAACAGAGAATAAGAAACACATTAGGACATTTCTCTCTGACGCCAATTTCATTTTAGATTAGTTCATGAAATACATCTTTCCCCCAACATGTACGGTATTTTCATTCATTAGTAATTACATACATAGCTTAAACTTAGTTATGAATTACAAAGTTAAAGTGATTTCTAATGAACAATACTGTAATCTCTTAACTGATACGCATTTTTACATGGAAAGGAAACCGTCGTTCCTGTATTATGATTCACTGAACTGATTGCACGGTGATTTGCATGAAGCAAGACGGCAAACTAAGTCACCTGAATAAAAATCGTGTCCAAGTTTTCTACAATTGTCAGTTCTTAGTTATGACTGAAAACGGGATCTTCCAGTTAACATGGCTCAACCTAAGGAGCTGCCCGTCCTTTGGAGACATTTTTTTCCGTTGTGCTTTGCGACTGACCCTCTCCCAAAAAACCAAGGCTACTCGGAGATCAATACTGCACATGCAATGTAATGTCTTATTGCCGGAGATGTTTTAAAAAAAGGGAAAACACCTGCTGTAATTTGGGCAGACCGGGCACTGTATCTCACTTCAGCGATGGAACCACAGCCGGATGTCTGTTAACTTTGAAGTGTTTGCCGATCCGCTGAAGCGGCATTGTGATCGAACATTGTAACTGTACGGAGGATCTCGGAGAGGATTTTATATGTTGGTCATCTCTCCACTTAATCTCGAACAAATACTTACATCGGCTTAAGCAATTAAAATTAATGTTATATGGAACAAGTGATTAGCTATCCGGCTAATCAACTTAAAGACTTCAATGATCGCAATGAACGCAGTGTTCTCGAAAAGAAGAGAGAAGGGGAACGTAACTTTGAAACAAACGAAACTTAGACTGATTTCAGGCAGTTTTGCACAAAGTAAAAAAAGAAACCTCAGCCTAAGCATGCGGATAGCAAAGAATAATCGTAAAATGGGTGGTTGGCTAACATTAGCCTATCCTTAAAAGAGAAACTACAACTCGCTGGACTTGGCTAAACAGTGATTTAAATGCCAGAATGTGGCTACTTCGTTAGCACGCCAATCTTAGTAATTTAACACAATGCGAATTGTGCAACTATCAAAGAAAATTATGCAACCAGCTAGAAGCAGCCAACTAGCCATTCGGTAGCGAACATCATGGTTAGCTTGCGCCCCGTTTTATTACCATGGGTCACCAATTAGCTTTTTTCTCTTTTCGGACACTTCCCTCAAGAGAAAAAAAACAACGTCTAAGAATAATCATTCAGAAGTTCCGTTAACGCGTGTTCTCGGAAAAAGCTAAAAACAAATCTTCGGAGTTTTTTCTTTTTGTTTAAGTGAAGTTAAAAGTTGGAACAAAAAAGAAGCGATCGCGAGCGTTCAAGTGGCACTTCAGCGCAGTGTCAACAACAATAGCGGCCGTCCGCTTGTTCTTTTGTGGCGCAGTAACCGGCCGCAGCGCCGGGCTGCGCGCATTCGGAGACGCTCCAGCCGCGCACAAAAACAAACTTACCGTCGATCCGCCGCCGCCGCTCGCTCCGGGCTCCTTTTCTCCGTCCCCCACTTTCTCTTTATGCTTTATGATCTTTCTTGTCCTCCTTTTCTTTTTTCCTCCCTGTTCACTGTCTGAAGTTGTAGGAAACAATATATGTGTATAAAGGAGACAATAACGTCCGTCTGCCCCTATGTCGCTTTAATCTCCGGACTCGACTCTTTGGGGAGCACAACGGGTGTTTCGCTACTAATCATGTATCATTAAAGTTAATAATTTGTGAAAACTACTCACTAACTTTTGTTTTCAGTAATTCAAACCAGCCATGCAGAATATAACTTATCAAAAGTATAGTGTTAACAAATAAGAATTTAGTTACAACAAAAATGACGCGTTTCTTTGGTGTTTCCCTGCTCCGGCCCTCTGCCCGTGTTGCTTTTGTTCTGGAAATCCCAAATGTTTTCCACTGTCCGGCCAAATCGAGGCTAGGCGGATGATCAGGAAACTTGAAAAACTAGGCCCCCATCTCCCAGGGTGACGGAGCAGGGGGCGGGGCTACGTGCGCTGGACGGGGCGGGGAATGGGGGCGGAGCGCGCTGGCGGAGGCCGTGCAGACTGAATGGAGCTCGCGCTGGGGCGGGTTCCTAAATGGTCGTCGTCGCCATCTTCATCGGGAAAGGGGAGTGTACGAGACCGGGACGGTACTTATCTTATAGTTAGTAGACACAGTCGGGGGAGAGGCGTACGCGAGCGGTTGTGTATTGTAAATATATGACGGCAAGTTAGCTTTTGATAAGGATGACAAAGCAAGTCCTGCTTGCACGCTCCTATTAAACGTTTCCCATAGATAAGGCACCATTACTAGAACGACGATAAGGATCAGAGTTAACATCCATTCACTTTCTATCATCGGGGCTTATGTAATTAGAGTTACAGCGATTAGCTGGATATCCCACAGAGAACTAGGTACGCAACTACAAGATCACTATTAAATCACAGTTTACTTACACATAATATTCACACAGTAAAGGCGATTTATAGACATCGATTTTCACAAATTTAGTAATTACTTGCATGTGGGTTATGGGATATATAACAATACTATAGAAACTGAAGTAAGGAAAGTAAGAATAATTTAAATACATATATTAAAATGTTAGCATTATAATAGCAAACTTTGCAACAATTAAACCATTTGAGAAATATATAACATAACACTTGTAAAATATTAATCACACCAGTACATAAATCTATGGTTACAGCATTTTTTCCATATTTTATTTTAATAAGGCTGGCTGCATCTTTACTCAAGTATTATTTTTTAAGTAGATCTTAGAGTATAGGATAATGTAGAATCCTGTATCCATTTTGTTAAAAACTGCCAAGTCAGGAAAACACATTTACTGCGAAATTCCCAGAACTGGATTCCAGCTGCAGGAGGAAGCATAGTGTTTGGCTCCTTGGATGCTCGACCTGACTTGGAATCAGCCCTGCAACTTGGAAAAAAAAAACACGTCTTTCCAATGAGACTTCAGCTCAACAAGCTAATCCTAAATCCCCAGCTAAGGGACCTAATCATGCCTTGACTCCAGGGAACAACCTTGACTCTTGTTGCAGACAGAAATAGACTCAGCCCAGCTCTGGTAAATGCTGATTTGCCGAGGACATGGTGAAGGGTGACTTCTGTGACCTTATTTTTTTCCATCGCACAGAAACCCATGACCCATGCTACTCACAACACTGGATCTGCCAGCATTAGCAAAATTAAAGGAGCAAAATTGTACCAAGAATTCCCCCTTGCCTCAAAGGACTTTTCTGTTTTCATGTATTGCGCCTTGGGACGACTCAGTTGTGAAAGGCGCTATATAAAAACAAATTGAATTGAACTGAATGTATTGGTTGCTGCTACTATTATCTTTTGTTCTTTGGCCTTCTCTGGCATGCCACTGTTGCTCTTCCATCATACTCTGCTCATTTTTCCCAGTGCTGGTGCCACACGAGAAGCTTCCTAATGATACACACGGAATGTCCTAATGCGCCAAACTGCCCCAAGAACGACATTTAAATAAAAGTCATCAATCCTGTCTTTTGCAGTGATGCTGGTGAAAATATGACAACTGAGATGCTTCTTTTTAAAGTAAGATGACAGATGGTTATCTGTACAATGCAATAAAGTCATGTTTATGATATATGGGCAAAAGTGATTATATTACACAGAATACGAAAATGTCAACTGGCAATGTAAAATCCAGCTTACATTTTACGTAAATTTACTGGTACTGTCCATTCATTATTTCTAACCCTAACTAATAGAATAATTCAACTGGACATAAAATCTAACTGGAACCAGTGGACAATTTTTGCTGGAATTGAGCTAAAAATTTCTACTGGAATTAACAAAAAATATTTGAACACACCTTATTATTAGGATAAAAAAAGCAAGTAATTGGTTGTAAAATTATAACAAAGCAAAACAATTAATATGACAGTTCAGAAGCGCCCGCTGACCAGGTTGAGGACAAATCTGGGCACCCTAAGGAAGGAGGGCGTGATGACAGAGAGCCAGGACAGGTAGGAGACCTGGGAGAGGAGAAATTTAAAGGAGGTGTACTCAGCTACGCTGTGACCTGAAAGAAAGGAAACAGGCATCAACATACAGCCTTTCAACTTTTACAAGCCTCACAGTTGTAAGTACTGCTTGAGCTGATCCAACAAGGTACTGAACACTTATGTAATAATAATAATAATAATTGATACTTTGTTTATTTTTGTTTAGGAAAATATTGTTTTGTTTAGGAAATTGTCTTTACACCTCCCTCAACTTGCTCTTTGTGGAGTAAGTTGTCTGCGAAGGGCAGCCGCCCATAGCAGCGCCCAGGGAACTGGGGGTTAATTAAGGGCCTTGCTCAAGGACCCACAGACGTGCTGAGGCTGGGTTTGAACCAACAACCTTGTGATTACAAGCACACAGGCTTAGCCCACTGAGCCACATGCTGCCCCTTGTAAATGGACACCAGGTTTCTTAATAAAAAAAATACTAAAAGTACATTTTCACACCGCTGTTACGAGGTATTGTGTTGATTTATTGCAAAATTAATTTGTAAAAAATCAGTAAAATTTACGAATATATGAAAATTTATTTTTTAGAAAAATTGGGCTCTCAATTAAAATATGAATACCATAATAATGTGAGCTACATATTACATAAATATATTATTAATGTGTAAATAAATATGCATATTTCTATACAGGAGTCCTGGAAAGAAGTAATATAGGTTTTCATTTATTAAACTAAGCAGCATCAAATATGTTAAAATGTGTGGGTGATGCTAAATAAATCTGTATACCATCAACATCCCGTAACCCATAGCGCCTGGCGAGGTCACATGTCATGAGAACCTTCCCAGTCAGTGACATCAGGCTTTTATCTAGAAACAGAATTTCCAATGAAATGAACAGCATTCTGAGGATCGAATCTAATACCTCAAGACAAAAATAACACGTGATTCAGTTTTCAATTATTTGCACTTTCCTTAAAACTTACAAATGAACTTAATTACAAATCCTTTAGACCAGTTGCGTCAGAAATGCAGGGACCGACGTCAAGAAACGGTACCTTTGGCCAGTTCAACGATGCACCTTCCACTCAATTCTGGAGTTTCTCCATTGGAAAAATCATTTTTAAACTGAGTGAGAGATTATAATAGATTAAACATGGCTTTTGCCCCCCCCCCCCATCCTAAGAATCACATCTTGCACTACTGCAATAAAGCCTTATTTGTAAAATGAAGTACAAAAGATGAAAACACTTGTACCGTAGGACTGATATGAGGTTCATCGCTCCTATTCATGTAGTCCACCATGAGCTCCGTCTTCACAATTCCAGGCCACAGACTGACTGATACCACACCCCTACCCTTCAGTTCCACCGCTGTGTCCACAGCTAGCCTGTCACACTAAAACAGGAGAAGAACTGACAGAAAGCCACGGAAGCAGGGCCAGACTACCATCCAATTCCTCCGGACTGCAACTCTTGGGTTGCCCGGCAAAGGATAAAGATGACAGCATTTCAAATATGCGGCCCGCTAAAGCCACTTCCTCTTCGGGAAAATTTCCCAAATACATCGATGGTCTATTGTGAGGAAAACGTGGCCCAGGTGGAGAATAGGACAGAGAGGAAGGAGGAGGACGTACAGAATGACAAAAAAGACGGGTAGGTGGGTCTGAAAACTCACAGCTGCCTTGCCCACCCCATATGGGACATTCAAAACATACTTCAATCCTCCTACGGATGAAATAACCACAATGAGACCGCGACCTTGTGGTACCATCATTCTGGCAGCATACACAGAACAGAAGTAATGACCTCTTTAAAAAAAAAAAAAAAAAAAAAACAGGAAAAATTAGTCCATCAAATTATATATTGATTCTGTCAAACATTAAAATTGTCACATAATCTAGTTGCATACCTAAATGTACCATTTAATCTGTAGCACCAATTTAATGCCAAATTCAAGTTCATAATATAGCCAAAGATGCCATCCCATGTATTTACAGCAGATAAACAGAAACTAAATACCTGAGCCCAGTGTTGTTGATGACATCCCATACAGAAGGATCTGTCTCCCAGAACTTCTTCCCTATGTTCGCCATAATTGTCTGGAATTAAAAACACAAACCACCTCATTACCTTAATTTGCCATTACCTATATTGTAATTGACTCTCTCCTTAGAGGATCATAACTTAAGTGTGCCCCATGGTTTGTGTGCCTTAATGATCTATGCCGTTTAAAGCATGAACACCAGTTAGAGCTTCTCTTGACAAACAGGTATGGGAGGATAGGTCAGATTAGGGGTGTAACAGTATTAAAATAATAATAATAATAATAATAATAAATCAAGGTTCAGTACAAACCTCAGTTTTGGGTTTACAGTCAGGTATAGTTTCAGTACATCAGGGAATACAGAATTTATTTTGAATTTAATTATTAATAGAACTGCACACACGATTAGGTGTAAATGAGTCTATGTGTCTGAACAACACCTAAGAGACACTTATTTGCACACTGTAAATGTGAAATAATTTTTTTTAAATATAACAATCATAATGAACTAAATCCTGCATTCTGTACTACCGCGTTTCATTGCATATCTTTAACGATAGAAACCACTATAGCCATAGTTTTTCTTTTAGCCTGGTCTGAATTTCCTGGCAAAAGGACCGTAAACGCCACGGGGAGACTAACTTGCAGAGGCTGTGTCACACACAATCTTCGATGATGTCGTCTCAAATCAGTTAGCATGTCGAATTCAATTCCAACAACATATCTGAGTTCAGTATAACTGCCGAGAGACAGTCTTGGTCTTACCAAATAATCTCTCCAGTGCTGGTGTTGCACAATTTATTTAGGAACCAAAATGTTCCCAAACTGATTCTGACAGACTGTAACCAGCGATAACTATAACCATATAACCAACCCACTGCCACAACTACTATAATATTTTCTACTTTTAACACCCACCAATGAATTTAGGATCCATTCATCAATAAATGTATTCATTTTCATTTCATTGTGCGAACTGAACCGAAAATGATGTACTTAGCATTTTTCCTCATGAGTTATGATGTATCCTTTTCATACAAGTGTAATTGTGTCTTACATTTGAAATAAAACACTGTTTAGGGTCGCTTAATAAATGACGGAGTTACTCTGTCTGTTTTTAAAGTAATACAATGATTTCACCTACCTGTACCCCTGCATAGGCATTATTGACCAAGATGTCCAGTCTGCCCCTCTGCTCGCGTGTGATTCGCTCAAACAGATGTTTGATGTCATCCTCCTTCGACGAGTCACAAACTACCGGTACACAGTCTCCGCCCCTCTGCTTCACCTGCCAAAGCAACAGATACAGGGATATTACCAAAAGTCACTCAGTCCGTTCTTTGTTTTTGAGATTGCCAATATCGATGGCGACAATAAGATCTATTGACCTAGGGACAACAGATAAGGAGATTCCGATCTGGGCTATTGCGCATTTCGACATTGCCAGGATCTGCCACTGATCACGTTATCATATTGGGAACCATAAAGGCCAATTCTTCACTTTTCCGTGTGTCATTACAGTCTGTGAGCAGGGCGAGTGATATAAATTTCATCATCAGGGATATCAGGCGGACTGTGCATGTGCAGCCCAGATTTAATGTATGGCATGCAATATTCACTTTGACTGCGCATGTGCAAGAATATTGACAAGGTATTTCCAGTAGGTGGCAGCACTTTCACAGAGCAGAGGTCAATGAGGAAAGATGTTGTTGTAGCTGTAGTTATGCCAGAATAGCATTGCGTTTGAAAACTGTGGTATAGGCCTAGTGCATTATAATGTCTGGATGGTATGAAAAATTAGTCGTGTGGGTACCTCCGCACCTCCTCATATAGCTGCTCACCACAAAAACAACTATTATTAGCCAGCACCCCTGAGCCCTGAGGTGACTGAGTTCTCACCTCTGCGGCCGCTTCCTTCAGCGTTTTCTCATTCCGGCCGGTAATATAGACGGTGGCCCCGGCCTCTGACAGCTGTAGGGCAATGCCTTTGCCGATGCCCCTTGAAGCCCCCGTCACGACACACACCCAGCCGGAGAGAGCCATCTGGTAAAAGACAAAGTAGACATTCACTCTCCACCGGTTCAGAAAGGCCGCACATTGTTATTTTCCACGAGAAGTTGTTTTTCGCTACGTTGTCGATTTGCAACATTTGTTTTCTCTGGTGAAATAACATCACACATCGTGTATCCAATATTAGGCAGATCGTCAACTGCATGCATAATTTTGTTGATTAACTAATTAAACTTAAGCTCGAACCACTTTCTGAAAAGTAAGCTAATTTAATGACGTTAAGTTTCATTGACGAAAGAGCCTTTGCTGTTTAGTCTGTCTTAATTCGTTGGATTTCGGAGGACTAATAACATTTCTTTTTGAGGATTAATAACGGGATTCAGCAGTGTGATTCCTGACTTCAGCTTAATTAATTGATTTATTCGCAAATGAGTGCATAGCATGATGTCTTTCAAGCATTATCCTATAACCATGAAGATGGCCTGATCCCTTAAGTTGTCCAGCAATGAAACTCGATAATGACCACGACGACTTCCAGATGTCTAAAACTCCTCCTCAAATGACATCCAATAATCTGATAATGGCCTTTTACCGATAAACTTGCCAATTTGGGTCAATTCCTGTTCACAGTAATATCGAACGCGCTTTTCCATGCTGTAGATATTCCCCACCAAGTAAACAAAAATAGTGGCAAAAAAACTTTTGGTAAAAATAACACCAATAATATTAATAATAATGTATACCTTTCTGCAGTTCTGTACCTCGCCCTCCCTCCACTGTCATAATGTACCAAGTCATATATTTAATTAGTCTGTTGTGTAATAACCCCCAAAGGGAGGATTAAAAAAAACAGTAATACCACTAGCTAGCTGCATTACTGTAGTTAGTTATTTGTAAGTGGTGCAACCTGAATGAGTACATTGCTATTACCTAGCAAAACACAAACCGCAAGTTTATGTTACGAAACATTATTTATTTGACTTAGTCGTTCAACTAAAGGCACACGATGGAACCTTATCAAAACAAGCATAGAAAGCTAACAGTCAGCTATAGATCGGGGTCCGGAGAAATACTGACGAAACATTAAAATTATCATTCAGTCTACACATGCAACTCGCAAATGAGATAAAATTCTGGATGCGTTTTTCGCAGCTGACAATGCTAATCTAAAGCACCCTAAAACCAAATGACAGCCGGCCAAGTATCTCTGTTCATAAAGCCAACGCAAAAATTATATAACCTCAAACCTGGCAGATCGTCCTCACCCGGATCCCCTCAATGCAAACCAATTACAGCCAACTAATGCGAATAACATAAACTAGTGCTTTAGCAACATAACCGCCATTTATGTTTGAAAAATATATACCCCCGCTTACAGTGACAGCGATCGACTTCTGAAATCCTCCTACGAATTTGCGTTCTGAAGCGCAAAAGTTCCGGTCTGAAGTCCAACAGCCGTAAAGCGAAACAGAAGCGACGGACCGACGCTCCCGCGTACGGGTAGGTGCAGCCTCGAGAAGGATCCCGCGCTGAACGTTCACAACACGCAAACACTTCGTTCTATTAATTGTTCAAATATCGCCACGTTACAGTCAAAAGGCAAACCAGTGGGGATCAAATAAAAACTTATGTAATGCCAGCAGAAACCAATGTGAAGCTGAACGCAAGCTTCACCACCGGCGCCCCCCCTGACCCACGCCGTGTATGTGCGTGCCTTGGTGAATGTACAGTTGCATGTCCAACTTAATTACATACTGCGCAGCCTAATGCAATGACGCCATCGCGTCTGTAGGGGGTGTATGGAATCAGATTTGTGCCAAAATTTTCAAACAAAACTTTCCTAATATCAAACAAAATTCATTCAATATTCATTCTCGCCTGTGAGTTTTTCAGTTTCGCTGCTGGCTTTTCATTCACTCCGCCCCGTTTTACGTTTTCACTGTTTTTTCAGTTTCGCTGCTGGCTTTTCAGTCAATCCGCCCCGTTTTACGTTTTCACAGATCTCTCGTGTGGGCGGGGCTTCGCCTCATTTGCCAGCAGGTATTTGAGTGACAGCTCCGTGCCCCGGGAACTCCATCACTGAGATGGACAGCAGCAACAGCTGCCAGTTAGGATCACGTATGAGATTTGTGATTTGTGCACAAGATCAACTCCACGATTAATCAATTGTAAGTATTGATCAAATATGTTCATTATGCTGTCCTAGACATTTGTTGTGTTACGATAGAATTCGTTAGCTACGCGTTATCATTTACCTAATTAACTTTAGCTACCTGGGTACGTTACTCGCTAAGTAACGTTTGCCAAACTTACATTCTTCCTCTCCACAATTGTCATTTCAGATATTCACAACTCCGTTCTTCATGTCTGATCATAACTGTATGTCTTCCGTAATGGTTTGATATGAGCATGCAGCAGTTTTGGTTTTTTTTTTGGGCTAAGCATCATGCTAATATTCACTCCATACTTAGATCAGTATGAGTTGGTATATAAAATTCTGGTGGGTGGAAAAAGTATTTGGAAACACTAGTATAGAATTTAATATGACGCTGTTGTCTAAGGTAGTTTGTCAGACCGTAGAATTTCTTCGTGGAGTTATACATTGCTTTCCGTCTTTTCTCTCTACAGCAATCAAATGTGGTGCAGGCTTTCACAGACTGTAAATGAATTACTTAAGGATTTCAGGTTTTATTGTACAGGTTCTTTACAATTTAACATTTACAACCAATTAAAAACAGTTCTTAATGCAAAACTATGAAACTGATATTAAATGTAAACTGTCACAGTTGTAGCCTGTTACTAATAAACAATCTGTTACACACAATCCATGACAAATTTCTTAAAATCTGTATTAAAACAATTCTTGCTGCTCAGGTCTTCCTTCTTATAGTAGTCTTTGCACCAGATTTAGAGTCCGCATATAAAGCTCTTTATGAGGCAAGGGTGAGGTAATGGGATTTATCAATCCTTCAAGTACAGCAAGGTTCTGGTCTGAGAGGGGACATGGGATCTCTGACACCACTACTCCATCCTGTTGGTCAACATCAGTCCAGCCCTCCTGGAATAGATTCTCCAGTGGCTGAAAGACAGTTACATTCACCATAGAAATATTAATTCCTGTCCCCCAGGTGGAGAACCTGATCAAGGGTGGGCAATTGTAGGTGCAGGTTTTTGAAAAGTCACCCCAATAAACCTGCTGTAAAAGCTCCTCCCCTAGCTCTGGACACTTATTGGCTTAAGAGGTCACCCAAAAAGCACCCATACAGGTTATCCATGGATCAAGTTCCCCGTCCCTTATCTAATCCTTGGGTTTTCACAATTTGATAATGAGCACAATCAAACTTGTTTCCCCAAGATAAAATAATATTAACCTTAGTCAAGTCCTTCCGGGCACCAACTGACTGATCATATTGCTAACTGCTACAGGCCATTTGAAGTGATATTTAGGGGACACTTGCTTAAAAAGTATTAATGAGTTGAGTGATTTGCAAATTTGGTGATGTACCTCAATATCTGGCTCAGCCATGGGTGTTTGAAGCATTCCAATGTGCCACAGCTGCTCTGGAGATAAGTTGCCTTCAGTTCTGAGAGGGTGCCTGTTCCAGCTACCCATGAAATGCTCCAGGTCAGACTTCAGGCGAGGGAGAAACACATAATGCACACAAAAGAGGTGCATCTCATCGGAGAGATCAATCAGGTGTTCCTCTTCTAGTGTGTGCAGTACATCGTAGTATGTACAGGTGACTGCTGACCACACATTGCACCCCAATCTCTCTATTCTAAGAATGTATTGGAAGGGGGGGGGGGTTACTATATTGATCAAGCATGCAGACAAGGACAGTAATCATATCAAGTTCTGTACTGATTGGTTCTACCTTTGATTGTGGACGCTTTTGCCAGCAATGAAGCTACTGCGTCCAGTTCGTCGTACAGAAAACATGCACCGGGCAATATCCACATTTTCCACACCCTGGTCACCACGTACTCTAAAATATGTCAAGCAGTCATGATTCATTGTACTGCAGAAGGACCCAGGTGAATCTAAACTGAGGCTATAGTCCATACAACAAAGAAAAATACCTGTTCACAGCATTTATGTACTTCCTACCTTGAGGGCCATCCATGTTTGCAGACACCATCCAAGAAGAACGAGTACGCAGTTGAGGCTTTGTTGTTAGCAGCAGCGTCAAGATATAAAATCTGTGCAAAATGTGTGGCAAAAAAAA